AGAGAGAGAGAGAGAGAGAGAGAGAGAGAGAGAGAGAGAGAGAGAGAGAGAGAGAGAGAGAGAATTAAAACCGCTGAATCAGCAATTGAATAAAAGATACGCGACAACAGATACATTACCAATTTGGGCCAATGGAACGGAAACATAAGCGCTGTAATCAGGAAAAGGAAATAAAAATGAGTTCACGTAATCACGTAATCAAAATGGTTTTTTTGTTGTTGTAATTTTTCTTTCACACTCACCTATATGCGAGATATCCAAAAAGAGCATAAGGCTCGTTAGCTAAAATGAACCGAAATAGATAATTAAAATGGTTATATTGGATGAAGAGAAATAGAATGAAACGATTGCAAAGCAAAGCATACACATACCAGCAAGGAAAATATTGCACAAAAAACCATGAATCGAAGCCGAGCAATTAGCGGTAGGAAGAACAGACCGACTTGAACAGAACCAGCAGAAAATTCGCATACAATACACGCTGCCGACGATATCTATAAATCAACAAGCATTAATCCATTTGGTTGTGGATTGGAATATTAAATGAGGCACAAAATGGCACACAGATAAAAAAGAAACGAGAGAGAGAGAGAGAGAGAGAGAGAAAGAGAGAAATGTGGAGAAAAAAGAACTTGGAACGTACCACAAGCAGTATTCGAATGATTCCGGTTGGCGTTTTCAGTGGTCGGAGATCACAGTGTAATGGAACTCCCCATGGTACGGATGGCATTTGGATGGCATTTGCAAAATAGGCGTGTGAATACCTGAAATTATATTCCATATAATCATTGGCTGCTTCGCTTTACATTTCTTTCAATTCTGATTTTTTTTCCACCCCGTTTCGGAATGATTTATTAGCTAAGTTAATGGGATTTTAAGTTTCAATATTGCGTTTGAGGCATGCAAGTACAAACAGAACGAATAAGAAAAACAAAGAGAGAATAAAGTAGTAAGCTTAAACGAAGCCAACTGAAAAGCAAATGCGATATCTTGCTATAAATATGTGCTAAAATTGGTTTTATGCTATTTCAAGTAGAATGATGGAAGAATAGTACCACGATGTATCGATCGGTGAATCTAATTGCAACGATAAATCGAGGTCGACACGGCTTCCGGCTATCTCAAAGTCCTGTTCTGAATCGGTCCGGCATGCGGGCGCTTCCAAGTCTTTAATCTCTTCCAGTAAAAATTCGATTTCATCTGTTTCTGTTGTGCTGGCCACTGGCGCAACCGCCGCCGATGATGACGAATGGTTTGCCTTCATTTGGCCATTTCCGGTGGCGATCAGTGTATCTGCACCCATTTCACGTTTCAATCCAATGGCCTGACGTGCTGGTTTTGGCGGAACCGTTGGCACATCTTGTCTATTTGGCTCAATTGAAACCTGACCATTTATTTTCACTGATCCTTTCTTGAACGATGATGGTATTTTGTTGGTGGCGCTCGATGCGCTATTCTCGTTTATACTGTATTTGTGTGGCTGTTGCATATTAGTCGATTGTTGGGTAAATGTTCCATACCCGCCGCTTCGAAAATTGGATCAATTCTTGACCTTTGCTCCGCTTAATTTTCTCTTTTACCTTGCTCAAATTCAAACTAATTTGAGAATAGAAAACAAAATGTGAAAAAAAAGAAGAAGAAAAAAAAACAAGTAGAAAAAACACTGCTATGAAACCACCACAATTGGTAAAGCGTGTGTTGAAAATAATTGTTGTGTTTGTTGAGTAACGAGGCCGAAAATATACAACATAAATTAAAAGAAAAAAAAGTAAGAACCGCTGAGAGGGTGTGGAGGAGAGAAAGAAACAAATTATGTGTTTAGAAGAGTGATGGAAAGAGTGAGCAATAGCGGGAGCGACAATGAGAAAAAGACACACAAAGAATGCGTGAAGTGTAGTCTAGAATAAAATCAATAAATGATTATAAATAGAAATGAAATTTCGTTGGCTTTCAAGCAAAAGATATATCACTCTTTATGATTCGATTTGTTTGTTATTCTTATTTTTTTTTCTTTTCTTCGTTCTGAATTTTCTTCTCTGCGACCGTGCATTTGATGTATGTTTTCACTTGTGATTGTAGACGTAAAAGCACTTGTGCGATTGACAGTGTAATTTAGAGTTTGAATTTTCGATATATTTTCCTCCTCATTTTCCGTAAAAAAAATTCGTTGGTATTAATTTCGCTCGTTTCTCATTCTCGAATTTTTTTTTTTTCTCTGTTAACTAGTCGTACGGGTCTCGTTTATGATATCACACATTTAAATACCATAATATGCCCGAAAACACGTAAGCATTTTTGATTGACGACGAATAATGCGATTTTCTCTCGAATATTTTCTGTGTTAACAACAAAATGGGGATCCGAAAAATACACACACCGAAAATTCAACTCGTATCTTGTGTTGAAAGTGGAAATGGTTATTCACAACAGAGTGTATATGTACGCAAAAAATGTGCCATGAAAATAACGAATTCAATTACATTTTAAACGCATGAAATTACTTTATTTCACCAGACTCAATTTCACTTCAATTTCACTTTTGTTTCTTTCTAATTTTTTTTTCCTTCTATTTTTCTCTTCACCCGTTTTTCTTTTCTAACACGCAAATTATTCCGAAATGTTCTGTTATCCAAATGAGAAAAAGAACAAAAAAAAAATTCTATGTAAAAGAGCCCGAAAATTTCCGGTAGGCACTACGTGTGTGTGTACAAACGCGTTGCTGTTCACAATGTTGTTTTTTTCGCGACAATCATTAGATTTGATGTGGCAGCCATGTTTGAGATTCAAGTAAATCATTCGTTATTACAATCATTACACACTGCGCCGCATCATCATACACACGAAATTCACCCTTATTCTGCGATACATTCGGGTTCTTGCATGGCTTATGCTCGTACTGAACCAAATACATTGATGAACATCAGATGCAATACACACTCACCGTACACACGGGCCATTTTCATACACAATCAAAGGCAGCAGCACAGCCGTATGCGTATATCAATTGGCTTATGTGTGAATGAACCTGATAGGGGTAGCAGTCGTCAAACTGGCGATAGAGGAAGCAACAAAGAACAGAAAAAAAAATACCGTAAACAATGCACACACACGTTTTACAGTTAGGGGAATGGCGCAGATGTTCACATAAAATACACCATGTATACATGTGCTCTATTGGAACTACGGAACTACTGCTGTTATCGCTATTGAATTATCTAGTACGAAGCATTGCGTATATTTTATACGGTACTCATGGTACGACCGGGGGAAGCGCGAAAATCAAAACTTTTTTATGCGCAATCGAAGCAAATACTCGGATCTCAACATGAATCAATTTTTGATTAATTTAATTATTAATTTGTAAGTGAATTCCGTTTCTTTTTCTGTTTATTTTACGCTGAATGTAGGCCAGTTGTGAAATCAAGTCGAAAGTCGTCCAAAGCCGATGTTGAACGGCCTCCATGGCGAGCGGTTCTCATCGCACCACCACAAAAGGTCAACAAAAATGCTTTATTAAAAGCAAAAATTCTGGATGCCACTCGGCGGGCGCTGTTGGCGCAAAAAATCAATCACGTCGCCACTCAAACTGATGCATACGCCACTTTGTTGCGAGAAAAGGCCATTGGTGTACAGAAAGATTTGATTCGCATGGTTGACAAAGCAGAGCATACAGATGGAACCATTACGATTCGAAAGGACCGACCTGGTGGTTGTAAGTGTGCAAACAATTGAATTTTAATGGAAAAATAATAATTTTAATGCACTAATACTTCCTTTTAAATCCCCCATTTTTCGAAATCTTTTGATGATAGTGATAATCACGCAGACAGTTGGCCAGATGACGGAAAAAACGGCATCCAATACAATTGCAACCCAAACTCCACTTCCGAGAACGTATTTATCTTTTGCATCGTTGGCATCTAAATCAAAAGCACCATTGGGCTACCAAACCACTCCGTTTGAAAGGCAAATGCTGGAGAATGAACTACTGTTGCAAACCCAACAGAATGCATTGAAGGCGATTGATTTGAAAATAACGGAAAAGTATCTGAACGATCGTCAGGCAAAAGATGAGTGTACTCCGTCCAAACAACAATCAGGAAGCTCTTCTTATGAGCAAATAACTCCGGGAGATGGACAACAAGATGAAAACTCCCAAAGTATTTCATCGTCAGCGCCTAACAGTTCATCGCAACAAATCAAAATTGATAAAATCGCCATGAAAATGGTACATACTTGAATTGATTGTTTTACATTTTTAATTTTTTTTAAAAATTTTGTCTAAAATATTCTCTTGTGACAGCGCGAAAATTCGATAAAAAATTCAACGTTTGGATGTTGGGATGATTTCGATTTCTCCGACAATGAGACCGATTTGCCGGATTTGCCAAGAAGAACAATATCGGACGGCAGCACGCCATGGAATAATTTCAATGAAATTGTGATTGGGCAACGGTGAGAATTCATTTACAATGAATATTGAAACAAATGCACAAAAACAATGTTATTCTTCCAATAGATTGGCATCGATGACTTTGTCTCCGCTCCAAAATCGACCGCCAAAATCCGGAACAAAGAAGAAAACCGTAACATGGAACGATCGCCAGTTGGCTGTGACAAAATTAATAAACGAGGCATCAGCCTTAATCAATATATTCAATGAGGTGTCAATAATGCTTGGTCCAGAAATGAGTATAAACAAATCGGCGGCGCGTAAAGAGGATAAAGTCAACATTCCAAAGTCCAAATGGGAGCCAATTTTAAGTGAATCCTGCAATGATCTAGAGAATTCACTTACGAACTGCAGACCACGGCAACATTTGACCAGTGCACAGTTGTTGGCATTGCCAAAATAACTACAGAAATGGACAGCCCAATCGAGTTATTTTCAAACAAAACATCATTTTCATTTGGTTTTATTGTAAAAAAAAAGTGTGAACAATATGGAAAAATTAAAAATATCCAATTGGATTGTCTTTGCCTATTCTTGGAAATAAAGACTTGCAGCAAACACAATATCACGCTTGATTGCATTAGATGCTTCTTCCATTTTTTGGTGCAGTGCCGGATTGCCGATGATTCGAGCAGCATCTTTGACATCCGATAAAGTTTCATTCAATTGCTGAATGCATCGGACAATGACCCCCTCTTGAATGTCTGTCAGTTTCATTATCTCTGCGAATGGCTGCAAATGAACGCGAAAAAAATGTGGGTTAAAAAACGAATTTTTCAATGAAATTTAAATAGAAATGGGAGAAAAATCGAAACCAACCTTATTTCTTGCCCATTCGTAAACCACTTGAACCAAGCCAAAGTTCAAACGTTCGCCATCCAACATTTGTGCTGATTCTCGAATTTCCTTGTCAACATTCTTCATGACATCATCTTCGACCTCACGCAACTCACGATCCACACACTTGATGGTATCAACACACTGAAATATTTAAATCGCATTAGAATTTTTACATTAATTACAATGAAGAAGAAGAAGAAAAAAAACGAACTCCTCAAATGGAAACGTGATTAAAGAGTCCTACCGCTTTGAGATTGTCTGTGAGATTGAGTTCCATTTGTGTTTTACCCTGAAACACTAAGCTAGAAAGTAGTGCGGATATTTCGGCTGGATCCAAATCGTTGAATGTGTTGCACAGCACCAGTTCGGTGATCATTAGCTCATTGGAACCCATTTCACAAGCAACACGACCTTTCAGCGTCACTGCATGTTGATCATCAATGTAATTCAATCGTTTTAATACTTCCAATTTGTATTGATACTCGGGATAAAGAATTAAACTTTGATTGGACATTTTGAATTGAAGTTCGGCCCGTTTGGCCTCCAATTGCTTGCGATCAAAGACCGGTGCAAATTCTTGTTCAAAGTTTGCAATGCGCGTGTATGACAAAAACTCATCCACATTTTTACGATGATGTGCAATCAAATCCACATCCTGAACCATTTTATACTCTTGTTTGAAGTTAATATAATTGACTTTGACCTTATCCGATTTAGCCTGTAGTGTTTTGTGGAAGTTCACCAGTTCACTGATTGCCCTTTCCGTTGATGGTCCGATCGGTGCGTCGCGGAATCTTGGCTTCTGTCGTTGTTGCCAATTGTTAACAATGGCATCAGGGTCGATTTTCACCGTTGTGGTTGTCACATCGATAATATCACTCGGTGCAATGGTCAACACTTTGTGGCCTGGAGCGGTGTTGATTTTGTAATAGCACGGTTTTGTCAGTGCAACCATTCGATGCCACAATTCACCGCGATCCAATGGATTCGATTTGTTCGTCTTTTCCTTCTGCTTTTTATCATCTAATAATGACTGTACAAACAAAACAAAACAAAACAATTATTCACACAGAAAAAAATCGGAAAAAAAATATTTCGTTGGGCCAAGAATATGTATTGTCTATTTCTTTGGCGCAATGATTCCTTCTAATTGGGCTTTGAGCTGTGCATTTGTCTTCTTCAGAAAGGCAATTTCTTCGGCATGTTTTTTCTCTTCGGCCGCTCTAAGTTCAACATTTCGTCGTTCATTTTGTTCGCCCCGCAATTTCATATCGGATATTATATTTTCCATATTTTCTTTATCCTTTTCGAGTTGTGCCACATATTCGACCAATTTTTCTTTCCCCTCTTGACTTTGCAACGCCTTCCTCAAACCGAACGCAATCGAACTGCAATAGAGTGCTTCGTAAGCATCCATCGACATAACCATTTCGTCACGAACTCTCAACAACAGCAGACCTCGTTCGGTGCAGTTAATTGTCACTTGTCGTATCAATTCATCGAAACATTGTGTGTACAGTTCGCGTCGTATGGGACAAATGCCTGTTTCACGTGCTTGACTTTGTTGCAACAGTGAATCGAGTGTTTCTTGCAAATTAACCACATCCTGTCGTGTTGCCGGCACACTTGAAACCGTTTGCATCCACAGTTGACCATCCTCCTCTTTCCACGTCCGTGGCGGAAGAATTGAATTTAGAATTTCCTCCGTTTCGCGACGATTTTCGGCTAATGTATTTGCTGAACATGGTCGTGCCGATCGATCTTTGGCTGACGACACCGATGCACCGTCAATATTTGGTGCAGATGACACTGACAGAGCTGATACACCGATACTCTTTTCCGTGTACGAACTCACTAAAACCGGAATGTTATATTTGACCAAAACAAATTCACTTGGTTTATTTGAATTTTCAGTGTCGTCCATCGCGTCAAAGTTTGAAATCGTTTTTACTCGAAACTAAATCGAGTGCCAATAAACACATTTCGTGCTGCCATGACTACGTATTGACAATTCATATTCATATTCACCCAATAAAGTATAAACAAACAAACAAAAATAACTTACCACTCGACTAATAGTTTCGACGGCATTATCGATATCATCATTCGTTGCATCGTTATCCAGAATGAGAACGTTGTAAAGGGGTTTGGTAAGTGGTGACAATGCCGACAAAAATAAGGCAAAGCGATTGTGATACTTATTGTGCGATATGTAAATCAGTCGGCCTGGCTTCATATTAAGTGCTTTGGATGCCGCCAATCGCATCATGAATCGTTGATACGTAACGATATATTCGTAGGCACAGTCAAAGAACTTGCACAACGGTTCCATGTGTGAGCCAAGCTCCGGGATTTTCGACATTTCCTGCTCGAATTTCTCCAACTGTGCCATTGTATCTGGTTTTGTGGACTGCGTTTCAAATTCCTTGAAACTGTGCGACATCATATCTTCGACTGAAACACTTTCGACGCGGAACAAATTCAAAATCATGGCATACGTCAAGCGGAATTTTGATTCCAAGTTTTTCGGTTGTCCAGTAATCATGGTTTTTAACAGTATATCGTTGGGCACATCGGTTTTACAGAGCAGAATAACTCTTCCGTGCTTATCCAAACCACGACGACCTGCTCGTCCTGCCATCTGTGTGTATTCGGCCGGCAGAATTGGACGCAATTCTTTGCCATCGTGCTTTTTGTACGAGTCAAAAACCACCGTTCGGGCCGGCATATTCACGCCCATGGCAAATGTTTCCGTGGCAAACAACAGTTTTACATGACCACGTTGAAAGAGCAATTCAACGACTTCTTTTAAAATCGGCAAAATGCCGCTATGATGAACACCGATGCCTCGTGCCAACGAGTCTTGCAGCATCAACACTTGGGGAATGAACCGATCTTCTTCTTTTAATTTTGACAAACATTTATTGAAGAATGTTCGAATGGCGCCAGCTTCGGAGCCCGTCGTCAAACTCAACGACTCCAACGATTTAACGTATTGATCACATTTGGCACGCGACAAAGAAAAGGCAATTATTGGCAGTTCATCATTTTGCTTGAGTAAATCGATTAATGTTAACCATATTTGGGCTTCGTGTTTTGGATGTAGGAAATTTGGGCCGTGACTTTTTCCACCGCCTCCGCCGCCACCACTTTGGCCACCTCGTGAGCCTGATCTATTATCGGATTTTTGCTGTTGGTTCGGAGTAGATCCCTTTGAATTTGAGTACCCGCCACCTCGTGAACTCGCCTTATTTTTCTGCTTCTGCTGTTGCGTTTGTTTTGCCGTTTTCGCATCATTGTAGCCCTTGGTGAGAAAACGACCATCATCGTCGACTATCAAGAACAACTCTTTTCTCGTTTCAGTATTGTGACCGGTGTACAGATAATGTTTCAATGGAACGGGTCGCTTTGATGTACTGATCACGTACACCTTTTTCCGTTTCGTCATGCCCACCCAATTGGAGAATTTTAAAGCATTCGGCACGGTGGCACTCAACATTATAATGTTCACATGTTCTGGCAATAAAATCAACACCTCTTCCCACACATGACCACGTTCGATGTCTGTAATATAATGCACTTCATCGAATATAACATACTCCAAATCTCTGGTCACTTCGCTGCCACAGTACAACATTGATCGCAAAATCTCGGTTGTCATAATCAAACATGCCGAAGATGGATTGATCTGAATGTCTCCCGTAATGATGCCGACATCGTCGAATGTCTTCTTAAAATCGCGATACTTTTGATTGGACAATGCTTTTATTGGTGAGGTATAAATGGTTCGGGTCATGTGTTTCTGTGACAAGGCAATGGCATACTCGGCCACAACCGTCTTTCCAGCAGATGTGTGGGCCGATACGAAAATGTGATTGTGATTCTCCAGCTTGATGATGGCTTGCTTTTGAAATGTATCCAATTCAAATGGATATGTGTGCGCCAGCTCTGGCACTTGCTGCTCGAAATCTTTTACCGGCTGGGTAATATCCACCCATTCGGCGTATTCCATGCTTTGCACTTTGGGCTTACGTGTTTTCGAAATGTCCAACACCGGTGCTGCTGCTGGGGTTTTCAGTATAATTTCATCTAATTCTTCGTTATACTCGAATTGACTCGGCGCTGATTTCTTTGATACCGTTTCGTTGTCAGACCACATGCCCAATACACTGTGCTCATCTTCGACGATCGACAGCAAATCAACACTTTCATTGGTTTCCACAGCGTTTGTATTAACACCACCATCGGTTGTTGTGTTGAATTCCAATCCTTCGCTGAAACCTGGTGCAACTTTTAAAAGATTTTTCACAAAATCGGATTGATCGAGCTTGAGCGATTCGATTTGTTTAGCCGGCTCATCAAAACCACCTGGCCAAAAAGGGAAATTCGTTGCTGAGCCACGCGTTGCTTGTTCTGGTCGAACTGGCGCTCGACGCATTGACATCGAATTTTTCGCCGTACATTCCGCATCTTCAAGTTCAACTTCAACAAATTCCAAAATACGACCGGTGACGGGATCACGATCAGCAACTAGCGTAGTGCTCGCTGTTCCAAGTGGTGCATGATAGAGACTCGTTGGATTTGATTCACGTGGCAGAATAAATGGCTTTGGATCATGGATGGGCAATTTTTGATTGACAATATATTCCTGCAATGTCTCCTTTGGATCATCTAAAATTGCCGCTGTATTGTGCAGCCACAAAGGCTATCAAAGAAATAATGATGCATTAATTATTTTTATGCGGTATTTTGAAAAATGCGAATGTCTCTTTTCAGTTCTTACATCGAATGACATTTCGTATAAATAATTTTACAATTGTTGTTTTTCCTTTTAACTCAATTGGAACGTAATGTTGTGAAACAAAAGCTAAAGTTAATACGAATTAGTTTTTGTTTCTTAACCTATCTGTCGTTGCTTTGTATTGTGTGTTGAATTTATGTGTCTGTTGAAATGTCAACAGACGTACGTTTGCATCGGTCAACCCTAAAAAAAATGAGAGTGTGATTGCCAAACTGCAGTAATTTCCACGTATGTCACATCCCATAACAACAATATTATTCCATTACGTTGTGCGAACGACAGATTTCCAATCATTCTAATTAAATAAGTCAGTATTTAGTAACCAAAAAAAATAAACTCAAAAAATATAAATATTTCCTATTTCCAACGTTATTATCCACGTAAACAAGCTAAAAAAAATGGTCAGCATATTGAATACCATTGATACCGGTCATGAAGACATGATCCATTGTGCCGAAGTTGATTATTATGGATTACGTTTGGCGACATGTTCCTCCGATAATTCGGTGAAAATTTTCGACATCAAAAACGGTGCACAAACATTGGCGGCCGATCTAAAAGGACACGGTGGACCGGTATGGCAATGCTGTTGGGCGCATCCACGTTTCGGTAACATTTTGGCAACATGTTCATACGATCGAAAAGTCATCATTTGGCGTGAACAAAACGATTGGATTAAATGGTACGAATACAGTATGAGCGAATCATCGGTCAATTCGGTTGCATTTGCACCGCCCGAATTCGGTTTGATTTTGGCATGTGGCAGTTCGGATGGTTCAATTTCCATTTTGACATGTAACACGGAATCGGGTCAATGGGACTATAAGAAAATCTCAAATGCGCACACTATCGGCTGCAATGCTGTCAACTTTTGTCCATCAACTGTGCCAGAGCCAGCATTCGATCAACGTGGTGTGGGTACAAAGGCATCGTACGGTGTCAAACGATTGGTATCTGGTGGTTGCGATAATTTGGTGAAGATTTGGAAGGAAGACGGTGATCGTTGGGTGGAAGAAAATCGCCTGGAAGCGCACAGTGATTGGGTGCGTGATGTTGCATGGGCACCAAGCGTTGGTTTGCCTAAATCACAGATTGCTAGCTGTTCACAAGATCGACGGGTCATTATTTGGTCGAGTGACGATTTGGTCAATTGGAGTTCAACCATTTTACATACATTCGATGATGTGCTATGGAACGTGAGCTGGTCATTAACTGGTAATATTTTGGCCGTGTCCGGTGGCGACAACAAAATCTCACTATGGCGCGAAAACAACGAAGGACAATGGAGCATGATCAGCGAAGATGCCAGCGTTCCCACGTCAGGCAATGCATTATCGGAACAACGCACTCTTTAAGAATTTTTTAAATACTTTTTTTTTCTGTTCATTTTATCGAAAATAACAAACAAACAATGTAATCTTCAACTCACGTATATACTGTTGTTTCCAAATGTGAACGCATCCGCTGATGCATAAACCAAATTTCGTTTCCAATAAAATACAAAAAATGATAATAAATAAATTCCAGACAAATCAATGTTTTATTTCACATTTTTATTCGTTTTTTTTTATAGTCTATGGATGAGAGTTTCAAAATTTCAATTTTGTGATTGTTACTGTTACTGTTGTTGTTGTTGTTGTTTTTATTTGTTTATGAAAGTTTGTCATAGGGAATAATTTTTCAATGGAAATAAAATGTTTAGTTAAAAAAAAATGTTTTCCTAGTGTGTGTATGTGTCTGCGTGTTTGTGTGGAAGCTAGGGTAATCGACATCTACTATGTACTCCCAAGAATTTAAAACTGTTTACTTATATGCCAACACAATAGATTTTGTTCTTTTCTTTTTTTTTCATTTAAAAATCGGTTTGAATCGCTTAACGCATTCGATAATGGTTTTCTTCTTTGACCGATGACAATTCACCTTTGAAATTAATTTCGATTGAAAAATCTAAATCTCGATTGTTTCGATCATTCGGCTTCAGTTTGAATATACCATAGCAAGTTTCATTCTTCTTTACTGTCAAATAATCGTCTAAGTAAAACACCGTCTGTTTCCAATGTGTATACGGTGAATCGGGTGATGTGCTGTAGAAGGACGGAAAGAAAAAATCAAATTAAATGTGACTGTCGTCGAATTTATTTATTTTTTTTTTGTTAATTTACCTGAAGCCCATTCGCTTGTGACAACGGGTGAATTCGACATTGAAAAATGTGACCAATGCTTGTACAAAATCGTTGCGTTTCATGACCAATTCGAATGGAGTTGTGAAATCCAAATCGGCCTTCTGTATCGTATACAAATCAACCTCTTTAACAAGGTATGGACTGGACACAACTTGTTTTGGATCGACCACATCGACCAATGGCTCGGTGATGGCAACCTTCCGTATCGATGACATATTAAAACCGTACACATCATCCCACCAATTGATCTTTTCATCTTTGTACTGTCGGTCTTCGATGGCGGTCACATACAATGTGCAACGATCGGGAAACATCATGCCATCATCGGGCCGAAGCCATTTGTCGCGTGCGAATAATACTGTGTCCAACATTGATTCGTAGAACAAGCAATAGCCCATCCATTCCGAAATGATAATATCAACTTTGTCCACTGGTAGCTCAATCTCTTCGACCTTTCCCTTGACCACAGTGATGACATCACTAAAATTATTCGCTTCAATGATTTGTCTGGCATAATCAACGATATTGGAGCATTCAACGGCATAAACTTGTGCAGCTCCAGCTTTAGCGGCAAACATGGACAAAATTCCAGTGCCACAACCAATGTCCAAGACAGTCTGTGCAAAGAAACATTGAAAAATGGGTGATAAAATATCACCAAATCAGCGAATCCATTGAGGATGGATCGGAGAAAAATGTTTACATACCTTTCCCTTGAACAAATGTTTATTGTGATACATCGCATTACGATATGTCAAGGTTCGCACTTCATCTTTGAGCATTTCCTCGTGAATGCCAAAATGTGCATAGGAATCGAAATAATAATCACGTGATGTCATCTCGTCGGGGCTCATGCCATTCTCTTTCTTCATATCTGAACCGTTCGATGTTTCGGGTGTTGACTCCATATTAACATCGCCTGACTGTTGAAAGAAAATCCAATTCATTGAATGAGAAAATTATTTTTTTTTCTATTTTGTTAAATCATTTTGTTTTGAAGAAACGAATGGAAATGCCGACATTTTTTTTCTTCGTAAAATTATGCATTTTAAAATGTTTATTTCAAAATCAATTTCCATGCAAATCTAAAAAAAACATTTTATTTAAAACAATCTAGTCTTATTCACATCTACACCGGCTCACGCTTAGACATGCGACTCATATAACTTAACCACAAATATAACAAAACAAAATGTCAGCGCCAATAACACGTTTTTTTTCTATTTCATAGCGCTTCATGTTTTGTACTTGGCGGAAAAAAAAATGGCATACGAATTTCTACAGGATTTTGTATTTCATGCAATCGACAGAGCATCATGTCTTTGCATTACATGCAAAATGCATTGAATCGCTTGCGTCGGTTATTGCTGTAACAACGTACCATGTTGACCGCCCTTGTTTGTTTCAAATCTATGTTGCTCGTTTATTTTGGCCACTGCAAACTTCTTCTTTTTTTTTGCAAACACACAACACACTAGACGCGCGTTCACAATTTTTATATATGCTATTCGCAACTAAATGATTCACTCTATATTAAACTATAAAGTGGGAAAATCATCGATTTACAGCAATTTATTTGTAGGAAATATTTATTTATTTGAAAAAAAAAAAAATATTTGTACGAAAAATGATTTGAGTTTCAACGACACGCAATAGACGTGCTATTGTACTTTTGCTGTTGAATGGGATGTTGTATTGTGAGAACCGTATTGGAATAGGTTTGCGTATCGGCACAAGCATGTGACAGTATGTGTGTATATGAGAAATGTCAAACTGTCGACTTTTGGTATAATACACACTATTCAGACTATTCAAAACATAACCTCAAATTTGTGACAATTCTCTATGGTTAGTCTGTTTTGCAAACGGGGGATTGTATTCCATTTAACACGATTGGAATACACGAAATTCGGTGACCAATTTGATTTTAATTGTTGAATTGAAATTTATTGTGTGATTTTTTGTACGATGCGTCTTACCAAAGTGCTATTTCGCCAGCATTTGGGCTGGCATACCAAAATGAAATGGAGAACTCAAAAGCGACGTAACATTCAAGATGAAAGAGTCGTTGCCAATTTGAAAGATATTGGTTTGCCTGTTATCGATCCATATGAGGAGTTTGTTGCCGAACCCAAAATGCCAGATCTACCGTTAGTATATGCCAATTGATTGTGTTATTCTTTTTTGGAAAATTAAAATCATTTCAATTGATTTTAGTGCGGAATTTGTTGATCCCGTTGCCCCCGAACTACATGACCGAAATGAAAAGCATCCATGGTGGAATTCTCGTATCTGCCATACGTTTGGCGATGGGAATGTGTTGATTTATGGCGAAAAACAAGCGCAAGTCCTATCCAAAACCTTGTTAGTCAATGAGCTCCCGGAAAATATTCAGAAATTAGCAAAGAATGCTGACATTTCGGATGAAACGGAGATTCAAGTGAAAAACAGCATATTGCAAGCACATCTTTTCGATTCACATCAGGAAAAATTGGCAATAAAAAAGAAACCAGATCAACCAATGTGGGTGTATCCACGTGACTGGGGCATTACAGACCAACGCAAAAAGTAATTTTCATCGGAGTTTTTCTAATGAAAATCAATAATGATAATGATCATATTGTTCCCTTTCAGCCGATACATTACCGACAAACTGCTGCAGTACTGTGAGAAACTTACGGATGCTTCAGTGACTGCCCAACGGAAAATTTTGGATAATGCTACGTTTATCGTTCCGTTTGAATCGGATGGAAATTTGATTCGATTCCAAAAAACGGCCGAACATTTTTTGGTTTCAAAACAACCACTTAAACCCATCGCAGATGTTTCAAAGGCCGAAAGCGAGTTGCCAGACATTCATCCATTGCACAGCAACATTTCGATCGATAAGGAGAACATTTATCAAAATAAAAATATCTATCGTAAGTTGTCGACCGATATTTCTTTTGAAAAAAAAAACACGTGGAAAAAATATTGCAAAAATTTTTTTTATCAATTTTAAATATGTAACAGAATATTTTTGATTGACTTGAATTCCAGCTATACAAAAAGGTGCCAATTTTGAGCATCCACACACGGCATTTGTCCACTACACACCGTTGGATGTGAAAACCATCACGTTGGAGCCAGTATCCGAAGACCAAGTTGCATCCCGAGTATTGCTAAAAGCATTCACGGTTGCCGCTGCAAAGGCCCAATCAGTTTACGGGGTGAGTGGAAAATGTGCTCAAAATGATAGAAGAAAACTCGAACCACATAGAGATCGATAATGATATTCAATTCAATACAAATATTTTATCATCATTTCAGGCGGATGTACAAGAATTGCCAAAACCAATAACTGTTCAATGCGTACAGGTGCACGTCAATAAGTTCTACTTCGGCGTTTATCAACTGAACACATTGAATCTGCAGGGTGACAGTAGCACAAAGAACTATTGGTTCAAAGTACCGCCAAAGCTTCTTTACACAAATTGCGAGTATCTCGAGAGTCGACCTGTGCTCAAGAACTATAATGGCGATGTGCTGCGCCACACCTTAGCTTTTTATCAAAATCAATAAACGAACACCGTAGTTGCATGTGACAAAATAAAAATTATTCAAATTGTAGTTTAATGTTAAATAAATTGAAATTACATGTTATAAAAAAAAGAACTCAATTGTCAAGTAATTTTGTTTGATGAACAAGTCGCGTTTTTTTCCAGTCTTGATCACGATTGACATCAACGAATTCGATTGTTTTCCTTCTGCTGTTTAAGTTTGTAAAATCTCGTCAAAGGCTTTGGTTTAACGAATGAATTATAACGGCTTTTCAGAAAAAACAACATTCAAAAAAGCTCAATGACGAAAACTAAAGAAATCAGTTTTACCTGAATTTCAGCCAGCGTTAATCTAATAATTCTTTCGTTATGAAATAAATGTTAGAATAATCAAAATCATATATTTGTTAGTTTAGCGCTGGATGAAATATGAAATTCAACCAATTTATTGGAAGAAGTGATAACCGGCCTGGTGAACTCAGTTACATAAATGAAGTTTAATGTGACTTATGTGAAATATGATTAAATTGTATTAAACCTAATATTTGAAGTGAGCGTTATTTTCTCAAATTTCTGGGAATAAAATTAATTTTTCTGGATAGTGGACTTGAACATATGCATTGATTTTATTTTTATCTTCAACATGCATACATGTACCATGTACACTTTGAACACATCGTCCAGTAAGAATTTCACACAGTAACCGAAAAACATTTAAATCCGAAGATATTTAGATTATTCGTTTTCTGTTTTTTGTGAGAAACTATCGTTAGCTACACTTATGCCGAGTGTTGTTATCCTGTCATCTCTAGATTTGCATCCATTGAACGGGAACTGGTAAAATATTTGCCAATTTTTTTTTTATTATTTTATTTCAATTTTTAGAGTTATTTTTCTTTTTTATTTTCATGACAATATATTAGGATATCCAGACCAAATTCCAGCTTTCAAAGTTAGTTTTTTTGCTTGAAATAGAATCTGTAAAAATGATCCAAATTGTAATTTGGAGTAAAATAAAATGAAATTACAAGTTACAAAAACAAAAATAATTTATTTCTCGAGTAATTTAGTTTGGGAAAATTGTTGTAAATATTCGATTTCGAGTGGATGTAATTTCTTGGCTGGTAAAATGAGTGAATGCAATGGAGCGCCCAAATCGGTTTCAGCCATTTTTTGAAGTGAGCAAGCTTTGATGGCCTGTGTATCATGACCAACACGAGCCAGTCCAACGAATAATGAATTTTCCGTGTAGGCTAGATCTGCGTTTGGAATTCCTTCGGCGCGTCGTTTCTTCAGAATCTCCAACAATTGCTGCGATGCTTCACTTACGCTCATAAAACGTGGCGGTTGATATTCGCGCTTCTTTCGCGTCAGTGACTCCAAGGTGGGTTCTTTCACTCGAATGTCTTCCGAAAAATATTATCAAAAAATAAGTAAAGAGTTTCAAAAGTAGGCATGCACTTCAATTTGATTTACCTAATAAGCAGAGTGTATGGAAATTATTGGCAACATTCACTTTGATTTTATCATAAAAGCTGTCTGGTTGCCAAGTGTCGCTCCAATATGGAATGGAAATAGTTTCGCCAAAACTGTACAATTGAAGGCCACAACAGCCGACGGCATTCATAATCGATGCATTGTGCACGACATGGAATTTAATATTTTTCTCTTGAGCCCGGATAATGAAATCAGTGTGAGTTGTTGCACCGAATGGATCGCCAACGACCAACAACGCAACATCAACGTTGGCAGCATCTCTCAAAATCTCATCAGCACCGGATTCAACGAGCTCACGGTCGGCAATAATCAACGGTCGTCCATAGAACTCTTCCTAAAATATCAAAATGATTAGACTGAGTTTAAGATTTACAATAAGAAAATGCAGTGAAACATACCAACGCAGCTTGGCCACAAGTTAATATTGATGTGTATGACTCCAAATAAACGCGTTCACATTTTTTAATGATTTCCAATCCTTTCACCGTTACATCCTTCGGATCACCGAGTCCCAATCCAATAATGTAGAACATTTTGCCGATCACACGTGTTGTTATTTACTCAGTGAGTGTCAGCATTTCAAATTCGAAATACAATGTCAAATATCGATGCTGGGCTGAACATTACTTGAATGGTCGCCTTAAGTATTAAGTTTCTTGATTCTCTACAAGCTGTACTTAGTGGCTAAAACTTCACGTGCAATCACATAAATAATCTGTATACGCCAAAGTTCGTTTGTTTTTCATCGATAGTTCGACACAACAGCAAAACAAGCGAAAATATTTCAAGTGATAATTCTTATCAATCAAGTGGTAATTGAATTAAGTCCCTGAATGTGAATAACGTTGGTTTGGTTCATTATTTAATTTGAATTTAGGATCTAGAATAAATATTATTTTCTAAAATGCAAATCAATCAATTCAAATGGTTTTTATTATTAATGGGAGGTTTATTGACGGTGAATGCCGGTGAATATCACTACAATGTTTCCTATTTCGAGGTTGCATTGGATCATTTCAGCTTTGCGAAAAACAAAACTTTCCAACTTCGGTGAGATTTTCGTTTTTTGTGTGCGTTTATTTATTGGTCAATCAGATTGGAGCCGTCCTTGTAAATAAATTTCACAACGATAATGAATTTTGATACATTGTTTCTGTGGGAGGGGCGTTTATAGGTACTTGACGAATGATACGTTTTCAAAAGATGATCGAAAAAGTCCGATTTTTTTCTATGCGGGAAATGAAGGTAACATTGAGACCTTTGCCCAAAACACTGGTTTCATGTGGGAAATTGCCGAAGAGTTTGGTGCATCGATAGTCTTTGCCGAGCATCGTTATTATGGGAAATCACAACCGTTTGGAAATAGCTCATTTGATTCACCCGAACATTCGGGATACTTGACATCGCAACAAGCATTGGAAGACTATGCTCAGTTGTTGGTTCAACGAGTCAATCCAAAGAAACGGCCAGTGATTGTATTCGGTGGTTCGTACGGTGGAATGTTGGCAGCTTGGTTCCGTATGAAGTATCCACATCTTGTAATTGGTGCCATTGCGTCATCTGCACCCATCTTTCAGTTTACCACCGAATGCGGCCGATTCAATACCATTGTGTCCAATGTGTTTACCGTTGGACAGGGCAATTGCTCCAAAAACATTCGCCAATCATGGGATGTGCTAAAGTATGTTGCGATATCATTTTATTGATTGAATCAAGATAATACAATACCTTATTTCTCGGATTGAACAGGAAACAGGGCGCTACGCAAGATGGACTCAACGCTCTGAAAGCGAAATTTAAGATCTGTGATAGTTACTCGTTTACGAAACTTAAAGCATTTGAGGGTATTTCAACATTCTTATTTGGCTTTAAAAGCAATAATTGTCTTCGCGGTTTCATGTTCTACATTTTCATTTAAAGATTATCTCAATGACGTGTACGGAGCATTAGCAATGGTCAACTATCCATATAGCACAAGCTTTTTAGCTCCACTACCACCAAATCCCGTCACTGAGTACTGTGCCCGGATCAATGGAGTGTATAACGATGACCAAATACTCGATGTAGGAATGCAATTCACCCGATAACATTCAATACCATCAATTTATCCCAATTTTTTTCCGGCACACTTTTAGAACCTTCACAATGCATTACAAATCTACACTAATTATACTGGACAAACGAAGTGCCTTAACATTGAATCGGCTTTTGATGCATCAATGTCTGGTTGGGAATTTCAGGTGTGGATTTTTTTTTCTAAATTGCTAATTCTTCACTTGAAATTTCATTGGTTCATTGGTTCATTTTCATTAACCGTTTGTATTACAACAAATGTATAGGCATGCACTGAAATGGTGATGCCGATGTGTACCAAAGAGAGTAAAAAGAGTATATTTCCACCGTCTGAATGGGATTTCAAGAAATATTCCGATGACTGTTTCGCCAAATGGAAAGTGCTTCCGAAGATAGATATGGCAACCACGGCTTATGGGGAAAACTTGAAGTAAACACACTTTCAACCGAAATATTCAAGAAAAAATTGATTGATTTCAACACGTCACCCACCGTTAATATTTTTCTTTTTTTATTTAGATACGCTTCGAATATTGTATTCAGTAATGGTTTAATGGATCCATGGTCTGGCGGCGGTGTTTTGCGTGCGCCAAACGATAAGATTACAATAATCATAATTCCAGATACGGCCCATCATTTGGATTTAAGAGCATCAAATCCAAATGATCCAGCATCGGTGATTGCAGCACGTAGATTAGAAAAGGATGCAATTCACAAATGGCTCGAACAAGAAAACTATGTATAATAATTACACAAAAATTGTAGCATCGATTAAAATGGTTTTAAATTTATTGAAACTAACAGGATGAACAAAATATATATCAAAATTTTCAAACCGATTTCTGTCTTTTTATGCGGTTTTCGTGGTAAAAATTGGTGACTGTCGAATGTATTGGTCTGATTTCTGTTTGAATAAATCTGAAGTGATTGGTGTGCCCGGTTCCCACAGTGGATTCTTCACAACATATTCCACCCAAACTTTTGCATAGTATTGTTGCAGGAATTCTTTGACCGACACAGCAGTCGTGTCTGTGTTAAGCACAAATCTGACGACAGAGAAAGAAAAAAGAAAACACAAACGAATGAAAACAAATGTAAATGATATGGTGTCGATGATTGTTGGTTTACTAACCTTAGGCCCGATGCTGTTTCTAGATAATGCAATGCGTATTTGTTTGTCTTATAAAAAAGGAAGCCTTCTTTTGGATCGGTCGGCGAGATTTTGTTAACGAATGATTTGATAGAAAATAGCATTCCGTACATGAGTTTCGCCTCCTCCTCTCGTGTAATGCCCGACTGTTTGATGCGATTCCATTCAGCATAGTACAGCAATGTGCCAAACTTATCGAAAATATATAAATTATATATCGTCATATTTATGGCCGTCTATCTGTCGATTAACTCAAAAAATTACGAATTTTACACGAGGCAAACGAAAAACCAACGAAAAAACGAAAGATGTAATTGAATTGGGTGGTTGGTGTATGCAGTTGATATTGTTTTGTTTTCTGTCAAACCGATTTTGTGTGATATCACACACTCTGTGTATTGAACCGAATGCGATACGTCACACAAATCTCTACAGACACACAGCATTCTCCAATCTACAAAAAAAATAAAGAAACACATGCACATAAATCTCAAACCGTCTACTACCAGGCTACACAGTTGCCACAGTGAAACAATGAAATTCCATTGTATGAAGGAAGTAGTTGTCAAAGTCAGCTGTGTGTGCATTGTATGTGTAGACGCATTTTCAACATTTGAGCATGTATTTAAACTATACTCAACAGGAATTGGTATGTTTTGTTTTTGTTCGAAACGACGAATGATGTGAACAAAAAAATCTACACTTGACAAAAAAAAAACTGCGTGCATTGTATAAACCTGTGTTAACATATTTTTTTCCATCATCTTTGGACTGCGAAAACAATGTGTTTGATAACAATAATTGAAAAGCAAAAAATCTAGCCAATTTACACACAGTTCGAACACACTATACGGAAATATAAGAGAGACGATCTGTCGATTTGCTGTTGCAAATCGTTGCGTTTTATTTATTTGTGTTTCATCATGAAAAAACTGATTATTTAGTGGGCAAAAAAAATGGTTGTTTATTTTGCACGGTGTAAATAAATCGGAATAAAATTGATTGTGAACAGTGCGACGCACAGTGCGATGGCCACCTTAGAGAAGCCAAAACAAAAGGTATTTTCCCTGGTTGATGATTACAAGCATTCAATTCCGTCGCAACAAAATCGAATCAGTTGTGGACGGGTCGTGTGCAATAATGTCATTGTTTTGATTGTGAATTTGAATGTTTGTTAATATTTTTCGTTTCAGAAAAAGAAGAAGGTGAGACCGAGCAGTGTTGCTGAGGAATCAGCTGAAAATGTGCAATGGTCGAATGCTGACATTGAATTTCCCAGCACATCAACCAGTGACGAAATTGAAATCATCTCACAACCAGATGATGAAACAATTTGCAAACTATTATCAGCCTTACCTATTCCCAGCGAAACGGTGCACAGTCCCAACGAAAATAGTGAAACTGTCGGAAATGCAGACATACCGATAACAGACACTGGAACCATCGCGGAAAATGATGTGTTCAGTAAGTTGGGATTGATTTTCTTCAAAGCAGTACTTATGGAGTTTTGTTCGCACATTTTCAGTCATTTATAGAAATTTTTTGCCCATTTTTTGCACGCAATGAAACCTTTAAATAGAACAATTTACTTTTTCGTCTTTATTCTCATAAAAAAAAATGGATCTTTCATTGCGAAACATTATCCGCTCTGAAGCAAAAGACAACGAAATTCCGTATCATAACGTATTTTTGTTTGCAACTGATATCTGATACTGGCTTGATGCAATGCATTTCTGATGACTCAGTGCTTGTATTTTGTTTTTGTTCATATAAATAAAGAGTAAACTTTCCGAGAGAGTATATTGAGTCGCTATAAGTGCCATGTACTCTAGCGTCGCAAAATAAAATTAGTGTTGATATAGATGATGTATCTTTGTATTTGTCGGCTTGCGAGCACAATGCTAAAATGGCATTACTGTCTGAAAATACTCATTTTCCACGAGCATGAAATATGATTCAAAAAAGATTTCTTCGAATGATTGGGAACGTTGCTTTGAAGAAAAAAAATGAAGAATAAAATGATTCAAAATTGAAATAAAAATATTTCTTAAATATAGATAATGACAATGACGAAGACAAGACGGCAGACGAAGTAAAGAATGCAGAAGAAGAGAATGTAGAGGAAGAGAAGTCAGCAAATGAAGAGGTAGCTGTGGAAAGTGAAAAAGTGAGTGAGAAAGAAAAAACAGCACCACCCATAGATGCAGCTAAAACAAGAGAAAATGAGCCAATCGAAGCACACCCAATACCACTGGCTCCATCGGCGCCAGCAATCGAAGATGACGATGCAACGCAAATTGATTTACCGCTACAAAATTTGCTCTATCCAAATTTACAGAGCATACAGTCAATTGGCCAAGCCATCAATTCAGTGCAACAAACAAAGGAGCAAATTATTTTGCAACCATTCACGGATGAACAGCTCAGAGAGCTCTACAATAATCCCGAATCGATTTTGGCCGAAGCATTCGAAGCCGACTTCATAAACACCGAACTAAATAGCACGCACAAAGACAATCCGCTTTATGAATTGATCAAAAAATATTCGCACAGTCGATACAATTTGAAAGTGAACATGCTCGATTTGCACGCATACATCAAATGCTTTCAAGAAAACTCACAAAAAGTTTGGATCATCGAAAATCGCATCACAACGTATGAAGGTGTTTGCGCCGACGGCGAACGAATTCGCAAAAATGAACTATATGAGTAAGAGAATTAAGCCTGTCCATTCAACTAGTTTCTTTTCAATCAAATTGATATTTTATGTAAATTGTCACTTTTTCCTCGATAGATACGCCGTTTTGAACGAGCAAAACTTCCAGAAGCTCTCTTCAAACTTGAATAACACATTGCAGTTGGTGTGTTACAGTTTCATGACGAATTTATATGCCTGTGAATCATACAGAACGCAGGTATGATTCGGAATCAAAATTAATTTTTTCACAGTTTATTAATAATCTACGGAATTCTCTTTAGATTGAGCAAAGTATTCGTGAATTACTTGCCCATCCTGCATTCACGTCAATTCGAACGACAACACCAATCGCCCTGAATAAAACACTCGCCGCTGATATTTTGGATGCAATGCGTGAGGTTCGCGTCACCGTTTCGGTGCTGTTTAGTTTTTTACGTCGACAAGTGCCTGACAAAGAGTTTAGCAATGACATTAAGAAATGGCTTGAAAAGTTGACTGCTTACTATGTACGTGTGGCCACATGGCAAGATCATCTGTTTATCATTTATCATGTGCTTAGATGTCCGCCGGGTATTGCATCCTGGGCCACATCGCTCATTCAAATTCCAAAGACAAAAACCATTGAAATGGCACCATTCACCAGTGACGAGATCAATCATTGCGTGACTTTTTTGAAAGTGCTCCTCATGCCAACCAAGCTGCGCACGGAATTTTTGGCCAATTTGCACACTGAAAACGGACCGATTGATGCAACCACCGAAGATCTATGGATTATCATCGATTCAGATGGCGAAGAAGACAACACTCCGGCAGGAGAATGTGCCAAACTGAAAGAAAACGACTTGATCGCTTTGCTGAACCAAGTTCCGTTTGAATATTTATTTAGGTACAGAATTTTACAACTGTTTTCAATTTTAGTTCATCGATTTCAATTCGATGGATTCAGTTTGAGAATAAATCGTTTTTTTTTTTTAATTTAAAACAGATCGATGACCTTCACCACAGTCAATGGTGATCATAAGAAAATAAACAAGAACATGTTAAGTGGATATCACTTGTTGAAATTTATAGCGTTTTCCACGAATTTAGTTGAACTTCTGGGCGAAGGATTGAAAACCTATGCAAATGAAAGGTGAAAACTCAAAAAGGGGAATCAAACCGATTTTATTCAAATTCAAATGTTATTTATCCCATTTTCAATTCAGATACAGACAATTCGCCAAACTTCTAAGTCGTTTGGTTCGCCACTCTGTGCAATACGTTTCGGATATGCATTCCCTGTTCCGGTTTGTTGCAATGTTTTATCGCATAAAATTGATCCATTTCTATCTATTAATTAATTTGGCTTCCTTTTTCAGATCGAGTGACTTACGAAAAGACGATAAGTTGTGTGCCCGAATCCAAGTAGAGTTCGACACATTTGTGTTGCGTTCGAGCAATTACATTTATTTATCACGATTTTTGGGTGCTTGGCAATATTTGGCCACTCTACCATTTTCAGAGCTTCATATCAAAACCACATGGAAACTGTATCATATGCTAACCTCTGGATTTTCCAAGGATTCAATTGAAAATGTGACAGAAGGTACTAAAATATTCAAATTTTGTCGTCGAATTTCTGAACAAAAATTTTTTTTCTGCCATTTTGAAATGTAGATTTCCAAAAGAAAGCGTCACAAGGTGCCTTTTTGGAGCATTTCAACGACATTGTCGTCGATGTTCCCGCTGAAGATATGTACTATTTGCTGCAAACGTTTGCCTCAATGGCATTGGCCCGGGAAATGAATGATTTAGAATTTATTCGACGTGTGACGACCGACTTATTTAAAGTTGGTTTCATAAATGCGCTTACACGAGACAATTGTTATAAAATCGTTCGTGATCTCCTAGTTAATATCACATCGAAGCACACCGAATTGATTTCGGACCTACTCACATTGCTCAAAGAGAATTTCAAACTGGTAAATAGCATTCAGCTGGCAACAGTCAAAAGCGTGTAATAATAATGTGTGGCATGAACATTCTTTTTTTTTAGATTGATAAATACGGTCCATATTTGTTTAAATCACTGCCATTGGATGGATGGCGACCTCCGATGGAAGTGTTTGAAATATCGGCAAATTGGTTGCTGAACCATGGTTTTGAGACACGTGAAAGTGCAATGGCTCGAACCATTTTCAGTCGTTTGAATTGGAATTTCGACAAGACAACGGGCGAACTATTTTTGCCGTATGAAATTCATGTGCGTATGGCATCGTTGATTGTGGATGTGTCATCGAAGCTCGTGCCCGAAACGATTGGATCGTCTGGAATATCGGAAAGTGTTCGTCAGATGTCGAATTTGGTGAAGGGTCAAACACCGCATCAACAGTTCATTATGTGGTGCTGGAATATGGTGTCGGTCCTGCGATTGCACTCATTCGATCAAAGCCCGGAATTTATTCGACGCGCCATTCGAAATCCAACCGATGCACTGCGTTTTGTCAATGAATTGGAGCGGCTGCCTTCAATTGCAAAAGGTGTCAGTGAAAATCGACCGATCGCTGTATACATTTCGATTTTAACCACTTTGTGGGGCCATTCAGTGCCGCAAATATGCCACAAGGGTTTTGCGCATATGCAAAATTTGCTCAACGACTATCGATATTCGACGGTAATTCGATGCCTACAGCTGGTGACACCGTTTTTCTTGGATTGCCCGGAGAGTCTATGTAAATGTACCGCTTTTCAATCAATTTTAACATCAATCCTTCAAGCCGATCGCACGTACATTCGCATGGCCAAGGATTTTATTAGCTGCGATTATCCCGGACCAGTCGTTGAACTTTTCTCGAATATGATTCAAGCACAAATTATCGACTATTTCAAATTCGATCTTCAAACGCCCGTTATCCTCGTCAGTTTATGGCTCAATTGTTTAACCGTTAATCCACAGTGGTACAAAGATCCAAACTCATTGTACATCGTCGATGTTATACTTCGAATCGCATACCAATTCAACGATGCATGGATTACAGCCAAGAATTTCTTCAAATTTTTCTGCAAGGTTTGACAACGAATTCTTTCAAATTGTATGAACTTTGGATGGAATTTAACGTTCTTTTGTTTCAACTTTGTATGATTTAGATTCACAATGAGCCAAAATCAAGCGTTTCTTCAACGTTTATACCATTTTTGGGCGGCTCACAACCAACCGGATTTTTCTCGGTACATTCAGCAACAACACCCTGGTTGGCTTTGTTGGTGCTGGAAATTGAACACGAAATGTTCGAAACAGAAACAAAGCTTTGGCCGGAAATTGTGCGTCAGCTCCATGGAGCATCAGCCAAATTTTCGATGGACAATATTATTAAGGTGATTATTCATCAACAGTTATTCTTTGATTATTTTCGTTAATTTAAAATTCTTCCGATTTTTTTCATTGTGTGCCCATTTACAGAGTTCAGCAAAATCCGTTGGATGTGTATCTTTTACCAGCAGCTCATTGGTGCTATACAAATTGGCGAATTTAATTTTAACATTGCCCCAACAAGAGGAATTATTGCCGATCTTTTGTCAAAAATTCTTTCATCTCTATTTAACCCGGATTCGATTTAGCGCCGACGAAGAATGTTTCACTGATATTTATGGTGTTGCTGACAAATTCTACGATGCCAACATTCCATTGATGAAAAAACTGAAGAAGTTCTTCATTGAATGCGCAAAATTTGAAAAGGAGCGCTCAATTAAAGCCAATGAACAGAATTTATCGGATCTTTATAGCGCTCGTTCAAGGTAAGTGAAGCCATTCATCGAAATATTTTTAATGTTATTGATTTCGTTGAAAAACATTTAAGAATCAAAAATCTTCAAAAAAAAATCATCATGTTTTTATCAGGCTTTACAGCAGTTTTGAGCTATGGTTGGAAGAGACACGTTTGAACAAGATTCTTCATTTGCGTTTGGAGTCATTTCCACCAGCGTACGATTTGAATCGACTGGGATTAATTTTTGGCAGCAATAGCGTATGTATATGCAGTATGCGTGATTTTGAAAAAAAAAAGATGAATCTGGTACTTTCTTTATAGGCACACTGGACGGAGTTCATTCAATTGTCAACGATACGGCAAATTCAAAGAGACGGAGCTGATTCATGGCTTCGATCATGTTTGCGTTATGTGGCTGCAAGTAAGCACACAACCGCCACATCCAAGGCACTTAAAGTGATCGATCCAGCCGACAATATAATTCGTTTACTAGACTCATACGATGCACCAGTTGCACCTCCGATTGTACCAGGCGAAACGTTGTTGGTGAAGAAAATGACATTGCCTGAACTCAAACGAAATGTGCTCAAAACCATGCAAAACGATTTCAAGAAACTTGACGAATTGTCTCGAATGTTTCACATGGATGTGCAAGAGCTCAGCTCATTGGATAGCACATACAAAGAAATGCTGCGCATTTTACACGAGAATAAGTGTCGACAGGAGCGCAGAGAAGTGAGATGCAGTTCGATTGTATCGAGTAAATCATGCAAAGGTGGTGTTTTTGTCAATATCCAGATGCCTTATCACGAAATCAACGAAGTTGTCAGCGATAAGCTAGCAACAAACCGAGAACGTCATGAGCAGCTCATAAATAAGCTAATTTCAGCGCCAGCATTACATAAAATCTTACCGATCGTTCAAATTCAATTTTCCATTAAACGTCTACTCGAAAGCTATCGATATTGCAAGCACATTAACGACGAAGCACAGCTCAAGGAAATTACATCGATTGCCAACACATTTTTCTACTACATGATCAATGCGATCAATGAAAACATCAACTCATTCCATCCTGCACAAGATCTGTGCACGGTGATTTTGTCACAAATTGGCGTAAGAATGGATGAAAAAACTTATTCAAAAATGAAATTAAAAAAAAAAAAAAAACAAAAAACCAATTATTCTTGAAAATTCCACAGATTTTCCTGCAAGAAAACCAAAACACGGAAGGAATGAATTTATTGAAAACCGCACTAAAACGTCCCGATTTAATCAAACCGATTTCCGATTTGTTTGTGCCATCAGCCACAATACCCGAAGTCTTTTTACAACTTTACAAATTTATCATTGACTCTCATTTGAAAAACTGTGATCCGAAAATTTTATTCGTGTTATTATCTAAGGTGATAATGGGAAATAATTTCGAATTTAAAATGAAATTGTTAATCGATGTGCGGTTTTGATTTTAGTTCGATGTAAATAGTTGGCTAACGACGCATAAACCAAAACTGGCCGATATCAATCAATTGGTTCAATTGATTTTGCAAGGTTTGGAGTGTTGGAATAAAAATGAGTCGGCATTGATTCAAGGAGTAAGTTCGTCGTTGCATTCATTGTTCAATTTTGGAAATATTTCAATTTTTCAATTTAAAATCACATTTATTTCAGTTGCTGCGTCGTCATTTGATCCACATTTTTATGTATGACTTTCCTGAGCATTATGGTGAAGTGTTGCTCATGGTTCTGAAAGGTTGTTCTGAGAACAAGCTCATGCCATCGATTTTGCTCGAGCTTTCAAACACCATTTATAAGCTGGCCAATTGCCCGGAAATTGATGCGAACGCCGATTGTGGCAAAATGAAAGAAGATATTTTGTATTTTGCAACCAATCAAAAATTGTTTTCATATCGTGATTTATATGAAACCATCGCATTGTTTGCGCGACATTTCCAAAATGAGCGTTTGCAACACGGATTGAATGGCTTGTATCCCATTCATAAGGAATATTGCAAATGGATATCAGCAATGTTCGAGACATTTGGTCATTCGTTAATTGTGTCATCCGTTCATACAAATCCGGGAGCATTGTCAGATACTTGTAAGTGGCACGAATGAATTTTATCTTTATTCAATCGAAAAAATTTCAACTTTTTTTCTAAATTTTCACAACACTTGCATTTGTTTTCCCTGTTGTATTATTAATTTGAGCTTTAAAAATAAAATTTAACAAATATTATTGTTTATTTTTTAACATAGTGATCGAATGGATTTGGCCGAGCGTGTGTGAAATGTTTTCGCCTTGGTTGTTCCCGTACTATCCACAGAATTTGCCAAATCTTCCAGCCAATTGGATTCGACAGTTCAATACGCCAATTCTATTGCCATGGAGTGAACTGTATTCGCAATACTCACAAATGTTGCTTCAGTCATTCATCAACTGTATCCAATTTATGCTTGATACGTTCCCTGCTTGTGACCTCATACTCAGCAACATTTTCTATTGGTACGAAACTAATTTCGGTAATGTAGCCGTGCCACGTCATGTCTTGCTTCCGACAAACACAACGTTAGTGCTTCTGCCGTGGAATCGTTTGAAACCGACTCCATTGAATATTAGTGGATTTCATCGACTGTTGCAACAGGTAAATATTATCTATATAAAATACCGTTAGATTGATGAAAATACCGAAAATGGATATTTGAAAATTAAATGAAAATAAAAAAAAACGAGAACAACAACGGAGAATGCTAATTAAATTAAATATCGAATTGAAACATTTGAATGCACCTGTCATATCTTAGTATCTCCCGGATTGCCATTCATTCTTGGGCCATATTTTCCTGCGTGTCAACTGGACGCCGTGGATTTACAGCAACATTCATCAATGGGATTATACGACCAGGAATCGCATTTTATCCACCCTGTTGTTGATGTTTGTGAAATTGTCGTATGAGCCAAGTGTTCGGGAAAATGCTCAACTGTTGATACTACTACAAGAAGCCATTACCTTCCCATGGTATATGCTCGACTATCAGGGTATCGAAGGCACCTTTGACTGGTATGTGATGTCTACGGAACCATCTTCTATCTTATGCCTGAATTCCGAACATTCTGCAGTCGATAACAGCATCTTGAGGTAACACAATTTAGATTCGATTTGCTTAAGCTTCGTTCTTATCACACATTTTATTTCCAGCCTGCTACAAACTGCATCATCAATAATTAATCCCGAAACCGAACATTCTCAATTGCAATCACAATTGCAAGCAAAGCGAATTTTGTACGTCAAGAGCATTGTTCGATTGCTACGACTATGTGGTTCGAAGTATCAACAACTTTTAACAACTCCAGACGGATTAAAATCGTTCCATTCGTCGATCTTCAATTTACTAACGCTCATTGATGGTGTTGTGACCAAAGGTAACAACATAGTTAGAAGACTAAAACCAAACTCGTTGATTTATTTATTTTTGTAATTTTTCATTTTTTTAGACAACGAAACGGATGCTATAAATATGATGACAGAAATGGTGGGCTCAATTCAATTGCAAGGCGAGTTTACTTCAAGGTAAATACAAAATTTTATCGTTTGAAGTTTTTTTTTTTTGACTAAATGGATTGATTTTCTTCAGATTTTCGGTAATGATAATAATTCGAATATTTTTTTTTGCTCAGAATTTTCGTTGAGGCAGTCGCAATATGGCAAGCAAGTAGCGAGATCGGAAATTTGGTGGTTTCAGCAACACTCAATGCAATTGGCACTTGCAAATCGTTTTCAAACAATATATTCATGCTGCTGGAGACAACCGTTTTCAATTACTTCAGAAATTTAGGTAAATTAATCATTTCAAATGCTCTACTTTAGACAAAATTTAAATGATAAAAATTGAAATTAATTAATTTTAAGCAAGAAAAATAAATGAATGAAAAAATAAATGATTGCAGAGTCAAAGAAAGACGAGCATTCACCGACGTGGGCAAATGTTTTAGATCGCTTAGGACCAACGCTACCATCATTCGATCTGCAACAAATGTTCGACGGTGAGCATTTGTTGTGCATTTATATTTCAATGATCTACAAATTGAAAGAGCAACAGGAGAGCGGTGAACGGATCACATATCTTCAGAATATCGGAAAAATTTTGGAAAACTATAAATCATCGTAAGTATTGTGAAATGGATTCCCTTCAATCGATATTCACTTCGAGTTAATTTGTTTTGATATTTCTATTATTTCCTTCATAGATTGAACACTGAGTCAAAATTGGTGATTATTTGGGGCTTATTGATCACATGCGGTTTCAAATTGCTTCATATAAATTCCAATGCAAAGGAACCACTGTTGACACTAGCGCGACACTTGAAATCAACGTCAAACATATCCGATGGCTGGGGAGAAGGACTTTTGGGTGCTATTGGCTTTAAAAAAGAGACCACATCGAATAAGTATGTCTTATATTGATATATAATTTAAAATCTTCTGCTGAACAATCCGAATTCATTTGCAGACGTAAAATTATTGCAAAATGCTTGGCATGCATCATCTTCTCGTTATTCATGGAAAGGTAACCGATTCTTATGATTTTAAGCACACGCAACATTACATAAGATTGTTTTCCATTTTTAGTGAGAATCACCACAAAGAGTACGAACAGGCGTTAGAGGATCTGAAGAGTTCAGTGAAATCAAAGAAATTTGCCGATATTCGGGCTACAGCAACAGCAACCATTGACATAGTTGAAAATCAGTCGAAATCCTTAGCAAACACCAAAGAAAATATCTGTACTGTAATTCGGTTATTCTACAATGACTGCTTCTTAATTTCGCTTGAGGAAATTTGGTCATTTTAAATTGTTTCGTGACAACTGTTGATATTCATCAACAATATATGCTGATTTTTTTTTATATTGTTCGAAACGTTTATTTTAAATAAACAATAAATTTTTATATTGGGTCTATACATTAGTTTTTTCGTTTTTTTTCTTTGAAAAATCGTTTATTTCGATATGAAAATGAAAAAATACATTATTCAAAATATTGGCCGTCGGAAGCTACAACTTTTTCCCATCTTTCTGGCAATTTGGCACCACAATTTCCTTCCTTTTGGATATAACCCAAGGCGAATGCAAAACACAAAACTAAATGTGTAAATCACAATACATCTTATGTGAAATGCATAGCTGAGTCAAGGCATAGCTTGCATGTGAGCTGATTTTCACCTAATCAAAGCAAAAGCTGTATGTCCTTCCTAAAATTAAATAATGCCTCGGTCGACCTATTTCTTCATTCAAATAAATGAGACGATAAGGGCTTACATATAGAGCAACTTTTTCAAATAAACAAGGTATTGTTGGGAAGAGGAATTCAGTATTTGTTTTCAAAGATCCAATTTATGCGAGAATATCAATGTTCGGTTTTTCATTTTATTGGCCATAACTTTAAAAAGCGTTTTCCATTGAATTTTGTGAATTCGCTTACAAAACTAATTAACAAAGTAGTTTTAGTCGGAATTGTCAGCGCCGGGGACGTAATCTTCATCGTCGTCATCATCGTCTGAACCAAAATCTAATTCTTCTAAATTCTGGAACAATGATTCATCGATCTTGACATTTTCGATAGATTCACCAGCCGCTTCCAAGAATTTCAAATCCGAATCGTTCAATGTCTTATCTTGCATAAATAATTCGCGCCCCGTTAACTTTCGATTGGTGGATTGCTTTTCACGTTTCTCCGCCAGACCAATGTCTTGTTCGAATTCATTCCGCCATTTGAGGAAAGTTTCAACGGTAACACGCGTACCTTCGAATCTTTTCTGAAATCACAAAGATTTGTTCAGGTTAGAATACCAACAAGTTGAAGTCAAATACATCTTCAGAATTAGCTATGTTGAGCTCGATCATTGATCAAAATTCAACGTGTTTGAATTTGAACCAACTCAATCTCAACAACAAAAACATATGTGTTGTTGTTGCACAAACATACCCGTTCGGCTTCTTCTATTTCTTTGAGTTTTTGTTCCGCGCGATTTTCTTCTTCTTTTTTAAAGTCATCCCATTTAACGTTTAGCCACTCTTGCGCACTGCTAACCAATGAAAATATCATTTCAAGGCCCAAATTTTCGTTAATCTACAAAGGAAAGAATATTTTTGTCTCAAGAATATTTCTCCAAACAAAATGGTTGGTCTTCCATTAGTACCGTTTCTTTGATGTGTTCCAACAGTTTTTCTTCGTAATCATCTTCGAAATTGACGGCATTTTCAATTTCCACTTCGGGCGCTGTGTCTGGATATTTTGTTGTGTACGTGAAAACCAATTGACACGATAGACCATTGCTTTCTGTTTCCGCATCATACTCTTCCGTTGATATGTTTATATTGAATTTGTGTGGAGCTCTGTCCAACACTGCAAACCAAAATGATTCCAAATAAAATCAATTCTTTCGTTATTTTGTCAACACGTTTGAATGGCATCGCAGCCAAAAATGTTGATGTGAACCTTACCTTCGATATCATCGCAGTAAATTGATTCGAGCGCTTCAACTTCATTCGCTTGATCTTCGGTGTAGTTTCGTTCCATTTTCTATGTGTTGTTGACTTTACTTTAAAAAAAACTTCGGCCGAAAGCTTGAACTTTTTGTTCAACAAATAAAACGAAATAAATAATAAATTCCTCCGGTGATTGAGTTGGGAAAGGAAAACAAGATTAGAGCCAAGTGTATTTTACATTGAACCATTGACATGTGTCAAAATCCAGCGGTATTGTCAACTCATATGCTGCTGCGTTTACATTGCCGCCCTACAGACGAGCATGGTGTAGACTTTGTTCAACGAAACCGTCCTTAAGTCAATTCAAATCGTTGAATTCCAAAGCAAAGCAAAACATTCATTTTCAAATTATTCGAAGAATATCGAATAAACATGGTTTGCCTCGAAATTTTTTGCAGTTCAAATTAGAATTTTGGCTTTGAAATCAAGCACAATGGTGAATTCTATTCTTCACCTCTTTTTTATATGGTAACTCAACTGCTTATGAGCACTAACAACAAGTGTCAAACACAAAAAATGTAAACAAAGAAAGGACAACCTTTTCAAAGTTAGAATCGTTGCCAGAAAAAACACTCACTATGTTAAATTGTGAACACATTTGCGAGAAACGAGGTGGGTATTCTTTTTTCATACAGTCCAAATGTCATGTCAATATTTGGTTTTTCATTTCATTGGCCTCTAGCCAACGTTTGCATTGAATATTGTGAACATTGTGTTGCGTTTACATTGCCACTGTACAGAGTAGCATGGTGTAGAATTTGCTGAACGAAACGTCCGTCAACAGAAGTACTGTTGACAGTTAAGAATACACAACATACAAAAAACAGGAGGCAGAACCAAGTGATTTTGCAATAAATTTATTCTATTTCGAATAAATGAAAAAAGTCAAAATCGTTGAAACAGGGAAAAAATTGAAATTATTTTAAAAAAACATTGAAGAAATTACTTGAATTAATTTTTATTAGTAAATCAAATTAGAATCTTTGCACAATGATTTCCTGCTATAATCGAGGCTGCGGTAAAGATTACGATCCCGCGAACAATCCAGATGGTGAGAATTTTTTTCTGATAAAACTATTCAAAACTTATAGAAGAAAAATTGCTTCTAATCCATTGTTGATATGTAAAAAAGTGTCATTCAATACTATTTTTGGCTTAAAAATTTACGGTGAAAATGTTTGAGCGTAGCTTAGAGGTTATGTTATAATATTAACATTCAAGAATGTTCTCGAAAAGCTGAGTTTGTTCCTGAAGTTGCTAATTGTTTATTTCAAAAATTTCTTATCTCCGTATAGATGCTTGTCGCCACCATCCGGGAACGCCCTTCTTCCATGATGCCTACAAAGGCTGGTCTTGTTGCAATAAGAAAAGTGTTGATTTTACGGAATTCTTAAATATAAAAGGTTGTCAACTGTCAAAACATTCAAATGTTAAACCGGTTGAACCCGAGAAACCAGCACCAAAAGAAATCGTAGAAGAGCCCGAACCGCCAAAAATACGCGAACCAGTGAAACCAAGTGCTTTAGAACGACCATCGTTTGATACGGAACTCGTGACCGTAAAACCAACCGTTGCTCCAGCCTTAAAACAATCCATCGATAATTTGGTCGTCAATGAAACGAAGAAACTGCCAACAAATAGCCCAACGTATGTATTAGTTGTTTGTTATCATTGAAATGAATCCTGGGGAAGAGAAGTTCAACTGAAATGGTTTTTTCTTATCGAATGTTTGTGTTTTTGCAGTGAAATTTCCGTTGGAACCACTTGTAAAAACGGTGGATGTGGTCAAACGTATGATTCAGCAGCAAGCGATAGCAGCGAATGTGTACATCATCCAGGCGTGCCCATTTTTCATGAAGGTCTCAAATTTTGGTCATGTTGCACGAAACGAACAACCGACTTCACGGCATTTATGAATCAAAAGGGCTGTGCGTACGGTCAGCACAAATGGATCGTCAATGTTAGTGCAAGACCGAGGGGATGAATTATTTCTCATTTCATTAAAAATTGTTCATAGCATCATTTGCAATCGTTTTCATTTTCCTTTTTTCAGACCAATGAACACGAAGAAGTAAAGTGCAGATATGACTGGCATCAAACTGCATCGAATGTTGTCATTGCCATTTATGCGAAAATGTATCACTACGAAAAGAGCTACATCAAACTCAATCCGGTGCGATTGAACGTGTGTCTGGTGTTCCCTCAACAGAATGATGCCGAGTTCAAGCTTGATCTTGAACTTCGTGGTGTAAGTGTTCATCGATTAAATTGTTCATTGCGATACAAGCGATCTAATTTTCTTGTGTTCTCTGCAGGTCGTCAACGTTTCAAAGGCAACCGTTCAAATGTTTGGCACAAAAGTTGAAATTACTTTACCCAAAGCCGAACCAGGTACATGGGCCACTTTAAATTTCCCAGTTAAAACAGTAACTGCCAACGCAGACAAAGAAAAGAAACAGGAAGCCGAACCAGTGAAACCAGCCAATGATGACGATGACTCGGATCTCGATTTAGATGATATTCAACAAGTTCGCGGCGTTCGAATTACCGAAGCCTAAATCAAGCAAACTCACTATCATGAAATTGTTAAATTCATAAAACACCATTTGAACCTTGAAATAAAAAGGATTTAATCATAAAACCAACATAGTCCGTTTGATGTTTTTCTTAACGAGAAATCAAGAATGACTCTTTTCTTTCGAAAAAAAGTTCCGTCAAACATTTTCCAGTCAGAATAGACATTCGTTGATTGATTTAAGGTCAAAATTTCAAAAACAATGAAGAAAATCAATGATAAGGGCATATTTTTCAAAAAAAAAAAAAATTTGCCTCACCAGAACATGTTAGTGTAGGTCAGTATTACTTTAGCCTTACCATTTTCTAATGATATGATGCAATGATATTTTTAGGCTCATTCATTCTGAATGATTCATTCTCATATCTAGATAAGCTCTAGAAGTAAAGAATTTCTCTCAATGAAACAAGGTTTGTGATCGATTGAAACCTCTTCAACTGCTAATTTGTCCGGGAAAAATCTTAAAAATTGAGCAAAAGCTAGAAGATGTCTTATCAATACAATTGGAAAAAAATGCATTGAAAAACTTAGTGGAACAGTTTGACACCAAATTAAATCCATGAACAAACGAAAGAAAAATTTCAAATGAGAAACTCAAGAGACGAAAAGTAAGCAATAAAAAGCGTTGTCATTTCTATGTTACTCTCATTTTAACGTATATCAAAGATGTGAATTTAATGACGCATAAGAAAAAAACGAATCCACACATATATCATTGATACGTGGTTTGCGTGCACGTACACTTTTGCATGAGACGGCATTTTTGTGTGTGGTTCGTATCAAAGAAGAGGTATATTTTCAAATCAGCATTCGCATCTCATGGGACTGTGTTCGCTCAATTCAATGTCATTGCTATTCGGTCGAGCGTTTTTTTTTCGTTACGTATTCACTTTTTTGTCTGCTTCTTTTCACTCGATTTTCTTACGGTCTTCGATCTGAACCATTTGACGGTCATTATGAAATCGGTTTTATGATGTTATGCCACCGTAATGTACCCGATGAATGTTCATTAACTCTATCGAAAAAGAAAGAAGTAAAGCAAAAGAAAAAAAAATCAAACCCAACGTTCTTTCGCTATTGTTAAAAAATCAACGCGACCATTTGGAATGGCATCATTAGGTTCAAAAACATCATCACGTCTAAGCTCATTTTTCATGGTATTGAGATGGAATCATCGAGCGTTTCCGTTTGTTTTGTTTCAATAAATTACAATTTTTCCTTCTTGGCATTCGCTTTTAGCCGCAAATTTGTTAATTTGATGTTATTGTGTGATGATGAGGCCGTCCTCCCACCCCCGACAAACGAAAAACAAAATCATCAAAAATTCACAAAACTATTTCGATAAATATTCAACACCGAAAAACACGTTACATCTGTTTGGATTATCGAAACGAGTACGAGAGAAGAAAAAAAAAGAAAAAGAAGCTAGCATTTCGTCTCGATTTGATATTATTGTTGTGGTTCAGTTCGGTTAACAATAGCATTCATAGTCTGTAGCTGACCAGTTGATTGATTTTTATAAGCGCAAAAAATCGGTCGATTCAAGTTTGAATTGCTTCGAAATGCAAATAATTAAATTAGATGTGAATGGCGCATATTGTAAATTTCATGCATCGTTTGCGAATAGACGAGGCTGCACTGAACGAAATCATTTCAAAGCGATTAGATCAATTCAATGAATGGACGCAATAAAAATAGATGGAGAGGGAGAGAGAGAAAGAGAGGAAAAGAAAGAACAAATGGAGGTTGAGTGACCGGATTTGGCACTTTTGATAATTTCAAATCGAAATGGCAAAATGCGATTTTTTTCCCACTGTATGAGGTTAAAAAAGCAAATTCAAATTAAACTATTTAGTATGGTGTACGAACTTGTACGAAAAGAAAAAGAACGACAACAACTACAGTAGCGAATTGAAAAAGACTGAATGGGACAAAAATGCGGATAGTAATTAAGTCGAAGGTGGCGAGAAGCACCGACTGACCGACTGAAATTCAGTGTTAGTTGGTTTATCATTAGCGACACCGAAGACTGTTCGGACCGGTTAACCAATAAATCTTTCTCGCAATTTTCCCAATGAAATTCAAACATTTACAATGGATCACGGAATAATGTCAAACGGACGACCGCGCCTCTAGCCCACATAAACTAATGACAACGTATTAATTCATAAAGAAAATTAATTCGTGTCACATGATTTAATTTGGCATTATAATTGAAATGGGTGAATTTCGGGTGATATATTTGTTATGGCCATTGAACAAACGGTTTTCATTGTTTTGCCGGCGTGATATTATGGCTGCCGTTTAACCTATGCTGCCAATTCAACGAGAAAATATTTGAAAAAACATAGCCAATGACCTCAGATCGAAAAACATATTAACGCCATAAACCCGCTTGTCTGACACCATGTGCTTTATTTCTCTCTCTCTCTCTCTCTCTCTCTCTCTCTCTCTCTCTCTCTTTCCGTGTGTCTGCCGGCTTGTTATGTCGCACAAACGAAACATCTTCAACTCGTGACACACCATGTAAAATGAAGATTCGGTACACGCGATTATCGTCTGCGGTTTTGCTTCCGAATTACACTAATCTCGTGAAACGAAGAAGAAGAAAAAAATTGACCGACCTAGAACTTGTAATTTGTTAGCACACAAATTCTAATACGCCGGGGACATTGAATTTTTATTTACACCGCGTGCGCGCGCGTTCACGCACACATACGCTTTCGCATCCGCATTTATACAATTACAGAAACCGAGGAAAAAATACATTAATTATGTCTCTTTTTCTTCAATTTAGTCATAGTATTTCTCACGAGCGCAGACACAGCTTTTGATTGAATAACTTACGCTAAAATTCTATAGACACTCGACAAATTCTTACGTCATCATTGGTTGGCTGTTTCCAACTCGGAATGCACATTCTTCTGACGTGTTGCGCCGCACGTAGAACTTTACCACTTAGCTTTGCTGTTGTTGTATCGCGAAAACGTTCTGTTTTTTACCAAGATTTACGTTCATATCGTGCCAATTCATTTATGCGGCAAAAGGAAAATGGTAAATGACAAACAAACCAAAAAAAAATGAACATATGATCTGATCGCGTCTTATGTGTGCAAAACGTTTGCGTCCATAAATGCAATAAAAAAGTATGCAAGAACAGCAGAAAAAAAGAAACAATGTGAAATCCAGTTTTAATACATGCCGATTGCACGGTGTTGCTGTTGCTGCTGCACGCGCCTGTTGTTGCCGTTATTGTATGTTTTTGTTTTGTTTCGCACTCGCTGTATGTAATTGGCGAAACAATGCTAAACAATGATAGCCGATCACTTCAACTTGAAATTGATCTTGAATCGATCAACCTTTATTGCGTCGCTGAATGTGCGCACACACACACACACACACACGGGCACATCGGTGTGGCGGTAGTGTAATTTACATTTCAAAATTGTTTTCCTGTTCGTCCTGTTGCCATTGCCTGATGAAGAATCGCTTCCTTATAAAGTGGTGTGTTCTCGGAGTGCGTTATTGGCGCACACCGCTCGCACACGTAATACTCTCTGCTCGTTTACATGTTCTGAATCTGTCACGTGTTATAGGACCGTCGTTGTCGTTCTTTTTATCGATTACGTCTAATTGCACGCGGAAACTCATTACTTGTCCCCCGTAATGAAGTAAACTGCTGTAACTAAAGGAAGCGCTGAGACATCCAATTACTTCTAATCTATTTAGAAGCAACAACAGCACAAATACAAGTTGAGACATGTCGGAACAACTCAACTAATAAACTGAAGAGAGGAAACAAAAGAATTGTGTGCTGCTGCTGCGCTGCAACACGACATCTTGTATATAATTATGGGCAATTTATCGATGTGCTAATGTGTGAATATGTAATATGCAAACGCATAATTTATTAGAGGTATGCCTGTTGTGGTGTGTGAATGTGCGTGTGTGGCGATGGAACAATTCAGTTATAGAATTATATATAAATTGCTTAATTAGTATCCTTGAACACAAAACTGAATTCCTGAAATTAAATCACTCGTTTTTCGCTAGTCATGCGACACTTACGCACATTTTGTCAACACAATGAATTCACGTGTTTATCGTCGTCGTCGTCGTCTCTTTACGCTGGGAAAATTTGTGCGACAAGATGAAAACAAATGATGAAATTTGCTTGCCAAACAAAACAACGCATTGATTGATGTTTTTCCATGTGACGACGAAAATAAATTGGATGGAAGCATGAGCATAATTTGAAGGATGGCGGCCATCAACAAGTGAAGCCCGCACATTTATTTTATTAAATCTATTCAAATTAAGACGGCTACGTCACACGTATATACATGTCAAAAGAAACGATTTCCATGAAAACCAGACACAGATATAATAGTAATCGCAATCGGTGTGTCAAGTTGATTCATATCAAAACCACCATCAATTACTTTGGGGACAATGTTTTTCTAAATCGGTAGGAATTTAATTCGATGCCATTTCCAGGAGATAATGAGAAAATCCATAACATTGTTAGAATTGAAGAAGCAATTTAGATGTAGTTATTTGTTATGCGGCTCTAATGTATGTGCATAAATTTTTCATTGTTGTCATTCATTCATTGTATGTGTTTGCGCTTGGAAAATGGTGATGTAAGAAACCGCAAGCAATCGACAAATCAGAGCAATTATTTACCGAGTGATGTATTAATATTCAACAGGATGATTGGTTTTTTTTATGGAAAAAAAGCACAATTTTACGATTGTTATTAATATGAAGCATGATTTGCACCTATCTAAACTGGGCACTTTATTCGCAACCGATTCGATCATTTAACTGCCCATGGAAATTTGTTGCAACTGCATTTCCGACTGTTTAGCATAAGTCGTGCCAGCAATCGCCCACCTCAAGCACAATAACGGAAATAGAAAAACTTCATTGTCAAATCCGCTTCCAAACCGATTTAATTGAAAATCACAAAAAAATAAACGAGTCATTTTCTCTTGAAAACGATCGATATAGAAAAAGAAAAACGAAGAAAAACACGCGCTTTGTAATTTTCTTCCATAAAATTTTAATTTTCACTAATTATATTCAAAGAAATTGGTTCAGTAAGGAAGATCCGTCAATGACATAAACCGTGTGATTCATTATGCGTATTATTTTTTATTGCCATTCGATGTGGTAAGCTCAGCAATGCGGTTTTATTGTTCTTGATTTGTTTTTTTTTTCTGCTAATGCGTCACAGTGTTGTTGTGAGACAGAAATAGCGAGAGAGAAAAAATAGCAACAGCAAAATGTTCTACCGTTGAGTGAGTGTGATTTTTCCCATTTTCACATTTCAAAACTGGTTACAACACCGACTCTCAATTACCAATTGAATCATCAATAGCTTTTAATCAAGGTTGGCATCTTAATTAATTCGGTGGCACTTGGAGACATCCGTCCAAACGGCAGCAAACCAGCCAGCCAGCCAGCCAGCCAGTCAACCAACGCAAATCACGTCGGAAAAAAATACCGATGTAATTGAAATACCAACGAAAAAAAAACACCGCATATACAAATGCACGTGATGGAAATGATTTGAGCAAAAAAAAACATTCCATTTAATTACGAAAAAAAGTCTAAATCATGCATTTATGAGCAACCAGTAAAGTTTCTATGCAAAGTGTAACAGAATCATTATATTGGTCTTGGTCTGGTCTTGCGAAAAGAGGGCCGTCATGTGTGTGTGTGTGTGTGTGTGTGTATGTCTTGCGACAAAGAAAACCGAAATAACAACAAAAATAATTACATGAAGTGGGAAACTGTGTAGGCAACATGCATGTTTTTCTCACGGAAATATCAAAGAAGAACAGCCGCGCCGCCACTGTCGCCGTTGTGTGCCGCAAAGACCTCAACACTCACACCGATGCCCATTGTTGAATCCACCACGCTCATTGTTCTCATCAATTTTGCGTATTTGTTTGTTTGACGCATATTTCAAATGGGAAACACGACCGAAATTGCATGCGCTCAGCATATTCTCGCTATTCGGTTTTTTTGTTTGTTTTCGTTACTGTTGCCGTTGCTCTGTTGTTGTTGTTGGTCTGGATTTGCGTGTGTGTGTCACCATTATGTAGCCGTGTAACATGCATCCGATCTATCGAAAGAACTACCTGTGCCAAAGGTATAATCCAAACACATGCAAACGGCCCGAAAAGCCATGCGCGCTCCAACTGTTACACCAATACATTGCCACCACTCAGCACTCGGCTGGAGCTATACTTTGTGCTGGCGAAGTAAACAGAAAAGCGCGCTAAGCACGCTGTGTGCTGTTGTTGTTGTTGGTTTTGCTAGCGCGCGCACCGTCTACTCGCGTGTGTGAGCGCATTTTGTTTTGTTTTTTTCGTGAATTTGTAGTAAACGAAAGAGAGAGTAAAATATTTTTTTCCATATAAATTCACTTTGGCGAAACGGCTGGATATCATTAAGTGTCTGTTGTTTGGAGCTTACCGATCCACGAACTCTTTCGATCCGATTCTTTTTTTCCGTTGAATTTTTTTTTCGTTCGAGAATTTTTCGATTTGAATTTTTCAAATTTCGTTTTATCAGAAAAAAAAATCTTGAGTGTGTTCCGTTTATTTTATTTCCTCGACGATTTGTTCTGTGTTTCGCGATAAATCGTTCGTTTAAATAAACTATCGTTTGAATTTATCTGTGATAATCAGAAAACGGTTTAAATTCAAGAATCCTTCGATTTCTTTCATTTGGAACCGAAATCCATTTAGAGTTTTTCACGTGTTTTAACAAATAATTACTTACTTCTACAAAATGCATATTGTAAGTGTTGTCCATAATCATTTTAATCCAAATCAATATTGAATTGTTTGTCTTGTTTCTTGCGTTTATTATCGATGTTGAGGTGTGCACGCGTTCTTTAGTGATAATAGTTTTGAATATCGTCATGTGCTTGTTGCCGTTGCATTCATTTGTTTTATTGTTGTTGCAGCAGCTCATTAAATAATAAAACAGAACCTTTACCACATTGCATCAATTGCGCGAATGAATGCCGCCAAACGCTAGCATTCGATTCAAATCACGATATTTGATTAATCAAGTTGAGCAATATTTGTGTTTCTCGTTTGCATTGTTTGACCATGTTGTTATATTCTTATGAATGAACTGTGTTTGTTGAATTTAGCATACGCGATAATGCAGACACACCATTCATCGTGAACTCATAGTGTGAGCGCACAAAGAATTGTACAACAATAAAAAAGCAAAAATAAAATGTGCTCATCAGTGAAATTATGTGTGTTTGTTTGCCGAGCCAATGAGAGACGGTTCATAGCAATAACAGAGTCGAAACCACGACGAAGAAAAAAAGAAAAAAAAAAGAAAAGAAAAAGAAGAAGAAACAGCCAAAGCTATAAAATGCAATAAATAAAATGGTACCGTGTATACATTCATATGCACAAAACTTTTGCGCTATTTAAATTTAAAAAAAAACGAAATGTATTTACTTTTTTGTTGCGGTTGTTATTCGGGGCTTTGTTTCGTGTCTAAACGACCGGCCAATTCATTTTCGTTTGAATGTGCTGTTTCCCAAAAAGCAAACACAACACAAACCGAAAAAAAAAACTGTTAGCGATAAGTAAGAGTAGGAAATTGTATGTCTGATTGAGAAAGAGAAAGAGTATCGCAAACCATTTCGCCCATTCGTCGCGGCAATTTGCGATGATTGTCTGCAATGAAGCATTGCATTGAGATGCGAATAAAAAATGCATCGTTATCGCATCAACTTTCGATTTGTTCAACAGTCACTTTCAGGCGGTTCCATTGAATTTATCACATTTTACATCCAATCATCTTGTTCTGCCATTTTTATTAGACTCTTCCGTCGATTGGCGATTTGAGTAGAAAAAGAAAAGAAGTTGATGTTAAAACAACGTCGCTGTTATGTATAGCTGTCATCATTTTCTTTGTTGTTGTTAATCCAGTGGAGAGTGACATTATTTGGCGATTCAAATTTTTTTTTTGCAACGGATCGAATGAAAGTGAAACGATCAGTCGGAAATGTATTCAACTTCTGAAAATGACTCAAGACAACACAAAGATTACACAATTCCCAAAACCGTAAATTTATTCAACGCTTGGATCAATCATTTCGGGTTGAACAAAATTTGTTCGATTTTATTGATAGAATCTAGTGAAGATGATTCACCGTCCTCGGCCATGTGATAAATTCATAACTTTTATATCGAATTTTGGCTCGTGCACAGTAGCAACAGTAGCCAAAGCAGCACAGAATCAATTTTTCCGATGAATTCATTTGCACGAGCAAAATTACTTTCGTGATGATAAACAGAGTCAGCTTGTAAACCACACTGAACCACATCACGCAAACCGATTACACACCAATTTGTCCTTGTCGGATTTTATATCTAATATAATTTTTTCCCATGCATTTGAATGGAGTCGTATCAAAATTCTAAGATTTTTTTTCTTCATTTCTTTTCTTATTCGATATTGCGAATTGATAACAAAGCAACGATGCATGAGCTCAGAAGAGAAAAAAAATTGTAGATAAATAAATAGAATTATGTTGAAACACATTATAAAAATGTTTGAGGTTTCGCTGTTTGGGGCGAAACGAGAGTTAGATCATAAATAAAAGAGTGCGGGGCACAGTGAAGATTGATGTATACGAAGCAGCAACAATAGCGCTAATTCAAGTTCACTCAGTTCATTAAAATGTAATGCAACAATCGGATAACATTACAAGTAGCAGCACCGCAAGTCCTCGTGTGTAATTTTGTGCGTTACTTTTATGTGTGTTTTTAGTTCGTTTCTTTGTTGCTGTGGCTGTGTGTTATTTCAAAAGAAATTCAATTAATTGGCACCCAATTAAAAAATACTTAAAGGTCTCAAGCGCGACAAATTCCTATATGGATATTCGTCTTATGATTTATTCGGTTTGTGCTTCGTTGAATGAAGTTCATTCACAAATGAAAAGGAAAATACGCACATTTCCCTTCTATTTTCCGTTGTTGTTGTTGTTGCTGCTGCTGTTTTTGTTTTCGTGCAGGTCTCTGTCATTGCTGTGACAAGTGAATGAAAGCATATAGCGAAACGCACAACAAAAACAAACGAGAATGAAAAAAACAACAACAACAAAGTATTCATTAAAAAGTGTCGCATATTTTCGCTACGAAGTGCGAATATGACTTTTCCTGTGTTGTGTGTGAGATATTCAGCGATTTGATGACAATACGGATCATATTATGTTATAATTGACTTTAATTTAGCACGTTTTTTTCCTCTCTCGACGACTTAATCTCGTGCTTTTTATGTATTTTTTTTTCTTCTCTTTCTCTCTCTCTCTCTCTCGCTTAAGTCGCCTTGTGAATTATGCAACTTGATGAAACAGTTAAATCGATAGCGGTATACGGTGATTATTGCTTAAAGCAAACCGCTTTTCGAACTGGTCGATGGTATGCGATTTAAGCATGGTGAAGATGATTTTGGAGAAAATTCCATTGGAAAACGATGCAATTTACCAAAATTGGACAATTTTCGTGTGAATGAAGCGCGCGATCGTACTGAATGAGGTCTACATCGATGAAGCGTGCTTCCTTGTATCTCACGATGCGTCCAGACGTGATATCGTAATGGGAACATTAGCTGAAAAATCAGCTCGCGACCTTATTTTTTCGCGATCCAAACAAACACATACACATTTATACAAACATTCTGTGAGCGCGTTTCTTTCGTTTTCCTTCGAGCATTTTTGTTCCGTTTGTTATGTGGTGTATTTCTATGCCATTCTCTGTTGTTGTTCTGTCCGATGTTTTCTATAGAAGAATATAGCCTGGGTCTTAACACACAGAAGCACACACTGATTAATTACAGAAAATCCTTGACTTTCGATTTCTACCATGTGAATACAAGATCAATTAAGAGCGTTCATTTAAATCATTCAGAATTGGTTTGATTGGTGATTGCCTCTACCCAAAATCGTATTCGGTTCTGTGATCATTGTGAAATCGATCAAAATCGGTTGTTTTGAATGAGAGAGTGAGCTTGTTCGATAGTGTTAAAGCATGAGCGTGCGCGCGCGTACATAACTAAACGCCTGCTGCTCTGAGCCGCTGCTAAAGAGAAGGAGGCAAGAAAAATTTGGAAAAAATCATGTACGACAACATAATCAGAATTAATAAATAAAATCTTGGGACAAGTTATTTTAATGGAGATTAGATTTATGTATGTGAAGTGCAAACTAATATAAATCTTTTCGAAGTTGAAATTGCGAAAGAAAACCCACTTCAAATGAGCACCATTAACAAGCAACGAGAATGAGCATTGGATATCACTAGCGCTCTGTCTCTCCCTCTCGTAACAACAATTTTAATTTATAACCGAAATCATATAAAATTGGCTCAGAATTCGAAATGTTTTGCGTCCACGATTTCGGAAATTCAATCGTAGATTGTTTATTTTATTTTTATTTGAGTAAAACACCACTCGACTCAATGGTATTTTCTGTAAATAACCGTTATGAAATTCGATCGAATGGATAGCATTGTTGGATGTTCATGAGCACCATATAGCAGTGATAAATTAACCTGGAAATTATGCTAATTTTGTGCACAAAATTTCATGCACGAGGAAATTCGTGTGTGTGTGTGTTGTTGTGTGTGTTTGAACAATTGCATCTCACTCATGGGATCGACTGTGTGTTGGAGCGAGTGTGTGTTTTCGCACTCTTTTCTTTTCATTTTCGTTTCAAAATGTAGAACGAAATTGAATGTAATCAATTATAGTGATTTTTACATAATAATAGTCAACTTCCTGTCTTTCGTTTTTCTCACCCGTCGCCATCGATCGAATCGAGAAAAGAAAATAAAGAGTGCATTTCAATGTAATGATGCAATGGGCTCAAGTGATACTATGTCAAAGCGATGACCGTTCTCCGATCGAAAATTGAAGTCTGATGCTGCTTTTATCATTCTTGGCTTCTATTTACGTCACTAGTTCGACACAATGAAATGTGCCAATTTTACACGTCATAAATCCGTGATTTGTATGCGTTTTGGCGTGCCCATTGATTGTACCGTTATATTCCAGTATGTCACACGCTCTGTGGTTATCCGTGCACTTTCTTGCCGGTAATCGAAGAAATTTCGCTTGGTGTTGGTGCAAATTTGCGCATATTAAGGTAGAAACACAGGTGTGTATGTTTTCGCTTTGACCATCAACAAACTCGTTTCGATGCTGATGCCGATTGGTTGTTTCTTTTTTTCCATCTCTTAGCTCATTTCAAATTTTTTTACTTGCAAATATTCTCGCAATATGGAACTCAATTAGAGCCGCGTATCATCGCGCAGTTTTGCGCAACACACAATGAGATAGAAATAGTGGAAAAACAAACAAACACGAATTTCAGATTAAGCTATCATGAGCAAGTAGAGTTGCCATTACTCATTGGCATGCGCAATATACAAGTGCACATAACGTTTGATGTGAACTATCATTGAGTATAAAATAGTTTTGAGTGTATATTGACTGCCGTTTTGATGTTTTATTCTTTATGGAGTGTCGTAAACAGCGTTAACTGGTTGTTCCCCAAACCAATTTTGTGCCACACTATTTTCGACGGATAATTCATTTTTCTTGTTCAATTGGCACGTAAACATGGGCAAATAGTAAAACGAACAGAAAAAAGCACTACGCTATTAACCTTATTCTAGGCGATAGGTCCATGCTGACGACGCCACACTACACATTCGACAGTGAAATACAAATCAACAAACACACAGCACACATATATACGGAACCAAATTGCGATGCAATCACAAAAAAAAAATGTAACAATAAAATTGATTAAATCCATTTTTATTATTATTTCTTTATTACAATATGTGTGTTGTGTTTATGCAGTGCTCTTTTTGTTTCTCTTCATGGCGTTGGCTTAAGAGCGCTCGCGATATGCGCAATTTGTGCATTTCAGCATCGTCGTCGTCGTTGTTGTTGTCGTCTAATCGCACTCTCTCGCGCGCCAGCACAAACGCTCTCTACGTCTCTGGCTTAAGTGTGTTTGTGCAACTCCAGTTGTGCTAGAAACACCACCATTCATGCTCGCGCCGCCGTATTGTACTATTAATATCCTTCGGTGTTTGAACCGGTTTCTGACCGTTTCTTTTTTTTCTCTCGCAAAACCGAACGAACGAACGAACGAACGAAGGGAAAAAAGCGCATATGCGCACACAACAACTCCATTGAGCAGTGAGCACGCGTGATCTCAATATGCAACTGCCTCAAAGCGCATTTCATACATCGAATTCCGCATTCTATGAAATAGTGTTCCATTCAAATCGTTTAACACTTCAACAGCAGCAGCAGCAGCAGCGGAGCCAATGTATGTGCAAGCATGCGTTTTTTTTTCTTCTTCTAGCTGAAGCAGCGGAAAAAAGTACGGCTTTCGATGCAATCGCATAGAATGGCTGTTGTTTTTTCACATTTTCATCTAAACATTTTGGCATTGGAGACAAACGATTGAATTGCAATCGACACCAAAACATGAATCATCCGACGGAAGCTGTGTGTGAGCGAGTGTGGTGTGTGTGTGTGTGTGTTTGGGCTCACAAGCCACTTTCTGGACTGGAGTGCAAAGAAAGAATTTAATTTGAGACGAAAGGAATCTAAATTGATTCGGAAACAAGTCGCCATTATTTATTGGCAACAATTGTTGCATAAGCCAACTCAACGATCTACATCATTAATTATGAATCTCGCCGCTAGTAATTTAGTCGCTAGTTTTTTTTTCTCTGTGTTCATTCACTTAATGAAGAAAGAAACAAAGCAACAGAAAAAGGCACACGCGCTGAGAGACACTTGAGATTGAAAGTAAAATCAAGAAAGAGAAAAAAAAGTGTGTTCGACAAAATTCTCATAATTTGTTAAAAAGGTACATATTCATTTGGTGGCGAATGTGTCGACAGTTATGTGTGTGGTGGTGATAAATGTACACCGCCAACAAATTCATGAAATTATTCCCGTAAAACAATTGAATGTAAACCACCGAACAAACAAACGAAAAAACTGTATGTCGAAATTGCGCATAAAAACAAGCAGCAAAGTACAAGAAAAAACCACGGTATATTTTATTGTCTCTACGCAGCAGTTTTGTGTGCATTTTCTTTTCAATTAAACGCTAGTTTACGGCGACCACAATTAATGTCTAATGTTGTCATTAAAAATTGAGAAAGAATTTGTTATCATATCGATCGATCGATCAATCGCTTTCATCGTTACGGCCCCATTGCTAGTGTTTGCATTTCGAATTTGATATCGCAAACGCGCGCATCGCGAACCACCATTTGTTCATTATATCAGTTTGATTGCTAATCGGTTGAAAGAGCAGCAGAAGTTGCTACACAGCTGTCAATCGGATCGCATGATGATGACCCTGTGTCAAATTCGATGCGATTAGTTGATGTGGTGCCTTCACACCAATCTTTTGTTTCCACTGTCACATCGAATTTATTTTGCCGTGATTGAGTCTTCGATTTCAATTCCAATTAAATGTAAACAAAGACGACGGCAGCAGCGACGACGATGACGACACAGGGCAATATGTCGAATCGGTCGTACATAATGTCAACCGAACAGATGATCTATGTGCTGTTTCGTTAAACGGGTTTTGATGTCATCATTTTGAGTGCGATGGGCGCGTGCCGAATTTCCTTTCCGTTGCCGCGCACAGCAACACTAATGAAGGAAAAACGAGAAGAAAAAAATCGACACGAAACTGGAAAATTGACCGAATGTGCAAATAAGTCAGACAATTAAAACATCAATTACATGACCGTTGTCATTGTGACATTACAACGCCAAAGACGACGACGACGACGACGTGAATACATTTCAAGAACATTGTGCATTCCAGATTCAAGTGTCAGCATGGTTTGGCATTGTCTGATTCGTGTGTTGGGCCTTTGTTGCTCGTCTACCTCACTCTAGTCTTCCTCAGCGCCGTTTGGACAAAGCAATGGTTCCAACAAGTGTTGAACAGAAACTCCAATAAGAAAAATATTGCTCATTATTTGCTCTTTCTCCATCTCTTTTGCTCCGTCGCGTGCGATTATTTTTTTCAGCGTCTGAATTTGATACTCTCAGTTTTCTTTTGGCAGATTAAGCATGGTTATCACATGTCAATAGACGCGGATCGCATTCACAATGCATGTGTGATGTGTTCTACTGTTTCTTCTGTTGGTCTTTCATTTATTATATTTGACCCACTACTCAATCGTAACAATTACGTACGTGCCAAATGGAAAATTCGCACCAATGTAATGCCGTGTACTCATGTTTCACTTTTCTTGTACATACGTATACATATGTATGTAATTCTCATTCCGTTTTTCTTCAGTGTGTATTTCTTTTGACTTTGAACTAGATAATTTCCCGCGTCACCGTATGAGTTGCGCTTTTTTATATGTGAATGCCTCGTGTTCACAATGCACCTCTGCTGCTGCTGCTGCAGGCTGAAAAGAGCTTGAGAACGAAACACAAGACACATTCGTGTGTGTGTGCGCTCGTGCGCCAAGGAAGATTTAGTTAAAATGCATTTACGGTTGTGAACAGCAACAGAGAAGCAAACGTGAAAGAAAAAAAACAACAAATATTTGCATGAACTGTTGCATCAGATTGCGGTCGTTTGTAACACGCGTTTCTACATTGTATAAATCGCAAACCGATATATTTTCGCATCTTTGAAATGTAGACTATTAAAATAGAATAGATCGCGTCGTCGTAAATCGAGAGTGTGGCACAGGTGGCTTGGTTGCATTTTGGTCGGTCGACAATCAAACTATTTCGTTAATATTTGTTGTTGTTGTTGGCTGAATGCGTCTTTTGCATGTTCTATATTGTTTTAAACATGCAACTAAACACTGAAATGACAGCCAATCCAAAAAGATTTTTTTTCTGTGTTCAATTGTTCTGCCAGCATTCAAAGAGAGCAGAAACAGCAAAACAAACGAATAAATGAACGAAAGAAAAATCAACCGGCACAGCACAAATCAACAGAAATTATTTCGCCATTAGTTTCGCCTGCATTTTTAGCCAGGAAATAGTCATTATACGGTGTACGTTAAAAATGGCTCAGCTCAAAATGTATCAGCGGCGCAAAAGATTTTTGCTAATTTAATGTGTTTTCATTTCATTATTATTATTATTTTCATGGCGTTTGTCTTTCGGTCTTGAGTGTGTTTGTGTATGCTTCGTGGTACTTTTGTTTATATTCAATAAATTATTATGCTTTGTGTGATACGAAACGAAACCAAAACACCAAATGAGCACATCAAATGCACCCGTAAGAATGTTTGCACCGCTTTGATTCTGTGGGCATGTGTGGCTTACTTGGGCGCGCAAGTTACGCGAAAAAGAGATTTGTACACACACCCAACTCTTTCCCAATATTTCATTCTTTCATCTTATCAATTACATGTCGATAGAAAAATATGTGTGTTGTTTTTGTTTCTTTTTTTTTTCTTCGATCGGTTTTTCATTTGGGCAACGCCACTTACGCCAACCATTCTCTTTGTGCGATTTTTGCGCTTGATTGCACGATACGACTATATGCCAATAATATGTACATAATATGCAACATATTGATCGCGTCGTCCAGCACATATAACACATATATGCACACGACACACGATAATTCGTTTTGAACTAAATTGAGCAAAAACTTGAAGCGATACACGTCATTCCCAAACAAATCATTTCTCTCTCTCTCTCTCTCTCTCTCTCCTCCGTTTCGTTTCAAATTGATGATGATCTTTCTATTTCTTTTCCCTCAAATCAATAGGTTCGAGTATTGTTTGCCATAAGCATGTCGTTGGTGTTGGTCAGCGGCCAGTTCCTTGGTACCTACGATAATTCATATCGGCTTGGATTCGATTCGTTCAACGATGACTTCAGGGGAAGTTCACTCGGCGGTTCAAATTCATTTGGTGGCTTCAGCGGTTTGGCGAGCATTCGGGATCCACGACAAAACAGAGGTAAGATCAAAGCATAATTAATGAATGCAACAATCTTGCACATTCATCTCTCGCATAATCGCATCCCATTTGACCGAAGTAGACTTTGAATTTGTGATTATTTCATGCAAAACAAGCATGAATTATTGACATTTCATTTCGACGCAATATGTTACGACAACTTACTTCTTAGTGTCAAATCATCATAAAATGCGCTTGTGAATCTATAAAGTCGCACGGCTTGCGGAAAACTCGCGCGAATCATTCAAGAGAAGTGAAAAAAAGAGAAACGCTTGCAGCGAATCTGAAACGGATTGGCTTGCTGTTATTTGCGGTGTCAGTAAAATAATTAAAATATTTCACGTATGCAATAAAATGTATACATGATTTGGTATGCAGTCTCGCAAGAGAGTCCAAATTCGAAATAAAGAGCGGAGCCAAGCAAAACCTAGTCAAATCGTGTAAAACCACACCAGATTATTGAAAGTTTTTAAAATCGTTCACACTGATCCATGGGAAAAAAGATCCTTCAAATGGAGTAAAGCATTTTATTGATTAATTTTGTTGGACATTTAAATGTGCATGCGAGTGATAATGATAAGAGGAGTTCAATGTAAACAATAAACGTCATCATTTGACTACGACACAATGTTTCGAGCAATACAGTCTAATCGGCAGAAGAAAAGAAAAACATGAAGTGTTTGACAAATAATTTGTCAATGCCAAATACATGTGTTGTCTTTATGATTGATTGTGTGAAAAAAAAAATGACTCGAGCGTTTTATTCAAAGAGATTATTATTCTATGCGAGCGATGCGATTGTGAATCAAGAGAAATATCGTGGAATGTGTGGTGCGATGACAACGGCGACGGTGGCTACACGCAAATTTCATGTACAACAACGTATTGTGTGGAGAGTAATAGTGGCATTGCAAAACCATCTGATCTGATAGTGACCTTAAAGTTCAAGTTGGTATCTACGGTTTTATTGCCACTGTGTTGTTGCGACATAGCGCCAGAGATAGATGGATACCGACGATGATATAATCCGTAACTTGTGGATTCAATTTCAGTCTCAGACAACGCAACGAAAAAAGAAAAATATAACCGCATTAAATTGAAATGTGAGTAACGGCCACACACGCACGCACGCACGGAATGGGAATTCTGAACCAAAGCATGACTCTATTTTTTCTCCTTCTTTGGTTTGATGAATGCGAATCCAGTTTTACAAATCCATTTTCATCACGTCATTTACTTATTTTTTCCATTAAAATCTTATTAATTCAAATTTATGTTGTCATTTTGTTGGATAGGTCCCGTACAATTTCCACAAGGCCCAACTGATGGACCCGTAGAGTCGTCGGGAGTGATTGTTGGCGCATCTGGCTATGGATTTGTGCCACCAAACAGTCAACAAAGTAAGCCATGAACCCCACAACCCCAAGTGATCTCAAAGCGAATTGAGGCTTTGGACTTCGATTCGAACACCGTGCACATACACACAAACACAATCCCCATTCACACAAAGAAAAAAAATAAAAAATAAAAACAAAAAACAATCGAAGGATCACACACACAATTCCAAAATACACTCATGCACAAAAAAGCACATACACTTGTATTGAGAGGATAAAAAAATAAGATGTATTTAGCTGAATGGCGTTTTTTTTCCCGTTAATTTATTAAAGTACAAACTGATTATGACCAGAATCTAACAGCACAATGTCACTAATTTAAAATCACACGATCAAAAAACCAATGCAAAAAATAAAAAAATAAAACTTCGACCGATAAAATTAATTTTAAGTTTTAATTTAAAAGCGACAAAAATAATAAAATTGTATAGCACACAATTAATTGGATTTGGGCTCGCAAAATTGCGATACACTTTAGTTTTGTAGGCAATGCATGATATATATATTCAATTATGTATTACATTTTTTTTTCTTTCTTTTCGGTTAAAAATTATTGTATGTAAATAACTGTTCAAAGCGACAAACCGATACACAAACATACACCAGTGACTATAACAATAATTTTGTTTTTTAATGAATGAGTGATAAGTGTTAGTTAATTAATAAAGCAAAAAAAATAATAATAATTCAAATATGAATGCCTGGTATGCATGTGAATCAAGTGTGAATGATAAAATTGTTGGTAAAAATTTGTTCTGGCATGGGTTTTTTGTGTTTGTCTTCATGTCTTGATTGGTAGTCATGGCGTTTGAACAAAGATCTTATAGGTATATGCACACCATGGATTGAGAGATACAGAAAAATCACATTAAAAAAACCACCAAAGACAAGAGAGAAGAATAAAAACAAAAACAAAACACGTAGCTAAAAAAAAGCAACAACGGAAAACGAAACATACAACTTGTTTGTATACATTAATGTATTCAATTCATATTCAATTTTCTGTGTCTGTTTAGTTTTTTTATTCTCTCTCTCTCTCTCCCTTCGGTGTGTTAATAATTGTTTTGCGCTGGTGCAGTTTTAGAAAAAAAGCAGCTACAAATTACATTTAATTATTGTGATTGGAAATAAAGAGCCGTAATTAATATTTGGTGTGTTTTTGTTGTTGCTGCTGCTGCGTCTGTGTTTCATCATTGCTGACAACTAACGCTGAAGACAAAAATAGAAAAGAACCAGCCGAGCAAAGTAAAACAAAACCAATTGCATTCGGATGCAAGAGTAACACGTTCACACCATAATTTTTTCACTCTGCGTACAATATCGGTGTTTAGGAATATTTTTTGTTCTCTCTTAGATGTAAGATAAATGCAATGGGGGCAAAATAAGCCGACAAACACTGCGCACAAAAAGAAATAAAGAGTCAGTTACTGGCTGGTTGAAGTTGGCAGCAAAATCGGACACATCGAGGAAATTGGCTTGCACACAATGCTTTATAATCTTTTTGTTCAGTTCGTCGCATGGTTTGGTAGCCGGGATTTTGACCAAACGGTTTGGTCGGTTAGTTGGTGATTTGTATTTTTCTTCTCGTCGCTTGGTTTGGGTTTCAGTTTCAATCAATTTTCTGCGTTAGTATTTATATCTGTTGTTTAACTGACATTCATACGAGTTGAGTCATTTTATACTTGTTAACTGTGTTGTTTGGCCACATGAATTACCGTTTCAATAATGCTATTCTGAAAGCTATGCGTCATTTAACTGACAAATGACTGCACTAAACGAGCACGAAACGGATACTTTAACTGAGCACAACCGTTTTTTTTCTCTCGGTGTGTAGCATAAGATTGAATAAATGATGGATTACTTACACACAAAATATATAAAACAAAACGAAGAAAACGAACAGAAAATAAAGTGTATCCAAACTGAAAAGAAGAGAAGAAACAAAAAAAAACGAATAATAATAGCAACAACAATATCAACGAAGAAGAATGACTTTGCATACATAAAATGGCAAGAGGTAAATCTGATAATATGCACAATTGCAATTTGACTGAAACACGCGCGCAAATGCAATTATTACACAATTGTTTTTTTTTTTCGTTGTTGGTTTGGGCTCTCTCAATTGGTGGAATGAGATCCATTCGGTTTTCGCATTGAAAGTTTTTGGCAAATGATTAACTTTGAATGAAATGTAAAAAAAGTCCATTTCGCTTGACCTACACAACAGCTACACACGGTCTTTTAGATATTGAGCACATTTTAGCAGACATCACATTAACAAATGCACACACATCCACTTCTACGCTTAAGTTGCATTTTGTATGTCATTGTGGACACGGAAAAGCTGAGAACATGCACTAACATCTGACCTTAGCACAGTTATTTCATGAAAATGTGAAAGAAAAAGGGAAAAACATCGGCAAAAATTATAATGTTTGAGAAAGTAAGAACGGATGAAGAAAACTGAAATCAACGAAAAAAAGAGCATAATTTGCTGTTTTTACAACGATTTATCAGTGCATTGGATCGACACCTGTTACAATGTTTCGATTCATAACAGCCACGGAAAATTCCCTTCCTTCGGTCTAACTTGCCATATGAAAATGCCTTCGTTCACTCCATCCAATTCCATGAAATAGTTTTCTGAATAGCACCAATTTTTTATGCAAAACATAGCCCAATGCTTGCACATGGAAGATAGAGCGAGCGACAAAGCGAAAGAGAGGACGAGAATCAGCCTGAAAAAGGGTAATACAACTAAAACAATCTGAATATTGAAATTGCCGTAATAAAGCAAAAATTATCGTTCGCCGATCATTTGTGCAATTATTTATTGCACAATTGTAGATCGAATGCTATGTGTGTGCTCGCTCATTCGGTCACATTAAAATTCGCGCTCTCTTCAGGTGCAATCATTTCATCTGGCAAAATGTGTGCTTTCTGTATTTCGTTCACAATGACGACGACTACGGCGGCGAGAAAAAAACAGAGAAGTTGAAATACAATTCAGTCACAAAGTGAGCACATTTGGTATGCATGTTCCATGGATGCGGCATTTTACACACGGCCGTCTGTCATGCTCACTTATGCTTCGATTACTTCACAGTTCACAAGACAAAATCAAAAACCCACATGAATGTCTCTTTTTTGTGTTATAAATCCAAATCTTTTTACAAAACGCCACATTAAATACACATAGAAACGCCGCTTTCTTTATAGCCAACAACGACACACATGATCCATACACAAATATTAGATGACGCTCTGAATCTGCCCTTTGATCTGATTTTAACCGAAACATTTATCTACGTTTTTTTGTTCCTCTCTTTTTCTCATCACATTTTTTTCTACTCTCTCTCGCAGGTCGTTTGGTTGCGCCGACACAGAATCGCTTTAACAATCGCTACTTCAACCAATTCAGGTTCTTCTAAGTCACACACACACACACAACAAGAACAACAATGTGCAACAAATGCAACACAAACAAACTGACAAACGTGAAAATAGCAAACAATACCAACAAAGAAGAAACAAAGTTACCGATGCAGCGGCTTTAGCAGCTCCCATCTAAATAAATTACTGGTATATTAGACATATATCGACGAAATATGCAGACCAGAATGTATTTTTATGCATTATTCATATGATTATTAGGAGTGAAGTGAAGTGATTAATTATATGTAAAATTCAATTAAGTTTTTTTTTATATCGTCCAATTGCCACACAATTGTACATCATCAGTGAACACTCGCTGCAACTGATTCTGTAGAATTAGTGACCATCAACAGCCCAAAATTTAGAAACATATAAAGGAAAAAATGACAAAAAAAACTGACAAAATGAAAACACAAACAAATGCTGGAATGAATAGGTTGATAATTTTACCGTATGATTTAAGTAATTTTTAGCATTGAAATGTTTGATGAACGTTATTTATTGTGCAAAGAATAAATGAAAAAAAAGCGACAAAACACACCGTGTTTCTCTTCTGATGAACAAAGGATTTTTATGCGAACAGAGTCTCTGTTATAGAGAAAATTGCTCCAAAAGCGTTCACATCATTTAACTGAATCGGCTATAATAGATGGCAGAGGACATGTACCATTTATGTTGAACAACAGCATTGGCTTACATCGAAATTCAAGTTTTATTTAAATGCGTTTTAATGAACACGAAATGAAAAACATCCATCATTCAAAATGCGCGGCAACTAAAGCGAAAAATCCACTACTTCCAGACCATATATATATTATTCATCGACAACAGTGTGACACAGTTGCTCTCTCGTTTCGAGTACCGCATAATTTTCCGTAAACAATGTAGACCGTAGAGCAAATAATTATTTCTCAATCGCAATACATTTTTGGTACACTGCAAAAATGTCGATAACATGTTAGATGCGGTATTTTTTGATTTTTACCCATTTTGGAATTTGCGACTTATTTTCGACGATTATAAAATGAAGTGAAAAGGAGCATGGAGCATTACTCCATAATAATCAAGTCGATGCTAAACGTGCATATTTTCCCAATGCGGTAACAATGCCGAGCACCATTGTCTTTGGATTTTGTAATCTAGATAATTGAAACGTTCGACAATGACGTTTCCCGGTTGTTCATGACAGGTACAACATCTCGTTTTTCTTCTCTTTTCTAGAATCGAAAATGAATCATGTGATCGTTTTATGAGAATAATTTTCATTACGAAGATGAAAAACGTGATGTGTCACATAAAATGTTTTAATGAAAGAAAAATCGAGTCGATGTTTTTTTTCCCGTAATAAAGAAAGGAATGTATTAAAACGTCAAAGTATTTTCTCGAATAAAATGTATTTCATTTGTCTTTATTTATCCTTAAGAATAACTTTATAATTTGAACATTCTTTTCGCCATATGAATATTGGTGTATTTTTTGGATTTTTGTTTGCATTTTGTCTGTGTGTGTATGACATTGCATTGCTGCAACCGATGATGAAATAAAAGAATGATGAGATTCGGTTATGATTCAGCTTGGCCTATCAATGTCCCTGATGTTTTCTACTTTTTGTTCCGAAGTGACAATCACTTGGATTTGCCTCGAACATTGTCTGAACTTGATATAGATTAGCCACTGGTTATATCTCGGGCTGTTATGCATGACATATTCAACCGATGAACGGTCGTTCTTTTGTTCATTTGGATGATTGCATACATCTTTCAAATCAAAATAATATCATTTATATCATAATAACAATGATTGAAACAGCGTGTATACAGTGTTATTTTTGATTTGATATGACAGGTAAAATATTATTTTGCTCTCTCTCTCTCTCCCTCTATTTCAAATTTTATCAAATATATATTTTGATATATTTATTCTGTTGGTCACAACTTGGATTTAGAACCGATTTTAGGTCTGTACTTAAGTTTTGTTTTTGACTTGATTTGTTCTTCTTCTTTTTTAATATTGTCGATGGGCTCGAGTTTCGATTAGAATTTCTTAAATTTTTGTGTTATTTACTTCAAGTGATAAACTGCTTGTACTTATATCAGAAATAATAAATATACTTCAATTTCGGGTGCATTGTTAAGCCATTAGTTAACAGGAATATGTGTTAAATAAGATGTGCAACAAACATTTGAATATGTATTAGGTGTGAGCGGGGCGGGGTTTTGTTTGGGCAAAATGAATAAACGATGTGTTAAAAAATACATTCCGATTGGAAACTACACATATTTTTCATTTAAATACTTGAATATGCATAATGTAAAAGATTGGTGTGAGAGACCAAAATGGATATCTCACACAATTAAACAAACATGTTGGAAGTCAAATACCATCTAGCATTTGAAATCGTTGTTCTGAAGTAAACGTGCGTCCTTTTCCTATATAAAATATTCATTTAACAAGTAACGCACACCTTGCACTTTGTCAAATTGTTTTTTTTTTTTGTAATTTTCAGACTATCATTTGTATCTTCTTTTGCATTCTCAATTTGTTCGGGATGAGCCATCATGGCTCAACCATGAGCCTTTCTTGGGATGAGCTATGGTGGTTTGTCCCTGATTTTTAATTGATCATTCAATTTCGGTTTATTGATAGGTTTTTGATCTGTGGTTTTGCATTTGTATTCCATAACTGGAGTTTTAAGCATACAATCAAGATAAATATATTTGGATTCATATCTATAGTTGGTTGGTTTGTTTGTTTGTTTGTTTTTTTCTAAACAAGAAAATGAATATTTTGAGAATATACACAATGTGTGTGCACGCATTTTAATGGTAATTATAATAATCTACAAATATTTTTACTCTAACTACGTCACAACATCATTTCTGAGAAAGAGAACGAGATAGAAAGGGTGAAAGTTTTGGAGGAAAAAGCCCAGTGCAAAGCGAACAACAAAATAAATGAACATCTACGGGTCTACAGTAAAATTGTGTTGATATAACGATAAAATGGTGCTCCTGTGCTCATATTGTTCATGTTCTTCTTCATTTTCCACTTAGTAGCAACTAATTCAATTTAAATGTAAATTTTTAGAGCCATGCCACTTGTTACATTTGATACTTGGAGTTTCTTACGGGCACTTTTGTGTGTGAACCGGAGTTTCATTTGCATTTGTAGTTTCTTCGTATGTTCATTCGTTTCGATTTTATTGATTAATAAAGTGCACAGAAAAATTATTGTCAAGAAAATCAAATGACAGTAATGTGCTAACGTACAATTAAATTAAAGAAAAAAAACCATTAATATCGAATTTAGACTAATGAAGACAATTGAATAGTATTATTGTATCGAAAGATAAAACACATTTATCCCAATCGCAGTTGGGTGTCTTTCGAAAAAAAAACCAAAAAAATGAAATATTTCACTGAATTTGATCAATATATCAATCTTATTAATATGCATTACCTATAATTATCAATATTCTTTCAAAATTGTTTGTTTTCACTTTTTTTTCTTTTTTTTTCTAGTTTTGTTTCATTTGTTATAGACAAAAATTGTGAACATAACGACAAAAATATAGAGAAAGTTGCATATATATATATATATATATATATATATATAGTTAGTTGATGAGAGTGGTGAACGTTTGGAATTTATTCGTGAGCTTCAGACTCTTGTTGAACTAGTTTAAAGCGTCTGGGTGAACAGATCGAGCTATTGGCTATCAGCGGTTTCTTCATAGTGTCATCCAACGCCAAATGCTTTCTAATCAAACGGGAAACCAATACTTGTGGACGCTGTTGCCATTCATGCATCACCTCCTTTGGCGTGTTGACCTATGCGTGTGACAAAACAGTGGAATGTTTTTAATTTTTGTTTTGCGTTAGAAATTGTCAACAAATAACAACATTGTTGTTGACAAACCAAAACAGCAATGGAAAATAAAATCATTCAATAAATAAATTTCATCACACATCGTACCTGATCCCCTTTCAAACGGTCTAACAGTGCAACACACACGATGGCTGAACGAATGCCGGCATTATATGTCAGTGCCGCAAAGATTGTACATTCCATTTCGATGTTGATCACACCGAAATCATGCAATTTCGCCAGATAATCCATTTTATCATTTTCAGTAAAATCACAGAACGCACCATCCAATCGTCCTTGACCTAACACAAATCCAATGTATTCAATCAGTTATTTAAAGAACATCTGAGTTTACTGCGAACAACATCTCTTTTACGCTAACAGCAATTCGTACACGAACGAGTTAGTGTGACGGTTGGTGTGAGCGAGACAGGATTTGACAGCAAACAATTTGGTTGTATCAGTTTAAATGTTCTTTTTTTTCTACGCATAAACACTATCGCCTGACTTGTGACATCCACCGATCACACATTAGGTGGTTAAAGGCATGATCACATTGGAATTGGACGTAGTTCAAACAAAAAAAAAACGACAAAACAAAGTAGATTGATACCTTCATAGAAGTCATTAGCGCACATTGTTTTTCCGATCACCGTATCGTATGGGTCCATCGTTGGATCAGATAAACATTTCAATTCACGCGCCAATTTCTTATCCAATTTTGTCGGTCGCTGTACTAGTTTACCTAATATGGGCTGAAATTTGGGAACAATGAAATTCAAAACTAAGTAAATGGATGTCTCTCATGGGATTTGCATGTAAAATTTTTGAAGATTTTACCAGTTCAAAGGTGCTTCGGCATAAGCCATCAATAGCGTCATCGGTGATGATGACAGTGCCACCTTCGACACCAATTCCACCGCATGTTCCGATTCGAATGAAGATTGGGTCTTTACATTTGGCATGATACATTAATTTGATCATTTCGTGCAATAATATTCCGACCGATGGAACTCCCATACCATGACTGACACACAATACTGGACCAACCTGTTTGATATGATTGATGCGATGATTTGGTTATTCATTTGATGGGGGAATATAGCTACATATTTTTGTATCAAATTACTTGGAATCGGAGCTCAGTGAGAGGAGCAACAATGAACATAAAATACTACATACCTTGTACATTGAATACCGATACGAAAATGCACTAATATCAGATAATTGTGTGCCGGTTGGTAGTTTATAACCAATTTCGCTCATTATGAAATGGGCAAAGTTCTCCATTCGCTTTGGTGTGCCGCCCATGCAAACGAACTGCAATGCATTAATGTTAAAATTCATTTTATTACAAGTGTTCATCATCTCATTCAATCGATTGATTTAAAATGGAAATCAAATCGCTAATTTCAATAAATTTCACTATTGGATTTCGAGTTTAATTAAATTGTTCAACACTTACCCTAACATCACCAAACATTTCGATAAGATCATGGCTTCCGCTACCCAGTGCCAAATGGTACAGAATATCCTGGTCCATGAGTTCGATATGTGGATTACGAAGTTTAACTGTGCCATCTGGATATCTAAAATTACATAAATTTCTTTTTAGCCAAAGCGAATGTCATACATTTCTATGGAAAATATTTCTCTTAAATTATGCTTATATAAAAGAAAAAGTTCGCCAGTAGAATCGTATGTCAACAATTCAAATTGACAGGCAAGCAATAATGAAATTCGACGTAAGTTTCGCAACGAATGTTTTTATTTTCAACTTTCTTTCTCTGTTTTTTGTTCTCACTTCAAATTTCCGAATGCAAATTACAGACTTTGTGTGTGTGTATGTATACCTTGTTTCCTTTGTTGCCCATTCATATTCATCGACAAAACCATTACCATTCGACTCCATTCGATTGATGCAATTTTTTTCACTACATCGGATTTTTATTACACTATCGACTTCCTTTGATTGATTGCTTCGTTTGCATTTGCAAAGGATTTGTACCGTTTGTGGTGGCGTCTGTGTACATGTGATCGATGCATAATCAGTATTATCGAAAGAATGTGTCGACGTTGCCATTTCTCTTTTGATTTACAACGTTCGCTTTGAGTACACTTCAGTTGGATGGGTGAATTGGAAATTATATTCGCACTGCTTTGTCAAAGTCGGTGTTTTAGATTAGGCTTTTATTTTCTTCCTTTTCTTCACGTAGTTTGTTACGACAAATTGAAAACAAAATCTTTATCAGCTGTTACGGCAGAGATTGCATTTTTGCTGCTGACTAGGCCTGAGCTGAGCTGAGCTGAATTTGCTAACTCAGGCCAGATTTGCCAAGTCAAATTTGAGGCTGATCTGGCTGGGAATATGAATTTTGTACTGTGAATGCGTTAAAATAACGCTTCAGGCGCCTGAGTTAGCAAATTTAGCTCAGCTCAGGCCTGCTCAGCAGCAAAAATGCAATCTCTATCAAATTCGCATCGAACTTATGACGTTACGGAAACGGAAATCTTCAGACGGTTTGCTTTTGAAAAATAACTCCGTTTTGATTCTGCAGTATTTTTTTAAAAATAGTTTGTAAAATATCGCGTTATTCCTCAATACTATGAGAACAACAAAAAAAACCAACAACGTCAAAAGATGACGAAAGATTTCAAGCAAAATCGGAAGAGCAAAACCGCAAAAAAAAATTATCAAGAAAAGATGTTAAAAATTGACAAGTCAAAATGATGAGGCAGCATAAAACTTTAATATTGAGCGTTTCAAACTTGAGTCGATTGTGGAAAACTTTTCGTTTTGTTCACAAACAACTTGTTGCGCATCAAGAATATTTTTGTTCACTGGCTGTTGAAACCGTGAAGTTGTGGCAGTAGGTACTGTTACGACGATTCGTTTGCACTTCGCAAAAGCTGATATCAAATTTTTGTCGGAGAGAAATAGATGAAAGAAGAAGAGCGCACACACACAATTCGAATTGAAAGTAAATAGCCGAAAACCAAAATGAATCCGATCACTTCAGCAGTCAACAAATAACTGAAATTATAACAGCAGACGCATGAATCCATAAGGTGTGTGATGTTTCTGTTTCGTGTGTGTGTGTGTTTTTTTCTTTTATTGCTGCGTTTGTTTTTGTCATCCTTTTGTCACGATCGTTCAAAATGAAGAAACAACGCAGCAGCAGCAACACAAACACACACATAGCGAAGAAGAAGAAAAGGAAGAGAGAAGTAGATGAAACATTAATGCGAAAAAGCCTCGGGCTTAATCGAAACGACGAAGTCTGTGTCACTATAATAAAACAGCAGTTGTGCACCGTTTTTTTAGCTTCATTTTACAGTGCAATCGTCACATTTACAACCCTCTGTCTCATTTCGTTTAACGTAATTTGAATCGTTCGATTAGCTCTGTAATTTCAATTAATTATAACTCTTTCGTTTCTATCGCACATCCATTTGCATACGAAACCGTATGCAACTATCGAATCCATACGATATTTAAATGCGATTTTTCTCTCCCTTTTGAATACATTCAGAGATTAATGATAATGCAAGTCCTAGGATAGAATGTCAAAGCAGCGAAGCAATGTGATTTACACAGCACACAGGTTTGCAAATGTATACAAATCAACAAATGATGAGAGAATGAGAGAACAACGATAATGGCAAAACAATTCCATTTGTCTATGTTCAGTGTTTACTTTCATTTTTAGGGTGAAACGAAAAACGTCCTAAAAAACCCAAAAATCGACCTATAAATTACGAAAATCATCCTAAATATCACAAAAATCGTCCTGACAAAATACAAAAATCGTCCTAATTGGACAAAAAATTGATTGAATCATTTTCTGATAAAACTAACGGAAATTTTTCTTATTTTTATCTCAACTGTGGAATAGACGAAATGAACGGGAATTCCTTAGATTGTAAAAACGACAGCATCAAATGTTATCAGCGATATTTTGTAACATAAAATTGAGCATTACGAATACATTTAGACGAATGTTTCTTTTGTAACGAAATATCATGAATATGAGACGCACGTAAGCAAGTATCACACGATAATATCGCCATATCTACCTCAGTGATGGTTTTTCGTTAGCCAGCATTGTCTTAGCCTTGGCTTACACCAACAACTGGTGTAAGCCAATCGTTAGCCAGCTATCTGTGTTAAATGAGTACATTCAAAGTATAATAATTTTTGATTTGCGTATTCTGATTCAAATCATACAAATTTTAAAAAAAATTAATATATTTCAATTAATTTTCAATTTAAAAGTCATTTTTATAATTTGAGTTATTTTTTTTTTCAAAAACTTAATAAAAAAAATGTCGATGTTTGGTTTCATTTAAACTCTGACCTGGTGATTTAAATGTCAGTCACAAACGTCAGTTCAGATGATTGCGTTCAGTTCTTAATGAAGTTTTTTCACTGGTCTACACATTCGTTAGCCAGTACGCACTTATGCGGCTAATTAGCCAGCTAATTGGTTCTTCACTGATCTACCTCATGCAATATAGAAAATATGCGTTTTGGAATATTTGAACAATTTTGTGAGTAACTGTATGTTTAATTCTATATCTCAATGGCAATGAAATAACTCAGTAAAATATACTGTGACAAACACAATCTGATTTTTAGGATGTTTTTTGTATTATTTTTCGGACGAAATTAGGGTCTTTCAGGACGATTTTTGTATTTTTGTGATATTTAGGATGATTTTCGTAATTTATAGGACGTTTTTCATTTGAACCTCATTTTTATAACTAGCGTCTCGGGCGGCCTACTGCGTCTTAGCCTATATTCGAGCTGTAATTTTATTCATTGTTTGCACACAATATGCAAACTTTTATTCCACCTGATAATGAAATTGCAAACAACTCATTCCATTTCTCTAAATCTACCCTTGTGCCTATGTCACAATGTCTATGCCTCTATGCTCCTGTCTCTTCGTCTTCTTCTTCATCTCTTGGGCTTATGCCGCCCATTCATATTCATCGCTCGTCTTGCGATGTCAAACTTCAACGAAAAAGTTCTTGAAAAGGCTTTTTTCCAACACCAGCATACATACATTGGCCTACTGTGTGCCAGCATAATGTGGGCTATAATTCGATTTGAAAGCAAAAAAGAAATCATGAAGCAAACGACTTCGAGCCAGTTAGGAAAATGTCTGTCATAGATAAGCTGATTAATTCAGAAAAAAAAATAACGTAGCAGAATGAAACCAAGTCGCTATGTGCGCACGGTGCGATGATTTAGGGGATAAAATCGTCTTCCATACCGATGGAATTGGCTTTCGATTGAGATTTCGTATAAATCATTCGATTGAATCAAAAGGTGGCAGCGAGCATGTGATAATGCATGTGTTCCGTATCAATTTCTCCTTCTCTCTGTCTCTCTGTCTATGTCTTTTCCATTCTCTTTATTTTCAATGAATTTATACGATGCAATCCGGTCTGTCATCAAATCGGATTAGCACGACGTAAGCAACGAAACGAATCTAATTAGTTTTTTATTGTCTAAGTGCATGTATAATACTTACTCATCTCGTTCCTCTTCCGAAAGCGATGGTTCAACGTGGCGATTCCGATAATTTGACATACTGACAACGCTATTGATTAATTAATACCGTACACACAATTCAAATGGGTTGTTTTGTATTTTGGGTTGAAGTTTCGAAAATTCCACACGAGACAATCACGTTCAGATTTTGATTTCCGACCGAAAAACGCCAATTAATACTGGTTTTCCACGCAATAAATTCAAAACTCCAAGTCTATCATTATGGACAGAGAGAAAAAAAAGCAAAGTGAAAAAAGAACGAGAATAGTTTATTGTCATGGGTCAACTGGAAACGAACCAAAATAAATGAACGAAAGCAACCAGTCAAAAAAGAGGAAACAATATGAAAGTCATAAAAAAACAATTCATATAGATTATAAAGACAGAGAAAATAGAAAAAAATTTCGTTATTATTTTTTCGTGTTCTCAAGGAGTGTGATTTTGACTAGCTATCAACATTGTATGATGCCTTTTTTCCGCGTCGAGTGCTCTGTCGTTTGTTTTTTGTCCTCTTCTTCTTCATTGAATAATTTATGACTATTCATCATTCATTTCACTATCTCACATTCACTGTGTATAATTGAGTCAGTTCATTCATTAAATCGATTTAGTTGGCATGTTAAATTCCTTTTTTTTCGTTTTCCTCTCATTCCCATTCCAATTGAGAAATATTTTAATCTATTTTCCATCATTTTTGTTTATATTCAAAAATAAAAACGACAAAAATGATGTTGACTATATTGTTGTTTTGTTTCCGTTCAAGTTTACGTCAGTCAACATTAATATTGGAAAGGTCAATGCAATCATTCAAAATCAAACCATAAGGGTGATATACTGTATGAAATAATAAGACACATCGCATGATAAAGGCGTAGAAGTATATACACATAGCATTTAAAATCAAAAGGAAGAACACAAGAAAACATACGAACGAATGAACTAAAAAAGCCACAACGACCAAAAAATCAAATGAAGTGGTCGACGTTCATCGAAAAATCGATCACGCACGACACATATTTGTCATATTGTCTGCAAACAAACAGCACTGAACCAGAAACAAAATAGAGACGAAAGAAACTAAATCATTTCAGCTGCAATCGATTTTCCAATCAACTGTCATAAGATATTAATTTCAACGCATTTCATTCACTCTGTTTATTTAATGTTTTAATAAAAAAAAAACTCCGCACTCTCAAATAGAAATTCGACCACATTCAACAGAGACCATACAAAACATGTGACTTGGAAATGACACACAAGAAAAAAGATCTATCTAGTTTGTTTTTTCGCTTTCATCAATATAAAAAATGCTCACATTTCAACCAATTTTATTTCGTCCAAATTAAAATCGTTGATCCAACGCACTGGCACAGCAAAGTGATGAAGACAATTACAATGGAATTACTCTGTCGATGCAAACAAACGAAATAACAAGCTCACAGACTACTACTGAGACTTCGTACATCAAACACACACCCTTGACAATAAAACGGAATTTTCGCTTGGAGACTGAAGAAACACTGACTCATGTGTGAATAGGGAGAGTGAGAGAGAGATATATATCGATGGATATAAACAGCGTTGCTGTTTTTTTTTTCTTCGCTTTTCTTCTTTCTGTATGTGTGTACACACTGTATGTTCTGTACACATAAAAGCGCACGTTACCATATATACGTGAGTGATCTGATACTTACCACGGGAGTAGTAAAACATTGACTAAAGGAAATTTCAACAGTTGATGTAAAGGAACAGAGAAAAAATAATGAAACCAGAATATGTACACCGAAGAACGGAACATGCGCGCGCCATGGCTGTGTGTATGTCTGGATAGGGAAAATTCATTGCGTTGCTCATTTTGGTTTCTTCACAATGTACAATGTACACATATACCCAACTAATCTAAATATCTATGTCGTTTTTAATGCGGCGCGCTCATTTTCAACAACAGCTCCTTTGTTCTCACTTAATTTAATGGCAACGATTATTGCACGTGAAATGCTAACTTAAATGTGTTGTTCAAAAAGTCACTCGAAAATCAATTGAACCCGTTCAACACCGACAGTCACACAATGCAACTCAACGTCCACACCACGTTGTCTCCATTCAATTTGGATTTTAAATAGAACTTTACTCGGTTTTTTTTCTTCTCATTTTGTTTTTATCACTTTGTTCTTCTTGTTCTTGTTTGCATGATATCGGGAGAGAAAAAAGGTTACATTAAATGCACATGTACGTGAAATGTGAGCGCATTTTTTTTGATAGGACCGAATCCACTCAACCACAACCTATTTATAAATGCATGTAAATCAGCAGGCGCTTTGTCTATCTTTTGGCAAAAAAAAAGTCATTATACAACTCCTGAAATTGACACTGATGACTGAGTCATCATCATCGTAAATAAAATAAACAACAATTTCTTTTTTTTTGCTCTCATCAATATCAACAGGACGACGTTTGTCAATACATTTTTTTCCCTTATTTATTTATAACGTTATGCCGTTTGAATTGCTTGCCAATTAAATTTCTTTTCTAAATGAATGGAATAAATTAAATTAAAATATAATCTCAAATATAAATAAAAAGTTCCGGCGACTGAATGCAACAAAAAAATATAATGGTCGTAGTTATTTTTAATCTAATGATAGGGATTATTGCAACAACATGTGAATATTACGGCATGGTCATAGCAAGAGTTAGCATTTAAGTAGGAACAATCCGCGGCCAACGGACAGTCGAATGGTACATTTCCTAAATGGGGAAATTGTTTGGAAAGAAAAAACGCACTATTGTATCAAAACATGGAGTGCAGAAAAATAACTTTGGTTTGCATTCGAATGGGACTTACCATTATGGCAACAGCACGCATCGTGGATCATTTTGTGTGAACAGTAACTGTAGACACCGCGATCACATAAAGGGCAACCACCTTTTGCTATTGGTCCTGGCGGTATCGGACCCGGAAATGGCCCAGCTGGCGGCAACGACGTTCCGGCCACCGCAGGATAATTCAAACTCTTTATCAACGCGGCAGCCTTTATCAAACCACTTCCATCGTCTGTGAAAGTAAGAGAAATTATGCATTTTTTTTATATTTATTATTGGCTCTGATTTTTTTATGTGTGTGCGAGGCTCTTTTGGCGGCAATAAATTTCTCAGTGAAAGTATTTCGTATTTGGAAAGTTTTATACACATATATGAACCACACCAAAAATTATTGAGATAATTTTGTGAGCGAAATTAGTTTTTTTTTATCGCCAAATTTTTATGATTAATCAGATCGACATCCGTTTTATGGTGTCATTGACCCAGTTAAGCTCCAACGGATTTATTCATAACATTCACCGGATTAACCAAAATAATTGAGTTATGACCGAACTATCGTTTTTATCGATTAAATATTAATTTGGTCATCGTATCATCAAATATGGTAGCCAAATGACGCTAATAATCCCATATTCGATTAGAATGTGCTCATTTGAATGCGTAATAGTCGCGGATTTTGCAATAGAAATCGGTTACATGAACCGATAGAGAAAGAGAACAACCTTCGAAAATCGATTTCAATTGAAAATTTGCATTTTGCATTTTTCACTCAAACTGGTGATTCATCTCCGAAGGAGTCCAATGATTGAATCATTCGATTCAATTTCGGTTTTATGAAACCGTTCAATTTGGTTTTATTATTTTTTTTTCCTTTTTGAATTTGAGCATCTTCATTTCCAAGCCAATGATGGGAAAAAGTTCATTGCGGTTTAAGAAATGAACACGTTTTGCGACTTTCTCTTTTCGCCTCATTTTTGCGAAATCAACGAGAACAGAGAATAAACACTTTGAATAATATTCTTATAAAGGAATTTTCCTGTTCATTCACGAATCAATAGAATTGTGCAGTAGTTTTTGTTCCCGTCGGGTTTCCAATCCTATCGATAATCGTTTATTGCGACATGAATTTATGCGCTAATAGGTCTACTATGCCATTTGAAATCACACTGCCTACTATGCATTTTAATGGAAGATGATGCAAATTAATGCGCAATTAATTTATAAAAACATCATCGTGGATTGGAGCGTGCCGTGCCGGGATCATATTCTAAGCGCACTATTTACAAATGGAAACAAATTGCTCGCGATAAGAGAAAACCATTTACCTGATAAAAATATAGCCGATGCTGCGTAGATTAATGTGAACAGTGTGAATATTAATTTGCACATAGTGTGTGTGTGTGTGTGTATGTGTGTTTTTTTCGTATATAGTTTCTGCGTGTAGTTGACACTTAAGCGAGATGTTACTGGAAGAGAGTGCGGCCAACGAGTGTAATGTGCGCGATTCGATGGACGATCGAGTACTGACTTCTGAACACATTTTCGTCGAATGGGTCACTTTTGAAGCAGATGATGAAACGCCCACACGCTGGCTCAAAAGCGGGCCGAATGAAAACTGAAATGGCAATTCGACATTGTACAACAAGAATTCAAATATGCAACATCAATTTCGATTCGAAAATGCGGAGCATGAAAACGAAAAACGATTAATTATTAATATATTTTTTTATTCTTTGTAAAAATTTATTGACATATAAAAATTGAATTTAATAATCTTTTTTTTTGTTGTTGTTTGTTTGTTACGAATAGAGAGTTGAGTATTCGACTGAAACACAATTCGCATTTTATATACACAGCCGAATATGCTCTTTGTTGTAAAAACACAGACCAAAGTTTGCAGGCGAGCGCATCCCGCCAAAAAAAAAACGTCTCTACGCAATATTGTAACTCATTTACACGCGCCCCTCGCCTGCCGAGCCTTCAGTTCGGTTTTTTTCTTCTTCTTCTTCCTCTTCTTTAAATAAATTTATTGCCTTCATTGTAATTCATCAATGTAGTATCGATTGCAATTATCGAAAATATTTTCCATATTTCTGCTCTAAACCAAATCATCGCCATAATAGTTGAATTTTCTTATTGTATGTTTCGTTGCTAAAGTAATACATAAAAAAAAACAAAAACAAAAACACGATATCCATTCCAAGTACCAAACACAGATGCACAATGATGAGTTTGAAATGTCGAAAAACCGGAATTCATTGCAAAACAAAATTGTACATCTAATTTTATAGTGAATGTTTTGTTGTTGTTCTTTCTTCTTTTTTCTTCTTTCTTCTTCTTCTTCTTCTTCTTTTTCTTCTTTATGGTTTTGATTTATTAGCTTCGGGGGATTTGTTCGTGTGTGTGTCGATTAATCATCATCTTCTTTCCATTTCTCCTTGGCTTCAATTTGAGCATCAGGAACCAGCTGATTTCGTACTCCACCCAACACATTGGCCGTTGCCTGTGTCGCCAGAACGATTGGCATTACAATTGATGGTGGTATTTGACGAATAACTGCACCAACAGCACCAGTAACGCCTTTTTGATCGTGCTCAATGGTTGCCATCTCAACAATATTTTGCGCCGTATTACCAACGCCCTGAATTAGATAACATCAGAAACGGAAAACATTTTATTAAAATGCAAATTGATTGGAAGGCAATTATGGCACACTTGGGGCACACTACTTACATCTTTGACTATGTGATACGCATTGGTGACACCCTCTCGAATATCCTGCGGCCGATGAAGCTTACGTTTTCCACGCCGGCGACCCTTTGTCATTCGCACCGATGGACCCGGCGATACCATATCGTATGCCGTTTCAGCCGTTATCTTAAATCGAAACAATCGAATCATAAGCATCGCAATTCATAAGATTTATCGAAAAAGAAGAAAAAATTGTTGATTGGCCATTTACTTGTAATAAATAAATTAATCTGGTTGTCAACTCCAATGCCGCTAATGCTGTACGAGATGTGAAACTTTGAGCACCCAATTGTATTCCACGTACAATTCGGCCATCACGTTGATATTGTTCGTATGGCAAACGGAAAAGATCGATAACTCCTTGAACTGTAACGGAACGAAAAAGAAACAAATCAAAATCAAACCAAATAACAATTGTGGAATTTAATCAGTTTCACAATGCATGTCATTGTTGTTGTTGTTTTTTTTTTTGCTTGCGGCAATTTAGATACCAAGTGTGTTTACTTACAGAATATAACGATGCTGTTCATTGGGCCGATACCTTGCAGTAAAGAAGGTAATTGGGAATTCTGAATGTGATTTAGCCATTCCTTTATCAAATGGAACAGTACTCGATCAATACCCAAGAGTCCGCGACGATAATTGATTTTTTTGAGTCGGATGCGTGAGCAATTCAAATGACTCAGTCCCATTATCAAGCCCATGATGGGACCGTGTGAAAATTGAACGCGCTTACCGCAATAATTTATCGTCAATTCCACCTCTGGGCTAAAAGTCACACTCCTATATCAAAAGTAACGAAAACAAAAAAATGCAAACATTTCATTTAGTGATTGGAATTTATCATTTGACCTCGGTTTGAACGAACCTAAAGTAAACGGGGTTGTTGTCGGTGACATTTGTTGCAGTTTCACATGATGGTTTCTCTGTTTCGTCTTCGTCATCGATGAGTAGCATTAGATTTTTATCGACCATTTTGCGGGCTTGTAGCTCTTTCAGATCGGGCATATCGACGATCATAACCGGTGGCTGATGCGTGGGAGTTGACGGTGTTTTGGTTACCTTTGTTGTTGGTTCGTCTACGCTGCCGTTCAGTTGGGCAAAGAAATCGGCAATGAAAAGCATAGCATCTTGATCTATGTTTATATTCACCTTGGGCATAAATGAAATGAATAAATTCGCCTCTTGCGACGGTAGCGTCGGTTCGGGACGAATGAAGATGCATTTTATATACATCGTTGCTTGATCGCTCTTCTTTGATCGTTCACTGCGGCCAGTGTAGAACATTTTATTGAATGATGACGATGTCAAACGATCCCAAACTTCGAAATCCGACAAAACCAGCACTTGCCGGGATGCTTCTCGCGTATGCGACGGATACGTTTCATGCGAAAATCGACTTTTGTTCGAATGTATTTCGACGCATACTTCAAAGTTTCGATTAATACCGCCTCGTTCCTTCCATGGTCGCTGCGATCTTGGCGTGCTGCTTTTCACTTTGCTTGGAAGTGTTACGGTGGATGATACCTTGGAAAATGCTACACCTTTTTTGTATGCATCCGACATGCCAACCTTTTCATTCGATGCCATTTCGTATTCCTTTTCTCTTTCCGTGTTTGTGGTTGGGAAATCATTTCCGCCGTACAAATGCATCGAAATCGATAGATCACAAATTGTGTAGCGTGTAACGGCTTGTGGGAAACCTTGTGGTGCCTTCAACATATCATGCTTATCCAACGGTATGCTAAAGTGATTGTCAACAATTCGAATCGGTTCATCGGTCGACTGTACGTTATCGATTCCGTATTTCGGTCGTTCTTCGTCACCAATGAAACAGAAATCATCATCGGTGTCGGAGCTCAATTTACGACTGTGTTTCTTGGTCGATTTCTTCTTTGAATCGGGACTTACGACCGATCCAAGTTCACTATCGACCAGCGGTAAGGCTTCGACGGCTTCACTTTCAAGTTCATCCTTCAATCCCATTACGGATTTCTCGAAATCAATTATATCTTGCAAATCAGTGGTTCGACGCCTTGAACAATCGGTTATGTTGCTCAGTGTATCTTCATCGTCTTTGTTTAGTGAACTATTGCTTCGAGTACTTGGTAAACCTTTGCGTGCTGATGCAATGCCAACGGCATGTGATTTATCCGTTGGATTCGCTTCATCTGGGAAATAGAATGTTTCGGCATCCTCTTCGCCTAGAGTATCTGTTAATGGAGTGCCGCCTGTGGAACAATGCGTTAATAAAATGATTCATTTTTAATGAATTGTCAAAAATCACTGCAGCCAAATTTAATTCTATGCAATAAATGTGCGAATGAACAAATTATGGTTCGAAAATGAAGAAAAACGGGAAACAATTTTCGTAATTATTTTTGCATATTCAATTGAAAATTAAACTTACGATTCGGTGTGTCACGAATGCAATCTTGCATGGCTTCTTCCATCAGCTGATTGACACGTTGCTGTTGATCTTCCGTTACTTCAGGAATATTTTGTGCGTTTACAGCAATCAAATCTTCATCCAGATCTTTTGATGAGCTCACCAACTGCATTAGAAATTTGAACAATTAATTCAAATCATACATTTGAAATGAAATTTCGACTTTTTATCTTTGCTAACTTCAGTTTGGCTTACCGAATCGACGTTTTCATCATCTTGTTCTTTGGTCGAAGCTAAATCACCTTCAGCAGCGATGTACGCAATCAAATTGCCCAGAGACTTACACGAATCGGAGCAAACGCGCAAATGAGTGCCATTCATTGCAGCTCGTGCATCGTACTTTGGTGCAAATTCCGTCACTTTTTCACTTTCACGCAACGAAATCTCCAACAGTGCAAACTCAAATACGCAAACCAATTCGGACGAAGGCAACGATGTGATTTTATTCTCATTTTTGAACTTAAATTCACCGGCCTGAGTTTGTGGTGCAATGCTCAGTGTTCCATCTTCGGCAACAAAACGAACAGTACATCCATTGTTGGTCGACGACAATGTTGTACTCATCATAAATGTGTTGATACCCAAAACTGCTCGATAGTCATAGAATCGCGGCCGATAATCAACCGAACAGTCCCACAAGTGTAAATGCATTTCCATGATATTTGTTAACGGTGTATAGCCTTGGATTGGATAATCCTTTAAAATATATGAAAATGATACGAATTAAATTATATGCTTCGTTAGTCTGGGAATGTTGCTATGGTGGTCAACTCACCTCAACATTGAACATATCCATGATTTGACGAAGCCAACTGTGTTCGGGAAGCGCACTATTGTACCGCAATGTTGCCAATTGTAACCCAGCTGACACTTTGATCCTCTGAAATTTCAGAAATTAAATTTAGATTTGCCAAAAAATGACAAAAATTCACCGCAATCTATTACCTTGACTTTTCTTTCTGGCACTGATTTCACCTGAACGGCAATCGAAATCATTTCACGATTGGTTGCCTTTTTGCCAACGGATTGATTGACAGTTAAATTTGGCGGTGTGGGATAAATGGTACTTTGAACATGACTTGGCAATACACATCCAAAGAGTCGCAGTGGTGGATTTGTCGATGGCACTGGAACTAAACCGATGTGATACATTTCAACGGCCGACGCCTGTACGCACATGTAATTCAAATTCTCATTTCCACGAAAACCGCTCACGGAAAACAGCGATCCACTTTGTAGCTTAATGACAAATTCACCCTGTTGCCCTGGAATCACCCGATTCGCTGAATCCTGTCGCAATAACATTTCGAATGAAATATGAATTGAAATTGTGGTTTTCTTTGCATTGAAGTGAACAGAATTGGAAAAAGAAAAATTGCTTACCCGAACTGGAGAATATGCAGTAAGTAATCCTTGGTTGATATTGAGACGGAGCGAGCATGCACTACTTTGCGTGACCGAAGCAAGCGGTGGTTTTGGTTGAACACGCTTGCTTTCATGGTATGTCGAATAGAAAATATTCTCGGAATCTGTATCAGAATCAGAATTGGTGGCCGAACTCGAATCTATTCAAAAGTTAATAAAAAAAAGTGTTGCATGAGAAATTCGATTGATTCCATCAAAATAAATGATTCAAAGTGGTGAGTAAACCAAGTTATGCATTACCATAAATGATATTGCTTTTTGCCATTGAAAACGGTATTGAAATCGATTCCGTCATATTGATGTTTAGCAATGGATTGTTTGCAGCAGCAACCTTGACCTGTGGTTTCGTTGTGATATTATTGGGTGCGCTTGGAACCCACAGAAGAAGGTTCGATATTATCCGATTATAGATTACTTCATACATATGCTTGGATCTAGGAAAATAGACGAAACAAAAATAAAATTCTGATCTTCTTCGGAGAAAAAAGCGCTGCATTCCAGCCGGCATACCTTAATTGAAGACTGACAATTGGCAAATTGACGATAATTTTCAGTTTGGACGTTGTTTCCGTTTCGTCGCAGAATTTGTTCATTTCGCTGATGTCACCTGGTATGAGGAGCTTTTCATCGTCGGCGATATTTTGTGATTTATTGCCATCGTCCGTGGTTTTTGCATGCGGTGTATCACTCTCTCGCCACACATGTTTCGAACTAAATGGCGTCGGTTCGTTTGAATTGGAAATGTGAAAACTAAAATCGGAATGATGACCGCCGTCGCTGCTGTCATCACTCGGTTGTTGTTTTTGAAGGTTTCGAGCAATCGCTTCCATTGTAGGTAGCTCAATAATAATTCTGGAATAAAAAAAAAAACAACAACATTGTTAGCGTGCATCGTTAAAAGCGATCATAAAATTGAGTGAACGATAAAAGATGTGTGATGATTACTTTGGGCTTTCGGATATTTGTTGTGCGTGTCTCTTTGTCGATTGTTCGTACGTGATAATATTTCCGATATGAATTTTTTGCTCGTCCTCATTTTCCTGCGCGAGATAAAAAAAGAGATAGAATCCATTCATTTGGAAAAGTTATTTTCGTTTTATATGGCTTTCATTTTTTCTGCATTTCAGCCTTGTACATACCGAGTAATAAACGTCAATTTTATTGGCTACAATTTCGTATTTGCTCAAACGGTAAAGTATTTTCGCTTGGCAAAAATTTATGCAGAGTGAATCACGTAAAACGTTACGTTTCCACCATGGCACTCGGTCTGGTGTATGAATGGGTCGAAGATCCGTGCATGGAAATCTACGGCCGAAAGGAAAATAAAAAATGAAATTAAAAAAGGTAATTTTTATTAGGGTATTCATTGCAAACGGAACTTTCCATCAATGCTTATCGATGTCATATTTTTTCACCACAATTTACCTTAATCGAATATCAATGGAAGAAGATTCAAGTGTCACCGAAAATGGATTGGCTGGAACATTTGGTTGGATAGACGATTCATTCATAAGATTATCATTGTTGACAGTTGTAAATGGGTTGCCATTGAACACCGGACTCAAACGATCAATTATGGATATATCAAATTCACATAAGCACGGTGCTAACATAAAACTGCAATAAAAACGTACACACATTAACCGAAATGATTTTGCAGACGATGTTTTTATTCTGACACTTACCTGAGTTCAGTTTTTGGTGCTTCATAGGTAAGACCGCATGAGCTGCCCAACATATTTGTGGTTTGTTTTAATAAAATATTGATTTCCGGCCGCTTTGCTAATGTTCCGCCAGACTAGATGGAAACAAAATGCGACACAGTTAAGGCATGTCATAGATGCGATACTTAGAGATATTTTTTCTTCAGAACAATAGGGGTGTATAGTCTAGAATATGATAAGTCATTATTTACCGAGTCTCGGTAGAATTCTAAAAGTGGAACGGATGTTGTGTCCTTCAGCATTTCCCTTAGGTCAGCACGTGGAATTGATATTGAAAGCCTCAACAGAATACCACTGTTATTCCTTTGCTCTTCACCCTCAATTAAGATTGGAGTTAGAATTAACCTAGTTTTTGCAATCAAATAACCAATAAGATTTGGATTCAAAATGCCATGTCCGAATAAGAAGATATTTAGAGAAGAATATTTAAAGCCAGTGGCTTAATTCAATTGTACCTAATATGATTTCGCTTGCAACTGGCATCCAGTACCGAAATTATCGACTTTAAATCCTTGGCCGAGTTCATATTTACATCTTCGATTGTATCAAAAAATGTTTCAGCTATCTGCAGTAATTTTCTCACGCTATTTTCATTCAATGGGCTATCTTCATTCATCGGACTCTCGACCAAAATATCCTGTAAAGTCAAAATTCAATTTTTAATCAAAGAAATTAGCAGAAGGCAAATTGTTGCATTTTGGTTCTTTTGGTTGCATTTACCATGCATTCCATGGCCTGATTGTGGACGAAGAATATTTCGATTATTAAAAAAATTTAGTAGCTGTACATTTCATGTAGTGCTGACAAGACGATTCGAACAGAAAAGATGAACAAATTGCGTCACATTTCAACGTTGCAAAATTTGACCAAGTGTCGGAACTCATCGAATCATTCCATTTTTTTCGCAGTTACTTAGTCGATTCGCAATGTTTGAATGTTTGTATCGAACATAAATTATCATGGAAATTATTCGGCTTGCGATTAGCAATTTTATAAACGTCGACAACGACGACAGCAACAACGTTAAATTGATTGTGTGTAATGAAATAGTGATTTGATCGTGGCGATTGTACATCAGTGTGTGTGTGTGTGTGTGTGTGTGTGTGTGTGTGTGTGTGTGTGTGTCGTGACTGAAAGCAATGTACCGTATCAGTTGGAACGGTTAATATTATTTCTTTCTTTAAATGCGATTCATTTTCCCCTTGCATTAAAGAAGGTGGGCATTCGAATACGATTTGAAGAAAAATCAATTTCCATCTCAACACATTTAATACTCTATCAGCGATAATTAATCGGCTTTATCTGAGACAGTCGTATATGTATAGACAGTAAGTATAGTCACCTCTTGCAATAACAAAATTGCGCATGATGCCACTCGAATGTTTGTCCGTAGGATTTCTGCATTTGGGTCGATTTCGATGACGCCTCTACGACGATTGCGAATGGTTGTTTGCGTATAACCACTGGCAAAACTGGTGATCGAATTTGACATTGAATTCGTCTCTCGAATCGTGTCAATGTCTAGCGGTGCATTGCTTTGATTTTGACTTTCACCTGCAAATCCAAACAAAATTGAAATGAAATGTTACGAAGGAGAAGCGGAAAACTTGAAGAGAATGTTAGGTAGAACGGATTAATCACCACCTAGTGGATCTGATGACCAGCATTGATTCAAGCCCAAGTTTCCGCTCATTGCATTGAATGTTTTATATTCGGATGCTTGATCATTATCGTTATCATTGACCAAATTTTGGGCGGTTTGTTTGTTTGTACTGTCGGTCAAAAATATATCGGCCAATTGGATCAATGCATGCAGTTGTCTCGGTGTTAGAAATATGTTCACAGCCCCCAGTTGTAATTCCAATTGCACTTTCGGACCTTGCATCGATAGCGCTTGCTAAAATGCCAACGAAGATGGATTAATCAAAAATTCGATCGCATCGTATGGACAGCACGTGATTTGGCCACTGAAAATTACCTTAACGGTTATTTTAATATCCGTTTTACCGCTGAAGCTGGCGATCTGTAAGGCCTCTGTTCGACTTATATCCGAAATATCACTAGCATTATCGTTATCGTTATCGTCATCACTACAGCTACTGACTTCATCGTTTGACGCATGTTGCTGTTGCTGTGGCTGTTGTTGTTGTGTACTACTTACTAGTTGAATATCCGGAAGTTCTGACATGGTGCTATAAAATTGCTCGGCAACTGGTGACGTTTCTATATGTTTATTGATCGGATCGTTGCATTTACCGTTGGAAATTCGAAATTCTTCCATGTAAAATGCGATATTTTCTATCACTAATTGATGTGTCGAGTAAACGGGTATCGAATACGATTTTGGTCCATCGCTATCAACGTCTGGCGCATTGGCTGGCTTATCCGGTGGATCGCCACCAGCCTCGTTCTTATATTCAAAACTAAAAACACATGCAAAGATTCGATTAGTTCAGATGTTGAATCAATATCAAAGTGAAATAAGATAAGCATACCTTTTGATCTTGCATACTACGGTTATGCCTCGCTCTTTTTCACTAGTGAAATATTCCAAACGGATTTCCGTATCAATTAAACGTACTTTGATCCTATTCAGAACTGTATGAATAAAGAAATGTAATTTTAAATTAATTAATCGTTAGAATGTTGAATGCGAAATGAGTGAAACCGGGAAATAATAATGCTATTAACCATTATCTATTATTTGTGCGAAACGTTCCAGGCCTTCCATCGGTTGATTGGGTGGATTTGGGCCGCTTTCGTGTTCCAGACAATCTTTTGCCAGCTGCATGGAACTGCTCATCGATGACCACATCGACTCGATCATGGATGCACCGTCTTTTGGACGACATTTTGGCCGAAGTTCAAAGTACAATTGCGTAATTTCGACAAAACTGTCCTCCGACATTAAGGCATTCCATGGTATATTCACATCAATTTTACCAATGTGACCGGCTTTAACTTCGATATCCCATCCTTGATTCTCGCATAATTCATTTAGCGCCTACCACCCGCCAGAAAAAAAAAGACGATAATAAGATAGAAAAAACAAAATACGTACAATTAATTCGTGTGGTAATTACGCGAGACTAACTGACTACGTGTGTCATAAAATAGTTCGAGACTTGAATACAATGAAATTATATCAATTTTTTTTCGTTCAAATGGAGGTAAAATCGGGCTTCTTTTGTATGCAAAACGTCGAAAGCGTTTTTTTTTTAAATATATTTTTAGACGGGATTAAAATATATATATCGTGCAGCAGGGAGAATATCGTCGCAATTGCAGAAGAAACGGGTAAATGTGCGCGCGCGCCTCAAAATGACAGAAAATGGTAAATTTGTGTTCCATTTTTACTTGCAAAATCACGACAACGTCATCTCTAGAACGGCTGATTGCATTACAAAATTTACGTCTTTGAGAATCGGTTTCTTTTTCGGTTCACTCAGTCATCGTTCCATATAAACAAAATATTTATTGTTTCTTTTTTTTTCGCCTAGTTCGTACATTTTACATCGTGCTCCACACAGCGCGTTTAGAAGAAATCTCCCGTGGAATCTTGTTATTACATTGAGGCACAGACTTAGGCGTGCATACACAAAGCGAAATCATGAAGAATCAGAAGAAATAGGAAATCCAAAAAACATATGGCAAAACATAAACAAATACATATGTTGGCGTTTCATAGTGTTTGTACAATCACAATGTCAAAACATGCACGCGCGCACACACAATGGCACACGGAAGAATACGAAAACATCATGATTTCAGTTGAGACTGACTGAGTGTGTTGTGCTATCACGGTCATGTGCTCAAATACGCATTTACAGAATACTACGGATTTTTGATGTGTGAAATAACGTAAAAGCGTTGCTAAAACGACAGTATGAAGAGAAAAAAAAATGAAGACTAACTGACTGACTTCGACTCTGGCGATGACGATGTAGTACGACAACGACGAAGAAGAGACGTTTGTAGGAAAAATAGAAAAATGTCCGTTTTGAATGATAATTTTTTTTTTGCATTTATTCGATTCAGATAAATGGCGTTGGAATAGAATGAAATTAGAAGGAAGAAGCAGACAGCAAAAACAAAGCTGACAACGAAAGAAAGAGATTGAACACATAGGCAACGGAACAAACAAAAACAATTTAATTTTACGTTATTGTTGTTGTTTTTTGTAAATTTGTATACACACTTGAGCACGAACTAAACGGATTGATTAATCGAACACATAGGCATAAGCCACACAAACACACAGAACGCAATTAGCTTTTCGAAAAAATCTTGTCTGTTGTTATTGCAACTGTCTCATAGTATTTATATTTGCGATGAAACGTCTTTTTGCGTATTAAATAAATTTTTGAATGCCTTTGACTCTTGCTCATAATAGTTCGACAATTGTTTGCTACCGATTTGACTTGTCATTGAACCGATTTTGAATATATTTGCCTGTAAAATGGCTTTTATTTTGTTGCTACTGCTGCTCGTCGTCGCTACAGACACAATTCGAACATGCTCGATTGATTGGACTTTTTACAAAATCTCATTGCACGACTCGTTCTCTCTCTACATGACGAAAAATGACGAATGCTTTTCGACGTCAGATGAACGGATACCAAATATATGTGAGTCGAGAGTGAGCTCGAGACACACGGAGAGAGAGAGAGAGACACTCGCCCGATGAGAGATGTACATACCTCTGGATCCAGCACAATATCCGATATGGTTCCCTTTCCATTATAAAAATCCACATTCAACTGGTCCAAGCTGATTTTCTCGTGGATAAACGATCCAAGATAACGATGCAATAGATATCTGCATACTTTCTTTTTGACTAAGTCCGTGAATGGTGCAAACCAAAACGTCATCGTTGGTTTGTTATTTGGAAATGGTTATTTTGTTGAATAGTTATTGTTATTTCGTTTTCCCTTTATCTCTATGTCTCCCCGTTTGTTTTTGTTTCGTGTTACGCGCGGTGTACTGATTCTTTGTAAAAAAAATTATTTCTATCGGATTACTGACGTAATGTGCGAAACAGATTTTGACATAAAAATTCATAGAAAAATATTTTTGCAATTTGTTTTGTTTTCTTTTGTTTTTCTTTTATTTGCAACGATGTATGTGTTTGTGTGTGTGTATGGAAAACCGAAGATCGAAAAGGATGACTTCTTTTCGATGTGTTTATTGAAATTTCGTTTTTATTTTCTAAAAAAAAAAATTTAATCACTAGAACTTGGATGCATATTTTGGTGTACGGAGTCGGTGTTGCTTGTCGGTCGTTTGCAATATTTACGATTTCGTGCTTTGTTCATCACCGAACAAAGATCACTCGTGTTTTGCTTCTTCGTCACAAAACTTTAATTTATGTGTGTTTTTTTACTGTTTGCCTCATGTTCTCTGCGTGTTTCAACCAAAGTCTAACGAAATTTACAACACACAATTGCTTTGTTTCAATGCGACTAACGAAAACTGCATTTAGACACCAATCACAATAAAAACAAAAATAAATATAAAATTTTTTTCCTCTTCTTTCTGTCCTATCAAAAAAAAAATACTCCGAAGTATGGTTTGGTATGAATTTCTTTGTTGTGTTTATTTACGACACTACACACGACTGTGAGGTAAATGGCAAAATAACATACACACATTGTGTTCAAGTGGAGACACCAAACAGCGTCAAGTCGAATTACTGATACTGTCAAATACACAGTATACACAGTTCACCTTCGTTAGCAATAATAACACTTCCCCATTTCATAACCTTTTTCGTCTCTCTGTTTCTCTCGCTCTCGCTCGTTCAAACTTTGGCAGTTGCACACTCACAATTTTTGATAATTTTTTTAAATTGAAATTCAGATATGAATGGGGTAAATTATAACGAAAAGACACTTTTTTTATTTTGAAGAATCAGTTGATTTGTTTTTTATTAGTATGGTTTATGATATCTACAAAGGAAAATTCAAAACAGAACATAACAAAGAAAATGATCGGTATAATATATACTGTTCACATTCTTAGTATTTGTCGGGATCGATGGATTTCGCTTCTGGATATTTTTCGGTTAAGAAACTTCTGAGTTCGCCGTATCTGGTGCGAAGGTAAAAACGAATGTCGGGCCATGCTCGCATGCATTCAGTACGTTTGAGATGAGTTTGATAGGTTGGTGTTTTTGCCCATGGATTTTCTCTTGGTGGTCGTTTCAATACGACCTTTCCATTGAATATATGCTGTTTGAAGTCACGATTTTCTTCCTTTGGAATTTCGTCATCCGTTCGACACACCGATGGTATGCCAACGATTTGCGGGAAAAATGCCCGCTTTTCATCAAACTCAACCAAAAATAGTTTCTTTTCTTCCGCCAATTGATTGTATGATTTTTGTTGTAATAATCCTACTAAAAATGCCTTTACTACACTCTGTGGATTGGTTGAGCCTTCGATTTTCGTGCGCAAATCCTTGATACCAATCAGCTGGCATAATGTTTTGATGACACGATGTGTTTGCAAACCGTAACCTTCGGGCATTTTGTATACATAGATTTTGGTGTAGCCGAACTGTGTAAAGAAATCGTGATAAACGGTACGACCATCGCAAATTTCGAAATGCATTAATTTTTGTGCGGCACCATTTTTGGCTTTTCGTATGGCGGCTCTTGGATCGGACGATTTTCCCAATGCAAAACCGCAAACACCTTGCCCATTGCCTGTTACAATGAACGACGAATGACGACGACATCGGCCCAAATTACCGCGCATCACATTCACAATTTTCATTTCGATACACCGTGCATCGAAACCATCGAATGTAAACTGTCCAATGGGATCGGGTGCACCAACACTTCGGCCAGCCAATCGTGTTCCCGAATATCCACGCTCCATATGACTCAATTTGATACGTTTCCGTGTTCGATTCATGTCACGAAGATTGTACAATTTCTCACTCCTGCAATGATCCAAAACATTATTTAATTATTGTCATTTTCTGAAAGCAATCGAATATATCATGCAAAAACACACCAGCTTGGATCATCCACACCTCGTTCGGATTTAACAATTTCACTGCCTATTTTAACGGGTGAATTCATTCCAGGCAAAACCAATCGCCGTCTACCCTGGCCAATGATTTGACCCTGGTTAAGATCTTTGGTGAGACCTTTGCCGGCAAGCTTGCCACGACCTCGCTTTTTACCAGCATTACTGACCGACGTACAACCCTTCCACAAAGCAGCACCACTAACTGCAAAATAAAAACAAACGAACAAATTTAAGTGGAAAGCTCCACAAAGAAAATGAAGGTTATGTTATCCACCCATCATTACTTTTGTTCAAGAAGCTCACTGTTCGAACGGAATCGGCGATTGCCGTTTGGATTTTTAGCAAATTACTGATTGTGTATTCCGGCCGAATGAATTGTTTGGCCTGTCCATTGGAAATGGCGTAATTTTTCCAATTTCGTGCCGCAGCACATAGTAGTCTCAACGCCATTCCGATAAATGTGTAAAACTACATAACATTAGAACAGTTGTTTCACTGTCAACCAATCCGTTTCATTTCACATGTCAAGACACCGAATGTCCCTATTGACAAAAATAAACGCAAGTGCGTAGCCCGAATTTTCGGACGAAATTCGGGCAAAGTTTAAAGGCTGATTTAGATGCTTGATTTGCTTTCCAACGAAACAAATAAACAATCTACTGGAATATTCTTGAAAATTCATTGAATTCAATCAATTTTCCACATTCAACACCCACAGTACGATCATTGAAATAAAATGCATATCAATTCGAAGAAAGTCTTGACTTAGATAACTAAGTAGTGATAACTCTTATAGATTTCAATTTATTCTGAGCTCCTTTCTTTAGCAGAGTTTTTAAATAGAAATTGAACCCATCCATTGTCCATGTTAAAATAATACGAACATAACTGTGTCTTTCTCGTAATCTGAATGGGAATTTTGCAAGATTTACTTAAGTCTAAAAATAATTCGGTGTAAAATGTATAAAGTTTTGGAACAAAAAGCTACTTCCACTTGCGTTGTAACGCCGAACTCTATTTATTGCAAGATTTTATCATAAAATCCTGCAATAATCGATTGTTTTAATGTCTTTCATAAAACATGAATGAATCGTCAAATGATGCAATTTCAATTACCATCTGACCCTGATCAGACAATGAAGAAATTGATTATTTTTTTCTTTCCATCCCCATCATTAAAAGAGTTAATGGAGTTTACAAAACTTATTGCAATAATTCGCTACTAAGATCAATTGTCCGAAATAAAAAAAGATTTCATTAGCATGTCGATTGGTTGCTAAGCGGAACCCAACCAATGAATTCAGTGCGAGACGCGGGCTCAATAAATAAGCTTTTAATTCCGAGTTCAAAACGATTGTCCTATTTGTGAGATAGGTATGTATATGCGTTGCGTTTCCTATATTATGGAATAATTGAGAGAAAATTGGAGCAAAAATGAGTGTGATTCAGCGAGTAGAGGTAAGGTCATGCAGCAGCAGCAGCAGCAGCAGTAGTAGCAAAAGCGGTACAATTGAAATGGTTTTTACGACGTAAATGCGTATTAAATACGTTACCATCATCGTTTCGCAGAACCTGCGTACATACTATATGTACACGCATTCACTCACGCACACACGCATTGTACGCACTCTCAAACTGCATAATCTGTAATGAGTGGTTATTTTCATGCTTAGAGATAATGCATGGTGACTGTTACAGAATTATAGAACAATGCATGAGGTGAATGGCGTAATTAACATTGTATTATCGTCGGTTTATTTATGTCGGATATTTTTATGCGTTTTCTGTACGTGCATCAAGTACGTACTATGATATGTGTGTGTGTGTGTGTGTGTGTGTGTGAATGAAATGATGGCAGTGAAAGTGAAATATTCTCTCAACAAAAGAAGTCCTTGCGTGCTGGATTTATTTTTCTCTTCTTTTTCCTGAAAAATAAAAACAAAAAGGCGATAGAAAGAGAGGCCCGTTCGAAAGCTTGGCATCTTGTTGACAATGATGTGTGTTTGTGTCGCGATTGCAATAGGTCGTCGATTAAGAAGCATAAATAAAATTTCGCCAAACAAGAAGATGACGAAGAAGAAGCAGAAATGTGTTGCCTGTAATTGATGTGTCCAAAAAGACCGAATCTGCTATGAATATCCCATTATCACCTCAATCTCACTTTGGCACTGAAGAAAACAACCGACAAGAAAAGAGACAAAGGACGAAATCTGTCTAAAATTCATGATAATCTATTAAAAGAGATAAACATCACACTGGGACAGAGAGAAAGTAGTAGCGATAAAAGGACGAAACGAAAATGAATCGAGAAAATTGTCAAAGAATGGATAATGACATAATAATCGGTTAAAAACAACATCGTCGTCTTCTTTTCTGTTTTTTTTTTCATTCACATTGTGTGCATTCTTCCTCCTCAATCTTTCTCTCTGCCTTTTGCCGAGTGACTGACATTGTTTGGCTTCAATCGTATTCAGTGAACCCAGCATAAGTGCATTATGTTGTTTGAATTCGATTTAAATGTAATTATTCTTGAACATTTCAATGGCAACTATTTTGCAATGAGCTCCTCTCTCGCTCTCTCTCTCTCTCTCTCTCTCTCTCTCTCTCTCTTTCTCTCACACAAACATTGGCCGGTTACAATCCGAAGATTGTTTTTTCTCTCTACATTGTGTGTTGATGTAACTTTTATCGAAGGTTACATCAAACTATCGTCGATTCATATCAGAAATTGCACGATTGGAATTGCTTTGCAAAACAAAAATGAATATATATATGCACAAACAATAATCCACCAAATTTACGTCCGAATTTTCAGTTGGCCGATTTTTATTGCGGCTATTGTACGACAAATTATTTCAAATGATTGTGTTTACCCCACAAATTAATTATTTATAGACTTTTATTAGATGCCTGGAACATCTTGAAGGATTACATAATAAATGATTCAAAAGGGTCGTACCGCGCGCTGTTGTGTGTGTGTGTGTGTGTGTGGTTGAGCACTAGTTGATGTGATAACATATCCGCATAATCTCTGACATGCAATAAATAAACATGGAAGTGTTTATGCCTGTGGCAAACGATCTTACACTCATCGCTCTAACCCGTTGAAAAGTGTATGCTTTATAAATTCATAACGTCCATTTAGCCATTCATCATTCGACTGACATCATTCTATATATTATCTCTCTCTCTCTCTCTCTCTCTCTCTCTCTCTCTCTCTCTCTCTCGTCTCGCATGAGACGACGCACCGATGATGATGATGATGATGCCCTTGCAATTCGTTTTGCTTTTGCTTAATTCATATATCCTTAACACACAAGATCAATGCTTGAAACACATTGTTGTCTAAACAGCTTGCAAACGGTTTTGGCGAACAGCAGCAGCTCGCTTTATTGCTCGGCAATTCGACACTCTAATTATGAATTGCACAGTAATTTGATTAATTTACGATTATTATTGGCATTCAGATCAAAAATCACTTTCGGTATTCGACTGTGTACCAATTTGTATTCATTTTTAATTCAATTGTAATGAATCTGTTCTTAATTGACAAACGATTTTAATATTGTTTAATAATCAAAATGTGTACGCGTTTCTCTCTCTCTCTCTCTCTCTCTCTCTCTCTCTCTCTCTCTCTCTCTCTCTCTCTCTCTCTCTAGACTTCTTTTGAAAATCAATTTTGAACAAATTATCCATGTACAACTTAAATATACGGCGAGGGTAGAACAGTTAACATTTTTTGCATTCTACAATGTTGCATGCATTTTCCACCGAGTTCTCTCAAGGGTTTCAAATCATTTTGGCTTTAATTAAAACTTAGTTTGAGGTATTTCAATTTTCTCAACAAAATTTAAAAAAAAAACGGAATAAATACGTTGGAGAAATTATATCATTACTATTTGAGAAGCAAAAATATTTAATTTGATCTTTTTAAAATTAGAACAAAAAAACCATGTTTATAAACTAGAGAAATTCTTGAGTCAAATGTGTCGCATGATGTTGAGTTGTTGAGCCAGTATGCCGTTGTATTGTAGTCTTTTGACGTTTGGCAATTTGCAGAAAAATCTTCAACTTCGATGGCGCAGTGAGACAACTTTGAATTGAGGAATTCAATTGATGTTGGAATTGTAAATAAAGTCAAAAACAAAACTATGAATTGATTTTCTTGGGCACCGACGAAGTTATTCTCTTTCAAACATTTTGGCATTCTGACATTGAAATCCTTGTGCATGCACTATTTTATGTAAACGAACGTGTATATGCGCTCTTTTGGCAACTCTCTCTCTCTCTCCCTCTCTCTCTCTCTCTCTCTCTCTCTCTCTCTCTCTCTCTCTCTCTCGGTGTGTATGCGTTTTTGTTTTCGTGTATTATTTTTCGGCAAAATTTGTACGCTGGACCAATATGAAAATCCACTGCGCAAAACTACCGAGTTGCAACTAGCAAAACTACTAAAATGTTATCTCGCCTCCAATTTCAAAGTATTGAAACGTAGTATAGTATGTTGTCAAGAGGTCTTATGCGACCACTTAAAACTCTTTGACCGCATTCGAGCATTCTCAAGTGACACCTATTGGACGCACAAATAGAATATATGTAGCTCTCGGTCGATTTTTATTTCTCTCTCTTTCATTTCTCAAAACCGCATCACCAAGTGCTCATTTATATCACACGTGAAATATACGTTGTACGGCCATAAGACATTGTGCATGTAATGAGTCAATGAATCTCGGCTCTTTTTGAGCCGACGCACGAAATGGAACGAGAGAGAGAGAAATGTTGTTTGGCAAAATATTTCGTTCGTGATTAAATATCGGTTGAAAAATTCATAATGAGCCATTTTCACACACGCACACATACTCAAAAATGGAATAAAATTCCATTCGACCAATTCATTGCGTTCATATTCCTCATTAATTGTCTCAAAAATTAGTTATGCGGCACTTGGATCGACGGTGCGTATCGGTTTTTCTGCGGTTTTGTTGATGTCATTCGGTTCTATATAGAATTTATTTTATAATGAACATGATGCTCATGGTGCTGCACTAAAAAGTCGGCACTCATTGCGAATCGCCGGATTTATTGCTTTAGTTTTTATTGATTTTGGATGCCACTCTATTTTTGTTTCGTGTTTAATCTGTAACGCGGAAATAAAAACGACTAATTTTTATTTTCGTTGTTGTTGGTCGGCTCTGCTCCATTCACACCTGTGCATCTATCGACTGAAATTAATAATCACTGATAATGATTTTTGATACATATTTGGTAAACTACGGTTGTTAATAGTTGTTCTGCACAACATTGTAAACAAAATGAAATCAAATAAATTGTCTCACATTTAATTTTTTTTTCTGGTCTCACTCTATTCTCGCGAAACGGGGAAAATTCATTCAACATTCAACGAATGAGTCGGAGTCGAGTACAAAGTGCGAAAAGTTTTCTGTTACATATGTATCGATTGAATAAAATCGAAACTATAGTACAAATTCAATTTATTGATGTTGAAGTAATCAAAATATTGATATTATCCTCAATTTGCTGATAATCATTGAATGCGATAGAAAAAAAGACACGCCGCGCGACTGGTGCCATCGCATGGTAATCGGTAAGTATAAAATGAAATTCCCTCTGAAAATAACAGCAACAAAAAAATTCATATTGAGGCAAAAGGACAAATGGAAAGGAATTTAAAATAAAATCGTAATCGTATTGAAGCGGTGGGAATCGTTTTCATATTGAAAATAGATGAAATGCTCCCATTGAAAAATGGGATGTTATGTAGCGAAAAAGTAAATAAATAAAACCCAATGCAACAAAGGATGAGAATCGTGAATAATAAAAAAAAATGTTGCAATTCAAAGTGATCGATTTTTGTGATTATATACATGAAATGTGGATGGAAATGATCATGTCATGAATAGAAAAACTCTCTCTCTCTCTCTCTCTCTCTCTCTCTCTCCTTCACTCTCGCCACCGAAACTTTGTGTCTTTACCGAAGCGCATTCAGAATATCCGATTGTTATGAAACGTCGAGTGAAAAAAATTGTGTTTGTTTTTTTCGCTTGTAGAATCTCCCAACATCATGCTGCACACAACATACATATGGCATCGAAATCGTGTTGATTGAGCCGGAATCAGACTACCAAGTACGAGCAAAAACGACGACGATGTCGACAACGACAACAACAAAAAAAAGTCCACAACAACTAAATACCTGCATTGAATTTTCAAAAAAAAAACCAGCAACAGCAGCAGCAGCAGTAGCAAGCAGAAAAAAGTCTGTCTTACAATTAGGATAGCATTCCAGTATGTGTCCACAATACATCAAAATCGTAAATAAACAGAAAAAGGAATGGAACAAAAAAAAATTCGCTAGTGTCGTGTACGGCTGATCTCAGATTGTAAGAAAATCAGTTATAGAAAAGGCACATACAAAACAAAACGAATCAAAAATACAACAGCAACACAGCAACAACGGAAAAAGAAGAATCAGAGAATGCCAGAGCCACCAATAGTAGGAGCAACAAAAACAATAATCAAAAAATAAAATTGTGCACGTAAAATCGTTCGGGTATCGAAATACATAATAAAAAACCAATCCACCACTTTGCTTTTGAATGTTTGCTTCTGGTTGGATAGTATAATCGTATGCTCCGCCCATCGTCTATGTAAGTGTACTTATAATCCAATCAGTCTCGCATTCAAAACGCCAATATAGTTTCAAAAGAAAAAAGCGTTTCCCCGAACCCCGGTTCACATTTGTTGTTGCAGCACAGCGCGCACACACACACACACACGGAGAGAGAGAGAGAGAGAGAGAGCCGCATGGCACGGAGTATGCCTGGTCTTGATGCTCGATATGCTTTGAGACCTTGTTGGGTTTTTTTCCCTCTTTGCCATAATAGTAGATGTTGTTGGTAATGCTGCTGCTGCTGATGCCGTTGCCGTTGCCGTTGCTGCTTCTATTGTTGTTATTTCGCTTTCTCCCGTTTTGTATTGGTACAAAGATAGAGTGATGCCGTCGATGCCGTGCATGCGGTGTGATCTCTTTTCGGCAGTACGAAATGGTGGCATAGCTAAAAAGGTTGTGGCCGACGAAGGGTGTGTACGCCTTTCGAAGCAACATTTCACACAAAGTTACATGTGATTGCAGGCGAATCTCTCTCTCTTTTTTCTCTCCATCGTGTGATTTGTGTGTTGTTGTCGTTGTGTTTTTTTTTCTTCTTGCTGTTCGTCGTAGCACAGCTCACACGGCTGTGCCTGAAACAGAACGAACGCACTCACTCTCACACATACAGTTGGTTGCGCGCTGCTCTATGCTCTCACTCGTTGTGTGTTTGTTTGTGTGTGGAAGCGTTGAGAGCGAGAGAAAAACGGTCCCCGGTGCCTTTGTCGATGTGTGTTTATAAAATCGGCATGTGCATGTGTTGGGCCCGATATTGTGTGCGAATACGTTCGCACGTATGTGAATATTACATATTCAAAAACGGTAAGGGTAGGTTATACAAGTCTGGAGGACTATCAGAAATCATTTGAGAAGCACTCGGTAGTTTGTTGTACAGTGTCATAGAACCTCTTATTTCATTTTATGAATTCGTGTCGAGTGGTTATCGTGGCCAAAAAGGTGTTGAATTTTATTATTATTAATTTGTTCTATCACTGGAACAGTGTGTACCATTTATTTACTTTTTAAACATTTTTTCCGCTCATCAAAAATTGTATCATTTTATTGATATAATAATAATTAAAAAAAAAACACTAAAGCAAGCAAAAAAAGAAATAAATCACCAACGGAAGTTTATCAAAAGAAATCCTGAAGACAAACTGGACTGCGAACAATTTGTAAGCACACAAATGGCCAAAAACCTGAACAAAACTCTGGCGATCGCATCGAATCAAATTTATATGTAAACACACACTCAAAAACAAGCAAACGAATTCTTATTTTCGAAATACCATTCACGTGATACACAACAAACGACAGAAAATAAATCAGCATTTTGATTTGTAATTCATAAATGTGACCTGAACAAAATTAATTTTTGTGATTTTTGTGCACGGCTTGGAATAATGGCTGGATGAAATAAACCGCGCGAAAAAAAAAATAGATAGAGAGAAAGCGAAAAAAAAGATCAAGACATTGAATAAAGTTACGGCCACAAATGATGCCATTGGTGTATTAATCCGTTAAGTGTGCGTGTATAAACTTTTAAATATTAATTTCAGTTCAATGTTCTGTGTACGAATATTTCACGGGTTTCGTTTCTGAAAAACAAGAACTGTTGCAATCCGTAACAAGCAAATATACTCGCATATTATTCCATTTTCGAAAATCGAAATGATTTGAATTGTAAGCGTGCACAAACTAAAATCAAAAAAATAAGTGTAAAATATCAGCAATTTATGCAATAAACCTTACGCAATCCTACAAAATACTTTGATCCAAGAAGCGTTTTTACCGTTTCTTTTTTTGTTTTATTTGGTGCGATAGTATTTTTTTGATCGCATCGATTTGAAGACAAACGAAATGCTAATGATCGACCATCAGTGTGATTGTTTATGATCAGAAATTGACTCATATATTTAAAAAAAAAAAACAGCCAAAAAAAAATAAGATAGAAAAGAAAAACTGTATGCAAAAGAAGAGGAAGAACTCATTCAAGAATAACAAGAAACTTATTAGCGATTGAATTGCTATCGACACAACACCACGCTGAACGCTTTTTACATAGAAAGAAACGCATGTCAACTATACTGGCAATCAATTCTGGAACCTTTACGGAGGATCCTCAGGAGCACAATCTTCTTCAAGATTTAAATGGCGTTGATTTCGTTATGAGCTTATCGCCAAAATCGTCGAACAGTCATAATTTAGCTAGTTTACAACACTTACAAAGTCTACATCACCAAAACGCATTGCATAACCATTCGACGCCATTCAGCGTTACCGACATACTCAGTCCAATCGAAGAATCGTACCGTAAATTGGAATTAAGTAGCACGAATCCGCCGTCGCCTTACAGGTTCGTTCATTTTGAGTAAGTTTTCATTGTTCCGACGATATAGTGAGCAACACAATGGTTTTTTTTTCGTTTTTATTTGTCAAACAAAAAAAAATTGCGATCAATTTGAAATTTGGACTAGCAACGACGCCGTACACAATGGAACAGCCGTGTTGATTGAGATTGCTAAACGAATGATCCTTCAAAAGATGGTTTTTTTAATTTCAAACAAAAAAGAATGATTTTTGCAAACATATTTGAAATGCGAGCGAATTGCACAAATCCAATGTTTGCTTAAATCATCGAACACGATGTTGATCTCAATCGAAAAGCTTCTTTTGTGATCAGACCCTCATTTCAAATTGATCCAACTAAAAGTCTTATACTAAGCTGTTATCGAATACTTGAACTAATTTGGATGTTTTCTCATTTTTTTTTTTAACAAAATTCACCTTGGACGGAATGGTACGGGAATGCCGTGCAGATCAAATTCAAGTGGTAGTAGTGTAAATTCGCCAAGTGCTTTAGGAAACAGTTCCAGTATGGCAAATCCATATGCAATGACTCCACTTTATCACAGTCCAGGTGTTCAAAGCTACTGTGGACCATCTGATAACTTATCCCTAGCCGGTCATTACACAGATATGCGCAGTTCGGCTGGATGGTATGGATCGACAGCAAACGATCCACGATTTGCAAGTGAGTACTTCATTTATTTTTACGCATTTATTTTTGGATCTCTCCAAAAAAATGCTGTACGTAGGCCGAGAAAAGAACAAACACGAAAATCGGAATCGAAATTGACCAAACAACCGTCGGAGCCGTTTGTTTCGGTATTCATTTATTCACATCTAGCAAATGCCTATATCAAATTGGGTGTGTGTGTGTAATATGTTAAAGCATAACAGACGGAGAGCAATTTTGATGTGTGTTAAGTTTCCAAATAAGTAATTGATAAGGGGAATTTCACGCGCAAGTGATGCGTTGAAATAATATTATGTTTACGCATTTTCGATTCTATTCAGTTTACGGTTTATTCAATTCAATTCAATTCAATTGAGTTGTGTTAGCACAAACGTGGAAAATCGAATTTATTATATCCGAGTGGCAGCTCTATCATCCATTGTGTATAGATATCCTGTTCGAAATCTAAGATTTCTGGTGCTGTTGCTTCGCTCTCTCGTTCGCTTTTTTTTCGCTCTCTTCACTGTTTTGTGTTGTGTGTGCTGTGCACGTTTTCACATCGAATGCGTATTTAATGTTATGTCGTCAGCAAAAGGCGAAACGCTTGATTTTATCGGGCAAAAAGAAGAGAATGATAGATCGGCGCTTTTGGTTTTCAAGAGATATGTTTCGTCCAAAATGCGCCGGAATACACACACATAGTATACGCCACACATATTTTGATTCGCTTTGAATGTGGGATGTTGTGATGGAGAGATAGAGTGAAAATGAGGGTTGTAGATCGTTTGTTGTACTTGCCACCACATACACAATCATCACTATCAGCACAGCGCTAAGCGATGTGTGCCTTTCAGTACAGTTGTTGGCTGAAAATGATTGCTTTGCCGGTTGGTTGTGTTCACTTGGGCAATTGATTTAAATACATTTCAAATAACCGTCACATAATCAAGGCACAACATCGAGCGACAAAGGGGTGTGCAATGATGTTTTTCCGATGATTTTGTTTTTTGCATTCATGCTCGATGATTGGCCGGATAAACAGCAATAAAATGGATAATAAATTTCCCAAAGTGGACACATTTTCGAAGTAATTGAATTTTGCCGCTAGTATACATTGTTTGAATGCATTCAAAACACGGAAAATTAAGTCATAGCACATAAGAATAGATATAAGTTGAGATGTGGTGGTGTGTATCGACTCAAGTTCATCGGGTGAGGTGGGATTGCGATAAAATATTTAAAACATTGTTTTCTGTTTCAACGCGTTCGATTAAAAGTGGTTGCCATTTGGTTGTAATTCGGAAGAGGGTCGCCGTGGTTCATCATAATTATCACAAACCATCTTCAAATTTTATTGCGTTATTTTGACAACTAGTCAAACTGATGGAATCAAATGAAAACATTTGTACTCCTCTCATGGTTGCTATCTATAAATTTAATTAATAAAGCTGATTGCAAGCAAAACCATAGTACTCGCTGTACTTTTGAAGCTCAGTACAGTTAAAATGGTAGCAATGTTGATGTGAGACAAAATAATAACAATGTTTTTTTTTTTGTTTTTTTTTGAATATCTTTCGTCTTGCGTTCGTTGAAATCAAACTTCGGTTTTATCCCATTAAGTGTTCGCTTTACTTCAAGTGCTTCTTGTCCATATTATTCTCATTACACAAAAATGCTAATTTCTTTTTCGTAGTTTTTCGTTTTTGTCTACAACGAAACAAAAACGTTTATTTTGTGTTACCGTAATTAAAGTGGGTGAAATGAAAAGTACGAATTTGTATAATGGAAAGTAAATATTAATTACAAATGAGATTCTCATGGCTGCGCAGTAGAAGCGAAATAAACAAAAACGATGAAATTTTTTTTTTGAGAGAATTTACTAAATAAAAGGCCCAATACATGTAGAGAGAACGGCCAGGCGAGCAGAGCGCAACAGAGAAGCAGAAAAAAATGCATGAATGATGCAAAAATAACAAGAAAATAAAATGTCGACGTTGTTTAAACAACAAAATGACAGACAGAATGAACAGTTTATGTGCAGTGAGCACAGAGAATAAGGACAGCGCGCCTATCGTATGTATCACATATATAATTCAAATAGAAGCATATTTGTACTAGGAAGATATTTGGTGGAAGGCAAACTGAAATATATACACACGAAAACAACGACAAGAAGATAGAGAGCTAAAGAACTAGAAAGAGAGAGAGAGAGAGAGAGCAAGAGCAAGAGAAAAATATGAAGTTTCAATGTTTAACTGACGGGAGCGAATCGCCTTGAATTCCGCACACACACGGGCAGAGGCATGATAAGTGTTTAGTAAGTAAATAAATACCATTAGGCTTTTCTGTTATATTTTTTAAGTAGGTAAATAAATGCTGCAAGGCGTCGTCGTCGTCGTCGTTGTTGTCGTTCTTCGTACATTTTAGTTGAATTCACTTGTACATGCCCGAACCAACTTTTTTGCATTCAAAAATCATACAAAATGAATATCGTCTACTATTTGCGAAATAAAAAAAAAACAACAACAGCACAATTTTTTTAATGAACGCATTGAAATTTGTACAGCGAATGCATTTCAAAATTGATTTTCAAGACATGGCGTGCAATCAAACAAAGGCATCTTCTGCGTTGATTTAAAGCGGAAGCAAAATTTTTTTTGCCGAAATTGTTTCGCGGATACAACCAAAGCTATGTGACCGTAATTAATGAAACCATGAACAATCAAATATTTTAACTTGAGCCACCGAGGTGAAAGTTCACAGCTTCCTTATAACTCGAACAAAATGTCAGGGTTTTAATTCCTTTGCTAGAGGAATTCTGCAAAAGAAATGAAGACACAAAACAACCACATGACACACGCCGCATGCCACAAACATGCTTGCGGATTTTCCTTTCAAAATCAAAAGAAAAAAGATCGTTCGTCGGTAGGCCAAAAACTGAATACTTAAAACACTTCAATTGCCTTGAGAAAGTGTTGTAATTTGATACGATTTATTCTTTCTGTCTCTGTCTCTATCACTCTGAATAGTTCGGCATCAATGTTATAAGTTTGTTCTAATATCTCGGCAACTTTCGAGTACTTTCAATTGATTGTATTGGATTTGAAGCGCGCTAAAAACGATTTTCAGGCCGAGAAAACAGAAAAAGAAGAACTGGCACATGTCTCGAAATCAAAGACACATTGTCTTATCGATGTGCGCTATCATTTTCATAACACACAACAAAAACGGCCAACAAAATGCACACAAAAACACACGCACACACACACATCAAGCATTCCGAAAGATATTTGAATAGCCGAGGCAAAACATATCCGGTTACAGATTTGGATCATTCAATAGTTTACTTTTTACCGTATTTAGTAGCCCAATAATTTGAACAAAACGGATAAAGAAAAAAAGCGCCTCATTCTTCTTTGCTTTTCATCGGGCGGAATTACATTTCGAGACACTTGTGCGTGTCATTGTGTGTGATGCTTAGTGTAAATATTGGCCTGATTTTCTTGGTGTATTTCATTTTTCTCCTCGTCGTTTCGTCTCTGCCTCTGTGTTATTGTTCGTTCGGTGATTTGGTGTCAAATTTGTGGGTATAATAAGAAAAGTGCAATGTTTGCCGTAAATTGGCCATTTGAACCGAAGACAAAACTACGTCAAAATGATATTAGTGTTAAGTGAAGTGAGATTGCACTAGGATATGTATTACATTACACCGGATAATCGTTAAACTAAAGTCAATTTGTTTCACTTTTTTTTCGGTGATTCAAAACACTCACACGTGTGCGTACGCGCACGCACAAACACCCGCTTGACTCACATTACTCACCGATTCGTAGGCGATTCGTATTTCATTTATCATTATCGATTATTTGAAGCAACGATTGCAATGGCAGTGACCGATTTCACGCCTAACATTCAACTTAAGTGCTATGATCAAATACCATTCATTGCAGTTTCAATCGTTTTGCCCTTGCCTAATTAAAAGTGAGTGTGTGTGAGTTTCGATTTTGCTTAAGTCAATACTTATTATCGAATTTGGAAATTGTGATTTGCAAAAGAGAAGAAAAAAAATCAACAACAGATACACACCAAAAAGCGAATCGAGTGAAAGGATTTGTGATTTCAACAATCTTGAATGTTCAAAGTGAAAGTAAAACGAAAAATGTGAAAATTAAAACTTCGTGTGTTTCTCTGCTTCAATTCATGGATTTGTTTTTAAACTCAAATTTGGTTTATGCTAATCAATCACCTTACCACGTGAGATGATTGAGGCGATGATGATCAACGTGGAGTTTATGTTAAGCTTCTTCCCTACCGTTCCAGTTAAATCACTTTACTCGAATGAAAGTATTCAAAACAAATCCAACTATCACATGCTTCATGCGTTTAGCTGACCAAATAGTGAGAAAAGTCCATTCTTTTGTGAATGGAATCTGAAAAATAAACAATGATTCAAATTTCTTTAAACCTTTTTTTTTTGCTTCCAAATCGGTTTTTTTCTTCACCACCATAAGAATAAAGTGCTGTCTCACATCCACATCTGGACCCACACGCACACAAACTAAATCCATCAATGTTTGAAACGTTGTCCAATGTACCTAAAAAAAATTATTCAGGATAAAAACAACAATATTGAAATAATAATAATAAAAAAGAGCTAATATGTTGCAAAGAATGGATGGAACAGAGACGGGATATGCGATAATAACGACGGATGCACAGAGCAAATGGCAATCGAACAATGAGGGAAAGAGAAAGAGATGGCAAAGCCTGAAATAACAACTTGCACACACAGTATTTATTTTATCGAAAAGAGTAAAAATCTTGCTACCAAATGCTACGTATGCGTGTTTATGTGCCAAAGATATTTATTGTTTTTTCCTGATTGCTATAATGTGGTAAAAAGACATGGGTTACATACATACACACACACTAAATCTAGAACCAGGATCCGTGTGCGCAATGGTCCATTGTCTACGCACGACTTCTGCCATTCGATTCAATTCGAATTTGAAGCCATAAGCAAACAGAAACCAAGAGAAAACAAAAATAATATAACGTTTCTCGTTTTTGGATAAAGGAATAAAAAATGGAAATGGAGAAACATTGACAAGATAGAAAAATTCTCGGAATAACAGAAGCGGCTATTGCCGGACCTGAAACATGTAAATATTTGCCTTTTCTCTCTCTTCCTCTCTGTCTTCTACATGAAAGTCCAGAAAGGAAACACTGAAAAATGCCCATTTCCAATGCGTACATACGTTCCATTTATTTTCCCTACCAAATTCTTTGCCAATTTCATCAATATAATCTAGAATAACAACAGTTTCCTTATTCTTGTCATGTAAGCGCTTCGTGTGGGTTTTTTTTCGTTCGGAAAGGACTTTTGGTAGATCTTTTCGATTTTGGAAAATTCAGATTTAGTTTTTCTAACTTTAAATTTCAGAATTTGATTATGGTTCCAGTTACAGTTTGGTACAAATGATCCTTTCGGGAGGGAAAAAGATTCTTTTTTTCAAATCGACTAAATTTTCGACAAGCACATGATGATCGCATTAAAAGTACGAACGTTTTGTTTCAAAAACCAAAATTGGTGGGAAAACAGTGTTGAAATCGATTGCAAATTTCGAATAAAATTCCATAGCCAATTCAAGATTGCATATAAGTTGGTCAATAACATCGAAGTGGAAAAATTGCATGCATGCAGAATATTTCGAGAGAAGAATTTATCCTGGATATTATTAAACGCAACGACGCACGTTGTCCCATATGAATAAGTGTATGTGATTTACGATTTTACATAATTCGTATAAAATGTATTTGTTCAAATGAAATAGTGTTGAATGAAGATTTTAGGAGAGATTTGTGAAGAGAACTCAGGTTTCATTTTAACAAATACACGCTCAACCCCGTTTGCCTGCATTATCAAAATCTATTTTTGTCCGCATAAATGGAGAAACGAATATCGAATCGATGAAAATGATATGCACCGATTTATTGAGATTTTATTTTTCTGAATATCAACGAAATCATCGACATGTGATGGAAAGTGTGTGAGAGAGAGAGAGAGTCCATAGAGACATGTGATGGAAAGTGTTTGTTACATTTAAAAATGCATCGTACGTGCTTAATCTTATTTGTTCACAAACGAATCAGGATTGTTCCCTGTCGTCACAAAATTTAAATTCGAAATACTTTTATTGACAAAACGCAAGCGAAAAAAAGCATGAATCATTTGCAAAGGATATCTTAATTGCGGTTTAAATAAATGCAATATCTCTCCATACATGGTGTTGAATATGTTTGGCGGCCGCAACTATGTATCGAATTTAAATAGTATACGTTTTTACGACATTTTTAAATGAATTTTTTTTTTTTCGTTCCTTTTCAGTATCACGATTGATGGGTGGCTCAGCAAGCGGATCGATGGGTCATATGGGTAATATGGGTGGTTTGGCTGCTTGTAGCGTCTCTGATACAAAACCAATGCAATTCCCTTTGGCACAAAGACGAAAAAGGCGTGTACTATTTACTCAAGCTCAGGTTAGTTGCCAACCGAAACGTTCATATTTTTCTTTGCTACTTTTTCTCTGTACGCCTTATGTATGTGTGCATCGCGATTATTTCTGCAAGTTACACAATCGCTACTTGTAATCTGTTCAAGCCAATTGTTTTCGACGGACTGGCTTCTGTTGAACTTTTCTCTCTTGTACTTGCTCTCTTAGCAGCAGCAACAGCAGAAGCAGCAGCAGCAATAGCAACAGCACACAGAAAAAAGAGCATAAGCATCAAGAGAGTACGTGAAATGTGTCTTAAATTGTTCTTTTTCTCCATTTTGGTCGGACAAATTTCGGAAAAAATTCCATCTTCAGCGCATTTATTTGATGAGTGAAAGGCAATTATTTATTTTACACTCTGAACTTTATTATTTTTCTTTCTTCCTTCTGGAATTTGACCGCTTGTTTGTCTTCGTTTTATGTTTTTTTCTTTCTTCTCCTTTGTTTTTAAGCATACATATTCGGGTTTTTTTTTATTTACACAACGAAATTATTGCATCTTGAATTTTTCGATTATTTAATGATTTCACAAATTTACTTCTCAAATATCGTTACTTGATACCTACTACTTCTTCGCATTCCAAACCAAAGCGATTTGTACCTTGATTTGAATCGCTTTGAATAGTTCGATTCAAATGAAACACGGAGCGAACAAATATTGCCTCATTGATTTTCATGCGTTGGAAAATAAATTTTGGACTATATACGCATTTTCAAGATAGAAACATTTGCGCAACAAAAATCAAATATTGATTCATATTATCGTTGAAAGTATGTTACAATTTTTCATTGGAAAATATTTTCCCGTCCTTGACAAAACCTAGATCTTGTCTATTTTTATTTGTCTTTTTTTTAAATCTGAAAATCGAAATTTTTGAGAATTTTCTACAATAATTTCAAGTGAAACGTACAATGAAGAAATCATACAATTTACAAACCCGAGTAGCAAATTTCCCCTTTTTCCCGGTTGCAAATGGGTTACTATAACTTAAATACAACTCCAAAGATGTTGCAAGCCGATCTTTGTAACGTTACAATAACCGTATTGTAACAAATTGGTTATAATTCGGTTATAATTCGATTTTAGTTATGTTATTATATCGTTGCAATAGCCATGCTCATAAATCGCATACTGTCATATAACCAAAGAAAGTTTCAATAAAGTTACTATCGAGTTTCAATTTGAATGTTCATTCTTCAATTCATTCCTTTCAACGGCATCATCATTTATCTCTATCTTTGACAAATTCAACTTGAAAAATATTTAATCGCTGGGCAATTTATATATATATGTGTGAGAATGAAAATATTTTGCCGATTTTGAACATTTTCAAAATCGAAATTTTACAACGAATGTCATTTTGTCGTCAATAGTGGCCACGATAGGCTCTTAAAATTCACGCGCCCTTCAAAAGATGCAATTTTGAGAAAAAATGTGCAAAATATTTTTTTTTCAATTTTTTTAATTTTTTCGTTTAACTATCTCAAACCATTTAAAATACGATTTATAATGTCAAAATTATAATAATTAGCTAAAACGCAATGTTGAAAATGCATAAATATATGATAAATTCGATTTTATTTTCGAAAGAACAAACGCATCAATGTGCAAAAAATTTCAAACAGCAGTAAATATGGCGATTTTTACTGCCATTGTTACTAAAACTCAAATGTAACTCAAATAGAACCTTGGAATTGTTGTAACAATACTGCTACATTGTAGTAATGTTGCAGGAACTTCTTAGCTTCCATCTAGACTTTCATCATATAAAAACACGTTGCAAAAACATTTCGGCAACATATTTACAACTTGTGTTATTCAAGTTGCATTTCAGTTTTTGAAATGTTGTATAAACGTAAGAGTAACAAATAAAATTCTATTTTGCGTTTCATGTTAAACAATATTTTGGATGCCAGCATATTTTTGAACAATTCTCTACGTTTTTTCTATAATTTCCATTCTTTTTGATTTTATCCCACGATAGTTTCAATGAAATTGGTCTGTTTTTGTTTTGTTTTCCATGATTTTATTTTATTGCCACAGAATTTTGATTAGGCGATGTATTCCTTACGGAAAGAATTCTAATGACAGCCAAATTCTATTTCTTTATACAACATATCTACATTCAATATGTTTAGTTGAAGTAACCTTACTGTAACCTCTATATAACATGAATGTAACTTAATTATAACTTGAATTACGTTATTGTAACAAGAAAGATAGTAATGAAGTAGTTTCAACACAAGTTGTTTTTTTTTGTGATTTCTCTGTTTTTATCGTAATGATTGATTTTCGATTGGATGAAATCCACCAACGCGAAACGTTTAACGTTCTCAACGTTTTCGAAACTCATTAGCTTGGCAAATTCTTCAACAGAAATTGCATTCTTGGACCAAATGTATGAATGTTTGACAAGGTGAAATGCACTGACGTATCATGGTTACGTATGTAACCAAATCGTAGTTGCAGCAACGTTACAATAAAGTTTTGAGATTATGAGTTATCTGGCAACCAGTTGGTAAATTTGTTAAAATATTTCTCCTTTTCTGCAACTTAAAAATAACTTTTCTATAAATTATATATAACAAAGCGGATGCCTTGTTACCTAAAAACCACATTGCAACTGTTCTATAACATATTTTGTTGCGAATAACTGAATTGAAACCGATTTATAACAAATTTTGGTTGCAAGCCTGAGATTTTTGCTACTCGGGAAGCTTATTTCGCATTGATTGATTGTTCGTCGAAACATTGGACTTATCAACAAATGTCAGTGGAACCATTTTCAATTGTTTGTTCCGTCATATTTGTTGAGAATTTTATTCAAATAGTAGGCGATCGTAAGTTGTACGCATTGTAAAAATAATCAGCTATAGCATGCGTTCTAGAACGAACAATTTCGTTATATCATAATTTCCGACAATTTCTTGTTCCGTTGAAGTGAATCACTGCCAAGAAACAACTTCACAATCGTTTTTCGAGTTCAATGTTTCGAAAATGAAATAAAAACTATTCTTGAATAAGAAATCAAATGCGATTTACTTGGCTTAAGAAGTAACCGTTTGAATAGAAAGTACGCGCAAAAGATGAAACGATTTAATCAAGATAAATTAAATAATACATTCTTGAAATGAAATCTCCAGCATGTCCAACAATGTAGATAGCAAAGAATTTAAATCGTTTAATAGTTTTGTGGTGGTTCCGTTTCCAAAGCCACAATACAATGCGTGACGAGAAAATGTTTTTTTTTTAATTTTCATGACGAAATCCAAGATATTATTGTCAGTTTATTTCAATAAATCACATCCTTTTCATTTGTTTATAAAAATGATTCACTCCATCATTTATTTTGCTTCGGCCTTCTTCTTCTTTTTTCTCGACAATTTGTCGCTTTAAATTTGTTTAGAAAGCAGTTTAAATTCGATTTAGGTTGATTGATAAGCTCTGATAAAGGGAGGAGAGGAATATAAAATGGTTTCAAAATATTTTGGCTTTTGTTTAACAACAAAAAAAAAAGAATTGACGATTGATCCATTTACAGCAAATTGATCGAGTGACTAAGGTTATTTTTTTTGTGTTCCACTCTGCATTTGATTTTGGCTGCAAAATGAAAATTGCCTCTCACCTTCTGTATCACTCTTGTTTGGTTCGTTGTTCCTAATAAGGGGTGGTGCCTTCTGTTCTACGCTTAACGCATAAGTTAAATATTATGATTTATTTGCAAAATTCGAGATCAAGATAGACGACGACGACGATGGTTTGTGTGTGTACTTTTGCTTCTATGTATGTACGCGCCAGCGAATGAGTGAGTGAGGCAGCGCGAACGAACGAAGGGAACTCAACAGATCTTGCCATCACTCTTTGCACAAATCTAAACAATAATTGTCTGCCATGCCGTAGATTTGATGGAATTGGAAGCCCATGAAACATGCACGAAAGTCAATGTAAATATTTACATCACTTCGCGACGTTCGTTAATCCAAAAGGTCTTAATGGTTTCAAAATAGCTTGGTGTGCGTGCGAAAAAGTGAAAAGATGCTGACTGTTGCCTGGCAATGGTTTTTTCGTTCATCATCTCTCGCTCTCTACCGTTACACACCGAACACTACATCATAGATACACACACACACACACACAAACACGCACATCAGTCCCGTTCCGTCCCGTCCATCCTGAAACTTTTGCATGAAAATCGCATCGTTCGGTCGCTCCCATCATGGTGGTGATGATGATGGCACATAGCACATTTCCACACTTTCGTTTCTCGTTCGCTTCCTCATTTAGCGGTGCGATGCGAGAGATGTGGATGATTTTATGTTTATAAATGAAATTGTTCATTTCTATTCAACACTCACACTCTCTTCCTCCCGCTCTTCGGTTTGGCATCTCGATTGTCGTCGTTTCCCGATGTGTTTGACGTTGCTGGGATCACATTGGCTTGGCTTTGCAACATTTATTTGGTAGCACACAGGCGGGATAGCTGTTTCGCTTATACAACCGTATAAATTCACGGGCGCACATATATATGTATATACGTATATATATATATATTTTTATTCCGTTTTCTCTGCGCTCTCCGTGTGTTTATCGTTGACAAATATTTGGACACGTTGTTTGTATAACATAAAACATTAAAAACCATCACAATTACATCCAACGTCAAACTAAATGTCAAACATAAGATCCGTATCCCCATCATTTCCAACAACAATAATAATATACTCCATGCGCGCGCTTCAGCACTCTCTCTCTCTCTCGCTCTCTACCTACATTTATTTACTTATATACCAGTGAAAATTACACATTCCGTGAGAGTACAATTGAACAAAAATGCAATTTTGTAATAGCATTTCACCAATTTCGTGGGTTCCAATGATGGCTGGGTAAGGTATATACACATAAACGGTGTGTGTGTGTGTATTTAGATGCACAGCAGCCCAGCAATTGATTGAAAGAGAGAGAGAGATGCGACAGCACCGCGCACCGATACTAACTTTTTCGGAATGATGGAGCAAACTGAACTGCTGTTCAGCAAATAAATATCTCAAATACATTTCAAATAAATATAAACACTCTTTCGGCCTCGAATAAATAAACAACGCTGAAAAGACAATGACGCGAACTTTTCGACTCGTCTATTTTTTTTCGCCGTCATTTTTTGTTGTACGGTGTCGTTGATCACCATTACGCAATTCAAATGAGCTTTGGCTGTCCACGCATGCTAAAATTTCGTACGTGTTCAATTGACAAATGGTGAAACTTACGCACCGATTCATCTCTAATTTACATTTGGGTGTAGTTTTTTTTTTCTATTTCGCTTATTCGCTCCAAAAACGAAAAACTCTTGAACGACTTGGCACATTCACTTTTGGCCCAAAACAAACTGAACAAATAGCCGATCAACACACATATACATACATCTTGTAATTAGTTACGAACGGTTGCCAAGCATTCGAAGCATTTTCTTAATTTGATCTCATTTTGGTTTTTGTTTTTTTCGTCCCTAGGTTTATGAATTAGAGAGACGTTTCAAACAGCAAAAGTACCTTTCAGCGCCGGAACGTGAGCATTTGGCGAGCGTCATCCATCTAACACCAACACAGGTAATTAGAAGCACTCATTTGGTTTTGTACTGTTTACGATACAGAAAGGAAAAAAAAGCATTACAAAAAAATACAAAGAGTTGAGCAGAAGCCCACACCTACATTGAACTCTCGGCGCGCGTGAGTCGTATTCAAACGTTTGTATGTATTTCAACACAACATAATCACACTGCTTTTCTTTCCGATGATTTGGCCCGAGGCTGTCCGTGTAAACAAACCACGTCGATTGTAAAATATTTCAGTGGTTGCTAGCCAACACCCATTGGCATGCTCGCCCTATGATACACCAGATTATCAATTCATCGCATTTAATGGTTTCATTTCCATCGTCTCGGAGAAAAACGTTTGAAATCACATAATTAAAGTGTCAAATTTAAAGTAAACCTATTGAAATGACACGCATGCTTTCGATATTAGCGCACAAACAACATTCAATGAAAACGGGATGGAAAAATGTACGCTATTTTCTTTGTAACTGTAATCTGAAAGTCGGTGATAATTTTCATTCTTGGAATTTTCCGTTGATACGGAGCATTTTTTTTTATTTCTCTTCCATTACATTTTCGATGATGTTGAACATTTTGATGGCGTTGTATGCGGCCCCGATCATCGTAGAATGGTGATTGTTCGGTTGTCAGAGAGTCGAATATCATCGAAAAATACCAAACGTAACTGGAAACACTATATGTTGTACGACGAATAGAATGGGAAATTAAACGGTTTTTCTGCCTATCAAATGAAATAATGATGATCGTTCAAACGAAAAATAAAAAAATCAAACGGAACCATTTTTTCGTTGTTGTTGTTGTTGTTGGAAAACGCTTGCGTTAAGACAGAAGCTACAAAAGGTACCAGATTGTGCATCCATTCGGTGTATGTACTTCAAGAGCATATGTCAGTGTGATATCAGCACTCATCAACACATGAAATCGCTTGCGCTCTCTCTCGCCCTTGCTTCCGATCGCTATTTCTCTCTTTTTTGTTCTATCGACATTGGTTCTCGTTTGCCCAAGCAAACCAAATCCAAGTTGAACTGCATGCACACAGCACCAACAGCAGCAGCAGCAGCAACAACCGAGAATAAAAAACGGTGACAATGGAAAAATTACAGTTTATGTTAATTTGAAAAGCAAATTGTTATTTTTTTTCTATCCATGGCATTCAAACGGCGCTCACGTATGATTTTCTATATATATAGATGCAATTAAACTATTATTATATAAAAGAGTGAGGAAAATTGAAGGTATATTGCAACAGACACTGGATCAGTAGACCGTAGAATGGATTTCAAGTGTTTTCAAACATCTGGTCACGCCTTTTTTACCATTCCTCATATGCCCGTCGAATCATGTTATGTTTCCATTGCCTTGTGATGACTGTGAGTATATATGTAGTTTGAGTTCATCGCATCGAATAACAATATATCGTAGCCTGCAAAACTCACTCATTGACAATACATAAAAAGCGGTTTAAATGATTGTTAGCTTTTTATATTGCCCCCGGAATGGATGGAATGGAATGGAAAAAAAAGCGAGAAGAAGTACCGTCGTCGATCCGTCGTCGCATGCTTGAAATGACACTTTCAAAAAAATTAATTTACGTAAACAAATCGGGCTGGCAAAGCACGATCACCTTCGATTGGATCTCATCTTCGACAATTTATTCCTAATTCGGTGGGTTTTTTCCCTCTCTTCTTTTGAATTGTTGATAAAAAAAACATATGGAGTTGCATCGTCGCGAAAGGATTTTGGACTGGCACAACAACAGTAGAGAAAGAGTCCAAAAATAAGAATGAAAACACACATACGGACATTTCGGGTGATTGAGAGCATCTTTGAATGATATTTGATTTTCAAAGTCAGCGCCAATCAAAATCCTTGAGCCATTGTTTAAAATTCAAATATTCGGAAATGTAAATGAGATGAGGAGAGAGTGTGCGAGAGATAGAGCGTTCATTTCAAAAATAGTACTTAAAATCTGGCAGACGGTCAATTAAAGTGAACAAGCAGTGTGTTTTGCAATGGCAATTATGATGATTTAATAAAGACGACTTTTGTCGAACAGGAAAATCAATTTCCCAGTCCGAATTCCGTTTGGTTTCATTAATGAACAATCAAAATATGAAGTAATGAACAATGGAACCGGAGACTGGTTTTGTTTTTGATATGTGTGTCAGGCTGTTTCTCTCTCTCTCACACGCACTCACACGCTGTTGTTTATGCAGTCGCTGACGCGTGCATATTTCATAACACAAAACAAATGCATTTAACCAACGTAATGACATTTTAGACGGATGTCAACGATCACAACACACACACACACACAAACCAACATACAAAACGGTTTTTCCTACCAACGGCCCAAAAACTCCAAATCCATATTTAATAATTTTCCGAAAACAAACAAATCATGCCCATGTTTATTGTGTGCAAATTGTTTACCAGCCAATGTCATGCACGCGTTTCACGGTCTCCGGCCACAACGGGAGAAGCAGTTCACAACGATATTTCTTTAAAAAAAAAAGCAGCAATAACAACATAACAACCAAATATTAATCGTTCCATGATGTGTGAAAAGTGCTCCGGTTTATCGAGATAATCCTCTTTGATAACTATTGTTTGATTTATTATGTGTTGAAATAGCGCAAACGTCCGACCAACGCTCTTGATTCCCGTTAATACCAAATCTGACATTTTACAACCAACGCTGAATGCATTTTAATGCTGCATATTATAAACAAATTAACTGGAGACCGACTTTTTTTCCTACGTTGAACACATTTTTATTAATTTTAAAGTGAAATATCAGCGTTGTTCGAAAAATAAGTCATTTTTTTTCCATGGTACATTCAATAAAATTTGAATGAAAAAAAAGGATCCAATTTGCAATTTCATATCTTATTGAATGTCTATGTTCGTTTCGGGGCCATCCGAGAAAAAAAGAACGATTTTAAGGTTGATGGGGTGTGTTTATGACAATCGACATTTGTCAGATTTGTATGTATGGTGCCCATGAAACAGGCCATAAAGCCAGTCTAATGCATAATTCGAACACATTCTTTTCACACTCTATCTCACTTTCGACTCTCTATCGACACGATCACAAAAAAGGAATCTGTTAGTTTAGAAGTAAAAATCCATTTTTTGTGTGCTCACTTTATAAGTGGTTTAAAATATGCAACTTTTTATATTGATGGTTATTTAGTGCAGAAAAAGTGGATTTTGAGGTACCCATCAATATAACACAAAAAAAAGAGAGAATGGAATTATGTCTAAAGCGACAAGCTCAAGAGAAGAAAAAAAAAGTGATGCGCATAAAAACCACCGAAAAGTATAAACTGTGAACGACAGAGAGTGAATGCAGAAAAAAATACACGCAATCTAGGTCTACGCTAAACACCAATTTATGGTTCACGTTACCGCAAATATTCTTACAATAACATTTATATAGCAATTTAGATAAAAATAGTCTGAACGCTTTTTTTTATATTCATTCCTCTCGTCTCTCGATATTTTGTCAATTACCCGCTGATATATTTTTTTTCGCTTGAACATTGCCTGCTAAAACCCAAGCTACCTACTTGAAGTGCGTGCGTACGGTCTCTCTCTCTCTCTCTCTCTCTCTCTTTATTTCGTCATCATCGTTGTTGTTGGTCTATTGTAGTTTTTACAGTAAGTTTGCAGCGCACACATAATTCCAGTGTTGTTCATGCTCTGCGGAACGTTTTGTGCTGAAAACACACCGCAGCGCAGTGATAATAACAACAACAACAGCAGCAGTAGCAACAACAGCCAGAATAATAATAATCATCATCATAATAATCGTGAAACGATGACGGAGGGGTCGATCATAATGTTGTTTTATTTGTATCACACCGCTCGAACGCTAAAATACACGCTACTCCGACATCTCTCTAAAAAACATAATTTTTTTTTCGCTTAGTTTACTTGTGATTCCGCATTGTGCTCGGGTTTTCCGTTCGTTTTTTCTTCTCTCGCTCTCTATCTCTCATTCGCTCAGCCAAATTATGCTTGTATGCGTGTATGTTATGCTCGTGTACTTTTTTTATATTTCATTCGTGCTATCTTCAGCATTCTTCTCCTTCGGAATTGAGCGATTTTCGTTTACATTGTACGTGCTCATGTTCAATCAAGCACCATACAAAAATTTTGTGTGGAAGTGCGATGGTGGTAATGTATAATGAAATGATTATGATGACAATGATGTTGTTGAGATATTCTATTGTTGTGACTAACAACAATTGCTTCAGGATAATTCTTAATTCTCTTTATTTCTCGTCACTAACACACACACACACACACAAAAAACGAGAGCAAAATGCATGAAATAGAAAGCAGAAGAAAAAAAAAATGTTGTTCGACGTCGACAGCAGCGGCGGCAGCAAGAGCTAAAACCCAAAACCAGATCGAACCATTACACTTTGTTGTGTACATTCGCCTTGCGATGTATGTAAGTGTACATGGATTTACGCATCATTTATTTTTTAAGGATTGATCCCTTGTCTACCCTCGCCATTATTCTATCAATTCTCTCTCTCACACTCTCTATCTCCTCCGTGTGGCTGTTGTTGTTGTTTTTTTTACTCGAGGTTATTTTTTTCTGGTATGTGTTGATAGATTTTGATTGCTAATTCTAATGGTATCGCTTGTGTTGGCATGTTTTTCTTCTATTGGTTTGTTCCATTGCGATGGTGTTGATGTTATGGTGTGTGAAATTCATGTTGGAACAAGCGATAATACGATCGGATTGTCATTATTTCGAGTGAAAGAGCGAAAAAAGCCAACCCAACCCAACCCAACCAAAGATAAGTCAATCAGATTGTGAGCGTGATATGGATGATTTACATGTGATACGACAACTCAATTAATAGTTGTGAAATCGGAAAAACAATGCAACAAAACAGTACACACCGGTCACAAAGTTGATGGTTAATCGACTTAAGCCTTGAGGCTAAAGAAAACGTCAGAAACATTAAAGGCCAATGATTTCCGTAAATCCGGTAAAAGTAGGGATTTTATTTGGCAAATTTTTCAGGAAGTCAATTCGATGCGTATAAGCCCACGTTGATTGGTCCAGATCTAATGTTGATTGGATTATAAAAGTTTAAGTCGAGTGTACTGTTTGTGGCACATGGAATGCATCGTTTTGCCTACGACTGCATCGGTACTCCATTCGATTTTGATGCATTTCAAAATCGCTTTGTTGTTTCATTGGCAAAGCTTTTGATGTTCATTTCATTCGCGCGATTAGTCGTCATGTTGAAAAATGGCTCTTTCCATATTTCTCACATTGTGCGTAGCTTTTGATTTTGTCTTTGTCACTTTTGCCGTCGTCGTCGTTGTCGTGATCATCGTCATCACCGCAGCCACCGACTGCAACGAGTGTCTCCATTTAAGTAGTTTTAATTATAGTTGGATAAACATTGACATTACGGCTCGCTGCTCAGTTTTACTTTATGAATACGTTAAATAGGCACGAGAAAAAGATCTTTCTTAAACAATTTGCGGCATGCACAATCGCCAGAAACAGAATTTATTATCCTGAGATAGATAGAAAAGGCTACACACAACCACACCGAAAGTGACTGCAATGGAACCCACTCACACAGAGAGAATATTCGAATCAAACGCGATGAGCTGTGCAGTGAAATAATTTTTCCATTTATCTCGTCAAACGAATAATATAAATTAAAATTGGAATTGTAAATAAAAATGCACTTGGTTTTGTGCAAAGTGAAGTGAAGCTCCTTGTGATATGGACCAGAAAAAGGAGAAGGACGACCGAGAGCGAATGAGCAAGCGAGAGACTGAGAGTGAGCGAATGAATAGAAAATTGCGATTATGAATGAGATAAACAGAAAAAGAAATGCCAAGTTAACACTTCGATGCTTGTATTTTTGTTTAGTTTTCTATTAAATGAAATGATGCATGGAGTGGAGATGTGTAATTGAAATGGGATCAAGTCTTTCCATAATAAAATTAAGCCAAAGGCTTTGAATAGATGAAAACTGGCTCCGTCGGTAGCCTCCTTTTGGACCACGGAAAAATGCTAATTTTCAACGAAGTCAGTTTTTTTTCGCTTCCGCGATGTCTCATAGCCCATTGAATTGAGGTTTTGTTCAACCGCAGCATTTAGGCCCAATCAGAATGCTTTCTTATAGAATTCATAGGGTGCACTATAAAATGAAAAACCCACAATATTGGATATATTTGGTCAAATTCCGTTACTTTTTGTAAAAGTCATTGAAAAAAAAAACAATTTGAGTCAATACCATTCGGTATATATTAGGCATCTGACCCTTATATATCGGTTTTAACGAAACCGAAAATCAATTCTTCGTCAAAAAATTAAGTAGAAATAGCTCATCGGATTTCTCAAAAATGAAGACAGGCCGCGCTAGCGTCCTATCTAAATACATTATAATGAATAAGTACAAACTAATACATATGCATTTCTACTATGAATACGTTTCATGCTATGTGTTTTAATTTCATTTAATTTTGGAAATTGAAAAAAAAAACTTCTCGACAAAATATATTTTAAAACATCATTGCAATAAAAAAAAAATTCCAAGTAAGAATGAATATATTGATATTGAGTAAGAAAATTCGGTGAAATCGGTGAAATACTTGAATCAAACATAAACGTTTGAAAAACGTACGACGCGCGCCAAAGCATAAGTGATGTCAAAGTGTGTACAAAGAGTGAAGCAATAGTGCGTTTAATGCTATGTGCTATAGTGTCTCTGTTGATGTTGATCGCTGACGTTTATAGTGGTAGAATGAAGAAATAACCGGATTGTCTAGCTATATTTAGCGTCAAATGGCGACGTTTTGGCTATTTTTGAATATATTTGAGCCTCTCAAGCCACCAAATCACTCTTTTATGTATGTTGGTGAGTATTAGCAATAAAGTATTCAAAATGCGATTTTCTGTGATTTTACCGTCTTTTCGTGACAATACATGGATGCAAAAATGTTTCTTTGGTTTTAATTTATATATTTTGATAATAAAACATAAGAAAAATGTGCAAAAAATGATGAATTTTTTTTTTATAGTGTCACTATAAAATTAAAACCGATATATAAGGGTCAGATGCCTAATATATCGAATGGTATTGACTCAAATTGTTTTTTTTTTTCAATGCCTCTTACAAAAAGTAACGAAATTTGACCAAATATATCCAATATTGTGGATTTTTCATTTTATAGTGCACCCTATAAATTTTATAGGAAACCATTCTGATTTGGCTTTAGATGATCTAAAATCATGAATGTGCGTGAGACTTTTCTTGAATTGCGTTTTTCTATCATTCCGCTGAAGCAATGAAATTAGCACATAGTCTGCAAATATAATAGAATTTTACGCAACATCAGCCAACATTTCGAATAACAAACGGATCACTAGAACTGCGAACACGGGCATGGCGTGAAGAGAAGAGGAAAAAAGAGAGAGAAACAGACAGACAGAAAGAGAAAGAACGATGTGAAAATGCTCAGCTTTCTAAGCAATTATCATGCAGTAAAAAGTCTTTGTGCGATAAATAGTTTTGCACGATTTCGAAAAACACGTACACAAAGTGTCTAATGCAGAGTGAAGAGTTTTTCTCTTAAGATTTTTATTCGCAACAACACATCAATTTCTTTTGTTCTCTTCTGAATATTTCCTCTCTGAATAATTTTAAGTGAGATTTTTCTGTGGTAAAACCTTTTATGAAAAATTTTCTCTTAAAACAAATATTTCCTTCACTCTTTTTGCTCTTTCTCTCTCTCCGTTTCTGTCTCGGTCTCTGTCTCCCATTTTTGAAATCATTTTCTCTCCTGCTCCATTCCAAATGTGCGCCATTCCATTTACAATTCGCCACTGCCACAAGAACAACAAAAACAAAAGCGGTTGACTTTTGTTTTATGTAGCAAAAGAATTTTTCGACAAGTGCTCGCACCACTCGAAAATAATATATTTCACTGTTTGATTCATCAAACGGCACATTTTCTGTGTGTTTGATAGAGTGCTTTCAGATTGATTAAGATAAAAGGGAACAGGAATATATTTTTTCGAAATCGCTTCTTTATTTCGCCTTCTTTGTATTCACATCCTTCAATTAGGTAAAAAACTCATTGAAGAGCATTTTTCAGCATAACAATTGAACGAAAGTAAAAGAGCGCAAAAAAAACGACCCAAACTGAGAGAATCATTTGTTGTCCAAAGGAAATCCAATAAATTTGTCGAACCATCGAAGTTAGTGTGTGTGTTTGTGTGTGTGTGTGTGGACGTTTTGATGTGGGCTCTGCAGAGAAAAAAGAAGAAAAAAATCTAACTCAAGTCATTATTATTTACCTCTTACCGATTGTAATGTTTTGTTAATGTTATTTCGATTTGGTGCATCTTTTCTTTTATCTAGGTGAAAATTTGGTTTCAAAATCATCGATACAAATGCAAACGCCAGGCCAAGGAGAAAGCAATGGCTGAACAAAACCAACATAATCAGGTACGAATTTCGATTGCACTCATTGAAATCGTATTACTTTTATTTTAAGCAGAAAAGATTTGTTCGTGTTTCTTTTGCTCTCGCTCTCGACACAATTCAAACCACAATATTTTTTTATTCTTCGGAGCGAAGCAAATAATAAGCGGGCAACAGTTAGAGAAAGAAAAACTTTACTTAATCATAGAATATAGAAAAAAGCCAGCGCACACAATTCGGAAGCGAATTGCTTGTGTGCATTGAATCGTGTAAATTCTAAATCATAATTTGCTTCTTTGATTTTTACACAGTCAGCCAGTTCACCTCGACGTGTTGCCGTACCCGTATTAGTTAAAGATGGTAAACCGTGTTCGAACAATTCGAACAATAGTAGCCAACCAGCGCAGGCACCGAATCAACAAAATCAACATCAACAACAGCAACAAGCCCAGCAACAGCAGCAACAATTGAACAGTAATACCACACCGTCGAACAATAACAATGTAATCGTTGTTGGCGATGTATCCAACACACTAACACATTCACCCGATACATCATCGACCTTATTGTCCAGCTACAATGGTGTTCAGCATTCGCAAATGTTGCAACAACCTTGCAACAATTCATTGATGTCGAGCAGCTTAGCGATGGCATATCGAAATCAAAATAATTTCATGGGAAATAGCCACCAACAACAATGCGGCAGTTACATACCCATGCAGGGACGAGCTTGGTAACTTTAAATTTTTACTTTAACACAAACACAAAATAAATAAACGAAAAGAGAGTAAGAGAAAGAGACAGAGAGACAGAGAGACAGAGAGAGAGAGAGAGAGAGAAATAAAATTCCCCCCACGCACGCACACATACAAGCAACTAACAACACACACACACACACATACAAATTCATACACATATCGATGAAGGAACACCCACTTGCGCTCAAGCTCACGCAGAGTATCCAGTATTCCTTATTTATTTGCTTCGCGAAACCAATTCAAGATTATGTTTTTCCTTTCCTTTTACTTTCATTTTGCAAATTTACTTAATACTTTCTGGACGAGTTCAAAATGAATTGAACGAAGAAGAAAAAATTATTGGGAATTTACTCTCATTAGATAAAATTGTTTTTAGTGAATATAATATGACTGGGGGCTAACATATACAGTGTTAGCTATACATTGGATTGTTCTGTGGTTTGCCACGTAATAATAAACTAATGGCAAACTACGGCACTAGTGTACATGCTTATTTATTTGTAAACCCCCTGTAATACGAAATGAATTGGCCTGGCTATTTTGAATTTAACATTAGCCGGAGTAACTTATTTCGAAGCGAAGCAGCTTTTGTGCAGTTCAGTTTAACTCAAGACATTTTGGAACAATGCATTTAAAATAAAAGAAGAAAAAAGATACACACACACATTCCAATTGAGTTATTGACCGTCTAAATTAGGTTTGCATACATTTGATTTCTGCACTCTTCCTTCTTTCCTTTTACGTTTCTTTGCCAATCACTGAGCAATCAACTGAACATAAATCGCTTACGAAGTGAGCGCATTTTGCATATGACAAAAAATATATGATTCACAAGCCATGGGAAGTCGCCTACTGAGCGAGCGAAAATCGAGTTCACAAGATGGAAGGCACTTGATGAATGGAAAACGCAGACGTTGACCTCTCTCAGTAGACTGCAACGAGGATGGCTTTTTTAAATTCTGAACATTTATCTCACAATTTCTGAATGCAATTGAAGTTTTTTTATGGACAGAAACAAGTGGAAATTTTTTCAGCAGAACAAAACAGATCGCAAAAAACATAGAAAACAGTGATGAGAAAAAAAACCCAAAAAAAATGATATTATTGCCGAACGAAATGACGGAGAATCCTAAACATCGATAATGCAATAAATAGAAATTAGTGTGAGTATGTAACGTTTAACAAAGAAAAAAACGGACTAAAAAAATCGCATTTAAACTAAAAAAAAAATCATTCAATCCATTAAAAAAATAATACAAAAAAAATCTAATTCATATTCAACAGTTAGCAATAAAAAGCTTCAATAGATTGAGGAATTGATCCCAGTTTAAGCTCAGCATTAGTTACTGTTTAAAGCATTTCACCAATTGTAATACGTAAGATTTCCTAAATGAATCGCTTTTCATTTCCGACAAGAAAGAAAAAAAAACAACAACAACCGATTTTAAATAATTCTAAGGTAGTAGGGTATCAAATAAGAATTTTTAATCATGGAATAATGGCACCTTTATATATATATATATATATATATGTATTTATGCAGTAAATGCATCGGCCGCTTCTAATTTGTTCTCCTTTTAGTATTCTTCTTCTTGTTTCTTTTCGTTCGAACCATTTACGAATCAACTAGATGTATTTCTATCGTTCCAATGAGTTTTGATCAGTTTTCGACTCATTCAATAAATGCAAACAAGTAAAGCAACAATAAATTTAAATGTAAATATTAGTTTCAGAGATGAAAAACAAAATTAACAAAGGTGAAAACAAAGAAAACATTATTTAGTATCTAGGCATCATTGGTATCAACTGAATGTATTTGAACTAAGGTGATAGCCGATCACAAATCAACATAAAAGCAAATGCAGTTCGGTCAAATGTAGTCGTATATGTTTTGCACTATTGTCCTAAATTTTTATTTCTTTTTTTGCTTGGGTCGCCAGCATTTGAATGTCAATGGCATTATATGTAGCACTTTTTTATGATCGTTTGAAAACTTCGGCTACTTTTAATAGTATACAAGTATATATATGGGTCCGAGAGCAGAAAAAGTACGCCGCACTTAATTTTTGCATGTGAACGATATTTCGAACGCTGTGTCGATGCACTGTGTTTCTCTTGAAAGTTTATCGATTGAAAGTATCGCAAATGTCACCTACTACAAGAAAATGAGAACAAACTACAGTTCGGTTACAGAGACCAAACCAATCCATAAACAACACTCGTAAATATCTCAAGAGTACAATTGTTTTGTGCAATGATCGATTTCCGTGATCGCAGGTAATCTTTTTCCCAAGTAACACACGCTGTTCCAATTTCGACCTTTTTTTTGGTGATTTCCTCGGTTTTGAATGCACAAATTGGCTTTCAAAATACCTTGAGTAGATAGCTTGACCATTTTATTTACGATTCCAACAAAAAAAAAATTATTATGAGATTATCACAGAATACATGAATTTTGCCCTAGTTTTTTCTTTGTTGTTGTTGTTATTGCTGCAAATCATTGAAATAACGAGATATTTGCTTATTATTGAATGGTTTTAATTGGAACAGCAGATATCAATGAATGATATATTGATGAATGGTTGGTGCAACACAGCATTTTGACCAATTCCAAAATTCATCGGTCTGGCTGATTTCACATGGATATGAGTTTGAGAGTCTGGATCACGGCACACACAAAAAAAAACCCATATTTATAAATATCTCTGTTTTCCAGGGCGACCATATTTGATTTTGATTTTGTATCAATTAGGAAGTCGTAATATCTTTTTTTGTAAAAAAATATTGCATAAGCAGGGTAGTGAGAAGAAACAAAGAGAATAGAAACGAAGAAGAATGGGAAGAATGAACGGAAGAGGAAGAAAAACACCGACACAAATTGAATTTAAATTTTCATCTCACAGAGTGAATAAGAAGAAAAGAAAAACCAGTTTATGTATAAGAAACACTAATATTGAGTGCACATTTGAGAATTTTCATTGGTTACGAGCATAAACAAAAATGTCGTTTCATATGAAATTTATAACGGACAACATATAAACACAAAGAACAACAATGACAAAATGGAACCAATTAAGCAAACCAGCACGTACTTACCTATTTTATCACAATGGAAATGAAATGAACAAAATAGAACACAAAAAAATGATTAATAAAATTAATAATGAAGAGAGAAAAAAAAAACACACACAAACACAGAAAATCTGCAAGACGAATTACAATCCTTTAGTGAAACATTTTTAGCAAATAAGTTATGAAATTAGAATATAAATGCAAATATGTAAGTATCATAAAACACTCACTAGACACAGACACACACACACACACATACACACACAATCACTCACACACAAACAAACAAACAGATACGAAGTTAAATTACTTATGGGAACGTTCTCTTTGCGCAAATTTCAACCATAAGAGACAAATGGATGACAATTGAGTTATATATGTTAATGATATCGAACATTGTAAATAAAATGCAAAAGCAACATCAACAAAGTAAGAAAGGAAAATCATTTAGAAGAAAAAAAAAAAAAATTAATAAATGAAGAAAATATTACAAACGCAAGAAGAAGAGAAAAAGAAAATTGTAACTAAAAAAAATCAACTGATAAAAATAGAAATTAGGAAAAATTGTAACACTTACAACAACAAAAATAATTGATGTAATTTTACAAATAAACTTAATAGTATCGAGAATGATCACTGAATAAAGTTGAAAGTAAATAAACTAGAAACACATTCGATCGCATTGTATTCATTTCCAATTTATTTTGTCTAGCTAATTCTGGCGGTCTGGTCTGAATTGTGACTTGACTGCGCTTGACTTGAAAAAGTCCAAGTTGATAAAATTCTTGTAAGTACCACCTATCTATCGATAGGTTTTTCTATTATTCTTGTCATTTCCAAGTATTAAAATATATCATAGAGCGTGAAGAAAAAGGAGAAATGAGAAGAAACTTGAAAATAATTATGATTGAATTGTTCAGATTAAGAGCATTGGCAGTTTCATTGGAAATGTTGGCGAGCAGCAACTTGTTACTGCCACGAGATAGCACTTTGGGATAAAAATAATCTCTTTACTCAATTCCGTTTATAGAATAAGTTCATCTCCGCGAAAAAAACGTTTCGATTTATACAAAGAACATTTCTTATATAAAAAGATTAGTTTCGAGATGCAAAATACGGACCAGCTCATAATAATTATGGTATGATGTTGATGACCTGTTCCAGTCTTTTCGAAAATCTCTGCTTAGCATATAAATATTCTGTGCAATTTTTTGTTTTGATCTTGTTCACCTTCAATCGAATACAACAAATAAAAAATGTATCCAATGACGTTGTTTTGCATCAAATTGTGAAATCCACAAAAGTTTGGAATGTGTTTTTCTTTAAATTTCGGCGTAATATGTTCCAGACGTACCTGTCGTTCGAGTGGTTTTTCCGTCTATATTCCTTTTTTGCGTCATTATGAAAAAAAAAATGAAAATAATTGCCCGAATTATGAACGATTAAGATATTTCCATGATTTAAGCTATGAATTACAACAATCCAAACAAAATCCTTAAATCAATTCCAGCTAAAAGATTAAGGTGTGTTTGCTCAAAGTCAAAAGCACATCAACACATCGAAATTTACACCATATTTATCATACTACCTATCATGTGGCACAGCCTCTGATCGCAACAATGGTACGATGTGTAAAGGGATGTGTGGGTGGATTCCGACGGTTGCTTTGTGTTATCTCCCTCATGCTAATTACTTATTTTCTTCAAATTCTTGGGTTTCTTGAAAAATACCGAAATCACCCCTATAATACAACACCTTTGAAGAGATTCCCACCAATTGAACCAAATAATTTGAAGAAAAAATCCGCCCAAAAAGCGGTGAAACTACTCAAAGTCGCTCGCTATGGTGCAAAGACCACACGCAATGAAATCCCACGATTGGTTAGATGCACCTGAAGATCGATAATCCATCTTCATTTCTACCAATTGAAAAACGTTGAAACTTGAAACGGAAAAAAACCCGCGAAAAACACACACAACAAACAATCATGGAACAAGGTTGGA